AAAACTTTAGGAAAATAATAAATTTCGTTCATTTGAAATTTGAGAACTTTTGGAGCAATATTATTTTGTGGATAAATTTCAGTAAAAATTTATTTTATGCACGACTTTTAAACTAATTTTTTAAATTTTATTGAACTAGTATCAAAATATAAAGTAATAATTAAAAAAAAGTAAAAATCAAAACATTGTTTTTGATAAGTAGAAAAAGTGAAATGATAGTGAATTTTAATTTGTTTCCTTGAGATACGGTTCGAATATCTCAAAGCAATTTACTAAGCTAATTAGAAGTACCATAAATCTCACCAAGTTATGTAATAAGTAAACGAGGATTTAATAAAAAAGTGTTTTACATTCTCTTATTTGCAAATAAAAATTAAATGTATACAAATTTTCTTACAGTTAGTTTTTTTTGCATTTTCGCATTTTATTCAAAAATAGTAATTTTTATACATTCTCCGTTATAAAAAGAGTAGAAATAATTTTTCTTTATAAATAGAAAATAATAATTCCAAATAAAATTTTTTAAAAATGGAAAATTAAATTTTATTTAAAAAAAAGAATTTTATTTTCATTTTTTATTTATTCGGTAGGTAAAAATAAATTTGTAAATTTTATTAGAATTCTTTTCAAATATATACCTGATCAGTCAACAATAAAAAAAACTTTCTAATTCTTATCGGAAAGTTGTGTTTAGTATAAAAATGAAGTTTCATGTTTGGTATAATTTTCTAATTATGGTTTAATTATTCCAATTCGATACACTAATAATTATGATTGTTTTTCTCAGAAATTTACTTCTTAAATATAATTCTTGAAGTAATAAAATTTAAAAATTAAAATTAAAAATAATAATTATAATAAAATAAAAACAAAAAAATTAGTAATTATTAAAATATTTTGTTTCATAACTATTTAAAAATTAAAAATAAAAATTACAATTATAATAAAATAAAAACAACAAAAATTAGTAAATAATAAAATATTTCGTTTTTTAATTATTTTTTTTAATGTCGTTTTTATTTCTAACAGATCTTCTAATATTATTTGTGATAATAAAGTAAAAAGAGGAAAAAATTCTAATCAAAATAGTTCAAATAGAAAAACAATCAAAATAAATAAATTCACTCTTTGCCATTTATTCAAATTTCATTCAGAATATTTTTCGTGATAATAAAATAAAGAGAAAAAAATTCTAATCAAAATAGTTCAAATAGAAAAAAAATCAAGATAAATAAATTCACTCCTTGCCATTTATTCAGAAATCATTCAGAATTAATTTGAAAGTTTTTTTCTGTTTAAAACTTGAATTTATGATAATAATTTATAGAATATTTATAGAATATTATCATAAAAAGGTGTAAACGAAAAATAAGAAATAGAGAATTATAAATAGAAGACCTGTAATTTATTTTTTTTTTAGTAGAGTTTGTTACGAAAAGATTCGATTCGACAAGATTTTTTTTTTTTTTGACCGAGAATGGAAATACACCGATTTCGTATGAGATCATGCTGACCTTGTGAATGATTTCAAGTATCCGTCAGCCTTGGAGGAGGCACAATCCTTTTATTTGGACCCACAGAGGAATCGACATGTCATCAAATTACGCAAAGGTCACCGATTCAGGCCCTTGGACTCGTTCAATTGCGACTGGTCGACCTGGACGAAAACACCGACACCCAGGAGGCGTCCTGTTTTGTTTCAGAAGGTTCAACGAGAGACAGATTTTAGAGTAAAAATTAGAATCTAATTTTAACAAAAAAAAGAAATTTTTCGTTACTAAAAATGAAAGTAGATTGGCGATTTCGTTTCAATTTAATTTTATCAATTAAAACAAATTTTCGATTTAATAATAGTTCAAATTAGAAATTAGATTAATATTCTAATAAATAACAAGAATAATAATAATATTAATAATAATAATAATAATAATAAAAATAATAACACAAAAGTTATAATTTGAAAATTCAGAAAGTGATTGAAAATTAAAAAGATGAAATTGTGAGAAGGAGAAATAAAAGAGAGAGAAGGAAAAAAAATTGTTGGAAAGTCCTACAACAAAAAAAGAACAGTTATTATATCCAGAAATGGAAGTCACTGAAGCTCTTGGCACTTGAAAACAGTGCGTATAACTAGAAATATTTTTCCCTGGGTAACAATGAATAATTACTGAAGTTTCTTTGACTCTTGACATCCGGCATTGCATCTCGCGTGTTGATTATTATTCTCATATTTTTCTCCAAGTTTTAAACATTACAAATCGCAAAAAACGAAAGAAGAAAAAAAAATGCGTATAAACCATATAATTAATTATTACAGACATCTATACACTTATTTCGTTTAATAATCCTTGGTCTAGATTTATCAACCCTGATCTTGATGACTACACGATTGTATATAAATCTGACTTAATGAATTTTCTCTCAAGCGCACGTATCACCTGGCAATGAAACGAAATCACAAACGAGTGCAAAATAAAATCATAGAAATTAACTTCATTTTGTTGTTTTTTTCTCGAAAGAAATATATGAGCGATTTATTAAAATTCTTTTTCAACTTTCGAATTTGTATTTTAGTGAAATTTTTACTATTTTAATATTATAATGTTGAATAGTATAATATTATAATCTAAAGTAATTTGATTCTTGCATAGAATTTTATTGAAATTTTCGAGAAGAATTAAATTATTTAGAAGAATTTTATTGAAAACTTTTAAAAATAATTATATTCTTTCAAAGAATTTAATTAGAATTGTATTGGAATTAATTAAATTCTTCTGCATAATTTTATCGAATTTTTTGAAAATAATAATTTATTTCTATCAAGAATTTTGATTCAAATTGTATTGAAAATGATTGAATTCCTCTTGAAAATTGAATTCTCGTAAAGAATTTTATTTAAATTTTTAAAAATATTGGAATTGTTTCGAAGAATTTAATTTAAAACTTTTGAAAATAATTCAATTCTTTCGAGAAATTCAATTAAAATTGTACTGAAATTAATTGAATTCTTATAAAGATTTTTATCAAAATTTTTGAGAACAATTGAATTTTTTCATACAATTTTATTAAAATTTTTTTAAATAGGTAATTGAATTCTATCAAGAAATTTTATTAAATTTTATATTAAAAGTAACTGAATTCCTTCAAAGAATTTTATAACTAATGAAAAAATTGAATTTTGGCGACGAATTTTATTAAAGTGTTTGAAAATAATTGATTTTTTTCAAAGAATTTTCATAAAATTTTCTCTAGAAATTTAATTAAAAATAAATTGAAAATAATTAAGAAAATAATTGTATTCTTGCAAAGAATTTTATTAAAAACTTTTAAAAATAATTTAATTTAATTTAAAACCAAATAATTTTATTATTTATGAAAGTAATTCAATTTTTGTCACGAATTTTAACCAAATTTCTGAAAATGATTGGGTTTTTTTCGATGAATTTTACTAAAATTTTTTTAATTAATTTAATTCTTTCAAGAAATTTAATCAAAAATAATTTAATTCGAATAAAAAAACTTTATGAATATTTTTGAAAATAATTAAGAAAATAATTTAATTCCTCCAAAGAATTTTATTATTTAAGAAAATAATTCAATTTTTGCGATGAATTTTTGAAAATAATTTAATTTGTGTGAAGAATTTTTTTACTTACAAAAATAATTGAATTCTTGCAAAGAATTTAATTAAAAACTTTTTAAAAAAAATTAAATTCTTTCGAAGAATTGAAGTAATTTTGTACTGAAATTAATTGAATTGAATCAAATAATATTATTATTTATGAAAGTAATTCAATTTTTGTCACGAATTTTAAGAAAAATTTCTGAAAATGATTGGCTTTTTTCGATTAATTTCACTGAAATTTTTTAAATTAATTTAATTCTTTCAAGAAATTTAATTTAAAATAATTTAATTCTAATAAAAAACTTTATGAATATTTTTGAAAATAATCCAATTTTTTCAAACAATTTAATTAAAATTTCAAGAAATTTAATTAAAAATAAATTCAAAATAATTATTTTAAAATAAAACAAATTTTAACAAAATTATTGAAAACAATTAATTCTTTTGAGAAATTTTATTAAAATTCTATACAAAATAATTGAATGCTTGCAAAGTACTTTATTAATTGTAAAAATAAGAAAATAAGATTAAAAACAATAAGGAAAATAATATAATTGCAAAAATACAAATTCAATTGTTTGGATGAAAATTTAGACACTTTCGAGTAATTTAATTCAACCTGCACTGAAAATAATTAAATTCTTCTAAAAATTGTTTTTAAAATTCTTTTAAAAATCTCAATTCTTTCAAAGGAATTTAATTATTCATGAAAATAATTGAATTCCTGGCAAGAGTTTTATTAAAATATTTGATAATAATTTAATTGTTTTGAAGAAAATTACAATTCTTTCGAGAAATTCAGTTAAAATTCTATTGAAAATAATTAAATTCTTATAAAGAATTGTATTAAAATTTTGTAAAAAAAAATTGAATAGTTTCGAAGATTTTTATTTAAGATCATAAATTTTTTTTAAACAATAGAATTCTTTTGAGAAATTCCATTTAAATTGTATTAAAAATAATTAAATTCCTGCGAAGAATTCCATTATTTATGAAAGTGATTGCATTGTTTTAAATAATTTAATAATATTTTTGAAAATAATAAATAATAATAGTTAAAAAATGAATTTTTTAAAAATTTGATACTGAAATCAAAAAATAGAAAAAAGTTTGAAATTTGCAAAATAACAATAAATCAAAAAATCGCTTTTCGCGCGGGTAAAATTTGCTAGTAATTGTACTAATATTATAATTAATAAATATCACAATAATTAATAAATAAAATAACTATTATAACATGTAATAATATTAAAGTAAAATTTAATACGTTTTTCAAAATTTTTATCAATTTTTAATAGTTTGTTTTTCTTCTATTCTAATTTTAATTGCAAACAATAATAATTTTCATAAACTAATCTATTTTCTTTCTTTTCAGAAACAACGTCAGATGACAGCAACTATGAGACACTCTACTCCTATCAGATCGATGACTTTAGTACAGATTCAGAGGCTGAGGAGGAAAATTGTGATAGTACGCAAATTTCGAGAACGATTTTCAATGAAAATTTGGAACCACCAACGAGGCCAACGCCACCACCGCCTAGAGAAGCAAGTCTCACGCAGTCCTTGGGAAGGAGGATGAAAATACTCCGACGAACGTGGACCATCACCAAGGGAAGTTTGGGACGAATGCGTCGACGAACCTCCGGGGACGATTCAACTTACAAGAGTGTTAATAATCATTCAGTCACGAATAACGACAACAGTAAATATTTCAGTTTTAAGAAGCACTTTAGAAAAAGTATCTCCGGCCTCTCGACATTCTATCTCGAGAATAATCAGGAAAATGGAAACGTGAAGGACAATCAGAGCAACAGTAGTATCAAGGAGGGAATTTATAGTAACAGTAATTGGTACACGGACACTGATATTTGGAGAGATGACAGCAGTTCCTTGCAATCTGAAGTTAATAGCGCTGGTAATGATTTCGTTTTCTTTATTTTCCTCAGTTTTATTTCATAGCAAGATTTCTTGAAACAATCAAGAACTATAAAAAGAAACTTTTAATAATTGAAAATTTCTTTTTCTGTTTGAATTTCAAATTGTTAATGTAATTCGAAAACAATCAAGAACTGTTTAAATGACAATTGTAATAATAGTTTAGAAATTTTTTCTGGACTCGAGTCGGTAAATGTAATTGACATTTGATTAAATTGACAAATGAGGCGTGGTAATAAATTTCAGTTAGTTTGAGAATTAAATTGTTGTCAAAGTAGAAAGTTAACTGTCAGTGCTTTCACATTGTTAATTAGGCTTCCTTCTGTTTGTCAATCAGCGCTGAAGATCTGACGATTATTGTTTTCTGTCTTTCGGTGAGAAACTGAGGCTTATTGTTCGCTTCTGGGTTTTAATTCATATAAATTGCGAATAGTTTTTAGCTCACATTTTTTGACCTCGTTATGGTAGAACTAGTTTTTTTTTCTTCTCATCATCTTGGATAGTTGATAATTTTTTTTCACTAGTCATTCATTCATTCTCTTATGATAATAACTTTTATTTTCTCCTCTAAACGTAAAAATGACTTTTGTAATAAAAAATTTAAAAGATAATGAGTAATTATTTTAATTAATCATTAAAGCAATCATTTATTATTGTTTTATCCATTTTGTACGAAATGGATAAAAATTTTTGAGAACTAATTTAATCTAATCTAATCTGTTTAATCGAATTTTTCAGATCACTACAGCGTTTTGATGGAAGAACCATTGTATCAATTTTATGCCGCGGCCGCCGCGAGAGTTGCCTTTGAATCCGATTCTGATGGTTATGAAGAAGTTGAAGATATCACACCATCCTCGGCTGCTATGGAACTTGCTAAACCTGGACATCGAACATTATGGTGTCAAACTCCTCAAGTTATTCACAGTGGTCTTCTACGTGAGTTATTTTTTTCATAGATAATAATTGATTATTAGAAGCGCTATAGTTTTTTTTTTAAATAATTCAATTTCAAAATGTTTTTAATTAAATTAAAGTATTTCGAAATTTTGATTGTAGTTGTAGCACTGTAATTATATTTGAATAGTTATTCTAAAAAATTATTAAGTTATTATTTTCCTAAAATTTATTAAATTTCTGAATAATTTTATTTAAAAATTCTAAAAATTAATTTAATTTCAGAAGAACTACATTTGTTATTTTTAAAAATAACTAAATTTCAAAAGCTTTTTAAATTGAAATTATTTAAGATATTCTAATTCCTGTGGAAAAATAAATTAGTATTTAAATAATTTTGTTAACAAAAATTATTCAATTAAACAATATTAATCTTGCGAGAAATTTTAATTAAAATTTTTTGAAGATAGTTAAATTCACATTGCTATCTTAATAATTTATTAAGATTTAATTAAATTTTCAATTGATTGGAAATTTTGTTAAATAATAAATTTTATATTTTAAAAAATTTTATTGTTATTATTTAATGAATTTATTAAATTACAAGATGTATATTAAATAACGATGTATAATTATAAAAGAAAGTATTAAAAGAATATTAAATTCATGTTAAAAGATAGTTTCTAAAATTCAACTTTTAATTTACAGAGAGTTTAACCGTGGAGGAGAAAAAAATGCAGGAGGCAAAATTCGAAATAGTAACATCAGAAGCCTCGTACTTGAATTCCTTGAGAGTTCTGAATAACGAATTTGTCACTAATAATGAACTAGTTAATGAGACACTTACTCAAGTGGAACGAGATAAACTCTTTGGTGGAGTTTCGTGTGTTCTAATGTCATCAGAGAGATTTCTTGCGGAAATGGAAAATGTGTGGAAAGAAGATCCAATGCTACTAGGCTTGCCAGATGTTTTACTTAAACATGCAGAAAGAAGTCTTGCCATATACGTCACTTATTGTTCAAGCCAAGTTAGCATAGACAGTACATTAAAGGAATTGCGGTAAATAAAAAGAAATACTTATCTAGAAAACACTTTATTTTCAAAACAATTTTTGTGAAGATTAAAACAATTTTTTAAATAAAATTTTAAATTTTTTAATGAAAATTCTTATTCTCATTCTTATTAATATTCGTTAATAAGAATTCTTATTCTTGTTAATATTCGTTAACAATAATTCTTATTCTTATTTATATTCGTTAACAAGAATTCTCATTCTTATTAATATTCAATAATAAAAATTATTTTTGAAATATTGAATTAATTTCAGTTTAAATAATTTGTATGGAAATTCTTTCAGAGCTAGGAAAGGGTTAAAATTTTTAGAAGTCGTTTCACGAATTGAAATGCGACCATCTTGTCAAAGTCTCTCATTACATTCGTTTTTGATGCTTCCAATGCAGCGAGTAACAAGGTAATTTTAGTTTTGTATTATTAAAATTCAACTATTTAACCAAAAAATTAAAAATGCGTAAGAAAGATACTTCATTAAATTAAGAACATTTTTATTTTTTTTGAATAATTATTATATCAAATTTAAAAACAAAAAATATCTTTTTATTTCAAAAAGTGTGGGAAAAATGTTCTTTTATTAAGGAATATTATAATATTCGGTTCCTTAATTTATAAATTTGTAATAAATTATCGTATGAAAAATGAGAATGTATAAAAAAAATATACAAATTTTAGATTACCTTTATTGGCTGATGCTGTTTTATCGAAGATACCAATGAATCATCAAGAAAGAGCTTCCTGGGAAAGAGTTTTATCACATCTAAGTTTTGTTGTTGCCGAATGCAACGAAGGAGCAAGAGCCGCGAGTCAATTAATTGAAATGGAAACTTTAGCAAGGTAAATAAATAAATCGATTTATTTCTATATAAATACATTCAATCATTGCTACAATTCTCTAAAAGTATTCTATTTGAATACAGTACAATTTCAATTAAATTTTTTGAAAGAATTTAATTATTTTCAAAAATTTCTCAAAAAAATTTTCGAAATATGTAATTTAATTATTTTTATGAATAATAACCAGAAAAATATAAAAATCGAGTTAATTAAAACACTTTTTCCGTTTTTCAGAAAATTAGAATACTCTCCAAAAGTGCCGCCCATCGATTTAAGGGAACGAAAACTCATTCGCAGTGGAACAGTAACACAATTGTCTATGAAATCAGACACGGAATATAAACTGACTTTTGGAAAAAAATTCCAAAAGACTCCTCTTTTTCTTCTTTTGCTCACAGATTATCTTCTAGTCACAAAACTCAAAGCCAGGTGTGTATTTATATTGAACTTATTATGAAAATTAAAAACTGAAAACCGAGACTAACTTAGCCAGGGATTCGATGAATTTAATGATTAAAGTTAAAAATAATTTTTAAAAGTAAAAATTAAAAAACTAGAGGAGAGAAATTAAAGGAAACAATTATTTCAGTAATCATGAAGACACGTATGCAGTGATAGATTTGTGTAAACGAAGTCTTGTTGCTCTGGAGTCGGTTCCGGAGAATTCACCATTTTCGGGACGACACGCAATGGTTTTAACGCTTCTCGAGAATCATTTGGAGCGACAAATGGAATATGTCATCACTTGTGAAAGTGATACGGAGAAAGAGAGATGGTTGGACGCTGTGTCACCTCCAAAATCAAATCTTGTTGGTGAAACTTTATACGAGTCGTGGGATTGTCCTCAAGTCATGGCACTTTATTCTTATTCCCCAGGACAACCCGACGAACTGGCAATGCAACCCGGTGAGAAAAAATCTATTTCTTAATTTTTTTTCTTTTTTCTTTTACTCAAAAGTAAAAAAAAAAGATTTTTAAGTACAAAAATAAATTAAAAAAGTGCAATAAATTTTTGTTCTTAAGAATCTTTTTATCTTTACTTTTGAGAGAAATTGTCGCCAAGTAAACCTTCTTAACATTCTTCTTTGTATGTTTATGATCTAAATTAGAAAGTTAATTTTCAATGTAAATTGACTAGTTTACATTAAAAAAAAAAATGTTTTTCCAGGAGATGTGATTAACGTCTCGAGAAAAATGGCAGATGGCTGGTACCATGGGGAAAAATTATTAGACGGCGAACAAGGCTGGTTTCCTGGAAATTATACAAAAGAAGTGGCCAGTGAACATGTGCGCGCTAGAAATCTAAAACAAAGGCATCGACTTTTGGCTTTGAATGGAAGTGTTTTGCAGCGACGAGCAAAACAATCCATGGCCATACACTAAATTCCAAGCAGGGTATACTAATTAAAACAAATTATTGTAATTAATTGTTAATTTTTGTAAATTATTCCATTGTACAGCTTTTTTTATATATAATTATCAATTAGACACTTGGTGTCATGTTGGTATAAAATATTGTATTGTAGGTAATAATAATTATATATTGTAATTAAACATAAATTATAGAATTGAAAAATTCTATAAAACTTTATTGTATAAAAAGCAGTGTAAAAAGACAATTTTTGTAACAAAAGTAAATGTCATTTTTTTATTTACTTTATATAAATACATTGTATTTATAAATATATTCAAGCTGTTTCGCAAATATTTATACATATATAAACGTCTCTTTTTTTTAATATATAAATATACTCAATGTATGAAAGGGAAATTTCATACTTCCATTCACGCAAAAATAGAATTCACAAGAAAGAAAAATTGTGATGTGTTTATATGGTAATCAGCCTTTAAAAAAATGGAATGAAATATACAAATTCTATTGTAACAGTCAAATAATTTCTTGATAAGTTAATTAACATTTACAAAAAGAAGAAAAATTCATCTTTGTTCAAAAAGTCTTGTTTCATATTTGTTTCATCATTTTTAAGTACTAAATATACGTTTGAAAATTAAGTTTCAAAATTAGTTTTTCAAATTGATATTTTCTTTTTTCGCGTTTTTCTTTTGAATATAGAAAACTTATCACATGTTTAGAGAATAAAGATCATACAAAAAATATGTTAAACGAGAATTCTTTTTCAGTTAAAATAATTCTTATTTATAATATTAAATTCTCACTTTCGAATAACCAGATGGTTTTACCTCGAAGAGCTTTCTCACGAAATAAACCTGCAACACTGTTGTGGCAATTATTACAATCAATTGTGCAATTGACCAATTTTGAACGTACGAATTATTGTCTAACAATAAATTTAAATCTCGTGCCTCGCGTCCTCGACTCTGGTATTGAATTTGTAGCATTTCATTGATATTTTTCTCCACGTGCGTTATCGCCGACTGAAATTAATAAATTAATAATTATTAGTAAAAAGAAAAATTAAATTAGAAAAGACAAGGTTGCCACCAAAAAAATTCAAATATATTCAGAGAATTGAAAAAAATAGTTCTGAGAAATTCAATTATTTCCAAAAATTTAAATAAAATTTTTTTAAAACTTCTATTACTTATTTTAAAAAAATTTGATAAATTTGATAAAATTAATAAAATTCTTCGTCAGATTTCAATTGAGGCCTTGGATCCAATAACTCGCCCGACGCTCGAAGGCACGCGCTAATACCAGTCGGGTGGTAGTGAGTGGCCCAGAGGCGCTCACTGCTCACTGACTGGCAGTTGCGCGTTCCTCCGAGCGTCGGGCGATAGAATTTAATTTTTTTGAAAAAGTTTTAAAAAATTATGAGAAATTCAATTATTATTTAAAAAAATTTAAATAAAATTCTTCACAAGAAATTAATTATTTTCATGAATAATATTTTTCTCCGGACTTCAATTATTTTCACAAATAATATTCTTCACAGGAATTCAATTCTTTAAAAAAAATTTTTAATAAATTTCATCGCAAGAATTAAATTATTTTCAGGAATAATAAAGCTCATCGCTGAATTTCAATTATTTTTTATACAATTTTAATCGAATTCCTTGAAAAATATAATTATTCTTAAAAATTTTATTAAAATTCGTCGAAAGAATTGAATTATTGTTATATATAATAGAATAATTCGCAAAAAGTCAATTATTTTCAAATTTTTTTTTAAATTCTCGTCAAAATTTCAATTATCTTTATAAATAATGAAATTCTTCTCCGAAATTCAAATATTTTAATAAAATTCTTGGCAAAATTTCAATTATTTTCAAAAATTTTCCTCAATTCAATGATTTTTAATATCTACTACTTTAATAAAAATTTTCAAAAGAATTCAATTATTTAAAAAAAATTCTAATAAAATTTTACGCAAACAATTAATTGTTTTCATAAATAATAAAATTTTTTGGCAGCAATTATTGTCATAAATAATAAAATTCTTTTTAGGAATTCAATTATTTTCATGAATAATAAAACTCATTGCAGAACTTCAATTATTTTTAATACAATTTTAATCTAATTCCTCGAAAAAATGTTATTATTCTTAAAATAATTTTTGATAAAGTTTTGATAAAATTCCTTATGAGAATTCAATTTTGAGAAACATTCAGTTATTCAAAAAATTATTTAGTTTTCTATTTAAATAATTGAATTCTTGTAGAATTTTTTGAGATGAATTGATTTAAAATTGAATTTCAGTTAAACTTTTAGATAAAATTGAATATTAAAAGCATTATATCGTAAATTTTTAGAAATAATTGAATTTTTAAAAGGTTAAAACCGTTTAAAAAGTAAAATCTTTGAAAATCTGAATTTTTCATGCTTTAAATTAACAATTCTGTAGAATTAATTTTTTAAAAAAGTTTAATTGATTTTTTTTTTAAATTACATCAAGTTTTTATTTTCTAATATGTATTTATTCGGATTAAATTATAAATGGATTTTAAAATTCTGAAAGAACTTTTTCAAAAATTATTGAAAATAATTTGTTTAAAGAAGAATTTTAGTTAAAAATTCTGAAAAATAATAATTGAATTGAAGAAAATAGTTTTGAAGAATTTAGAATAACAATATTCTTATAATATAAAATGATTTTATCACTCGGTCTTCTTCTTCACCATTTTTTTCTTCTTCGATCACTCCGAGTCTTCGACTCGGAGTAATAGATATTTTCATGTTTTATAATAATATTTTTATAAGTTATTGAATTTCAAAAGTTTTCAATTAAAAATTTTTGACAATCTTAATTCCTATGGGAAAATAATAATGAAAAAAGTAAATATTTTTTATGAAAATAAAAAACAAGGGAATTACTGATTCAAATTATGAATTGACTAAATAACGAATTTTTTAGTCGTCAAATTTGATTTTTCGGTAGCTACTTTTTTTAGCCTGAAAGCTACTTTTTTTTAAATTAATTCTTGAGTGCGAATATTACTTTTACAATGTATTTGAATTTCGTTTAAAAATAAATGAATTTCTATTTTTTAAAATTAATACAATTTTAAAAAATAGAAATAAAAATAAAAGAATCTATTCTTTTTTTTAAAGCATTGATTTCTAGTTTTTAAAATTTTGTTTTATTTTGAAAAAAAGTTATCTTGTGTGTAATGAGAAAATTACCGTGAAATTCTCCACTGAGAGATTCATTTCTTCCAACTCTTTCGTGAACTTTTCCCATTGATCGTATCTGTAATTTTAAAATTGTATTATTAGATTCTATTTTTAGAATTCAAGTTAATATTTAATTAAAATAGAAAATTAAGAAAACACTATAAATTTTTTAATGGATTTCAAGAAGGATTAAAATTACCTGATAACAGTGATGTATAAATTTACTAATTTTCCAGCAAATCTTGAAAACTGGTTATCGATACAAACACTGTAGTAACCACCATTTGTCGATTGATCCTGATAATCAGCGTTCGCTTTCCATTGATAAGGATGAACTATTTCCCCTGATGGATTTCTGACAGCGAAACCGGCTTTTCCATCACCTCCCCGAAGAACCTATTAGAAACATTTAAACGGATTAATAATTTTACAATTCCTTTAATTTATTTTCTAGACTTTAAAATTAATTTCAGAATAAATGATTAATATTTGTCAAAGTAATAAATGATAAACAACACTGAGAAGTTTTATATTTAATTATTTATCGTTACTAAATATTGATTTTATATTCTTCGTGTTACATTCAGAATTTTCAAAAAATTCCCCAAGTTTTTTTCCCAAGAGAAAATTCGACAAACAATTTTATCTTGTAGACAAAAGAGAAATGAATCTAAACAAAATTGATAATTTAAAGAATGATAATAAAATATTAATTTTCAGTTAAAAAGAATTGTATACTCATTTATAAATTGTGATGAGAAATTTCGATTTGTACCCATATGGAACAACACAGCTGGCAAACAGTTAACTTTCGGAGTAAATTAAATAATTTCTTCCCAAAAAATAAATATAATACTACCATTTGCTTTGCTTTTTACTAAAAATAGTCTCATTGTGTCAAAGGAAAAAAATGAAAGAATTATAAAATATTAATAAATAATTACCTGGAAGCTGACGTAGAAAGTGGCTCCAGGATTCACAAATTGAAAATAACAATCCTCCTTTCCAGGGTCAATATGGACCTTGTAGTCCATAGCTACAGCCGGCAAGGATTCATACCATGGTCTACTTGTCTCAGTTTTCGCCAGGGTAACAATTAACCCAGTGAAAACAAAAATACGTGCGATTAGAAGCATTGCACGAATTATTTTACCATCACGAACTCTTAACCATTTCCATAAGCACTTCCCGTTTCAATGGCTTTCAAACCTTTCGAAATATTAATTTTTGTACAGTTTCATCTGCATTTCCTTTTTATTTATTCACATTCATCTAAAGCTATCTTTCAATTGGTGGAGAAGCCGACGAGCGTCATTAAAAGCAACTGCGCATGCGCCACTAAATCTCCCATTGGTACAAAAAGCGCGGTTATTTCAAATAATTTAGATTTCAATCATTTAAATTAAAAAAAACAATTTTACAAATCAATATTAGAATTGGAAAAAAGTAATTTTGATACTTAAATACTATTAGGGAACTTAACAATTAATTTTATATAGACAATAAAAATTGTATCGATTCGAATTATTAGTTTGTTTTATAGGTTATGTTGTCATCGAAAGGTTATGTTCGTAGTCAACGTGCTCCAGAAAAACATTGATATTGCCAATCATTTAGACGATTTACTCGCATAAAAATATATTTTCTTCTAAAAATTACTGATTGTTAACTAGTTTAATATGTTCCTGATCCGAAGAGCAATTTTATCGAGACAAAACTTGACTTTAAAGTTAATTCAAGATCAAATAAACTCCAAAAATTTTGATGCAACTTCATTCACTGGTGGTGTGAGATTTTGTCAACAACAAAGATTTTGCTCTTCAGAACTTAAACAACAATCAATTCCAGAAGATAAAGAGGTTAAGAAACATCCTCTGGGCACAACAAACGTAACAAAAATGAAATTGATATTCACGTGTAAAAAGTGTTCGACGAGAAATAATAAAATAATTTCAAAGTTGGGCTACGAAAAAGGTGTTGTTATTGTACGTTGTGATGGTTGTAGTAACAATCATTTAATTGCTGACAATTTGGGATGGTTCGCCGATAGAGATGAAAAAACAAACATCGAATATATTCTCAGGAAAAAGGGTGAAACTGTTCGAAGAATACCACACGATTCTGACGGTTATATGGAATTTGTCACCAAGGAGATTCTCAAGGAATTTCAAAAACAACAAAAATCAGATGAATCCTTATTGGAAAACGAACAATTAGTGTCGGAAAATAATAGAAAACAACAGGAATCAGAGTCAACTGAACAAAAAAAAGACTCTGACAAAAAAGAAGATTTAAAATAAAATTTTTTTGAGAATAGTATAAAAATTTATTATAAAATTGTTTAAATAACATACAAAATAATCGCAGTGTAAATTTTCTTGTATATAGATACGTAAGTAAAATATTTGGAAAATATTTTTTTTTATTGTCTACGCGATGAATTTCAAACCGAAACCAATTAACAGAAAAAACTTCACTTTCAATTTGTTTTTAATTTTGAAATTATTTGATGTAAATTAAAATTAAATTATTAAATTAATACATAGAGCGGAAAACTTAAATAACTATTTTTATAATTCACTGTTTTTCATTTTTGATTTACTTTGCCCATATGATTAAAACAAAATCACTGGTTATTTTAATTAAAAAACTGAAATAAAGATTGAAATATTAAAATGATAATTATTACGATCAGTAATTCATATATCAAATAAATAATTTCTAAATCTATAATATTGAATTCCGACAATGTTAACTAGTTTTCATTAAATCAAATATATGGCGACATCATTGGCAAATGACAGAATTCTAGAAATGCAATAAAAATCTTGAGCGTTGTATTTTTTTTTCTTATATTCTATCGTAGTTGTGTTTAACTTTCGCAAATATTTTTTTATAAACAAAGTTAAACGTCACTAATTGACAATTGTTTTGAAGTTTTTTTTAATATTGTTTGGCTTTATTCCTTTCGACAATTTTCCATGTAGTATAAACAGCAACAAACAAAAAAAATGGATAAAATTTTTAAACGTTTTTATAGAATAACAAATTTTTATATAAAAGAATTTTAAATCACTTTGGAAACTTAAACTTCAAAAGATTTTAATCTAATTTTTAATTTTTAATCTAAATTTGGTTAAAGAAATTTTTAAAAATTTTATTTAAAAAATCTAATTTTTGATTATTCAGCATTGCATGGAATTTATATTAATTGAAAATAATTTCTTATAGGGTGACCACAATTTATCGGCGGTCATAAAATTTGTTGCTTTTACTACAAAGACGCGATATTCCTAGAAATCATTCTTTGGTCATTCCTGAAACCTATTCCAGTATTTTTATCTTAATAAAATACATTTAAACTTGTAGAATGTGATGCAACAATTTTTTATACTTAAAATAGTAACTGGTATTTCAACTTGTGTGGCATATTATTATTTTCTTTTTTTAAATGGAATAGTTTTCGTCAACTTCATATCTACAACGCATTTCTTTTTTTTCCCTCTTTCTTAATATAATATATAAGTTGCGAAATTCTATAACAATTAACAACAATAATATTTAATAATATTCGTAAGAATTTTACTAAGTACGCAAAGTGACTTTTTTAAAGTCACAGAATCAAATAGAATTTCATAAAATTTGGTTTATATCATCACTTAAAGTAATTGAGAGAGCTGAAGTTTTGTTACAAATAGAACTTGAAATATTAACGAAATAAAAATAATTCACATAAATATTTACTTTTTTCTACTTCTTTGAAAAAAACAATTTTGAAAATTTCATTTAGTTTTGAATTCCTTCTGAATTTTCTATTTTGCATAAATTATTTTGCACAAAACTTCGAGTTCTTTTAAAATTACAGCACGTATTAATAAGGCACTAGAATTGATTTTTGATCAGTCATTATTCACGTTTGTATTGAAAACACAACGAAAAATGATTCTTCAAAACTTCATTTCCTGAGCTTAACTCTTCGTAAGTAAAAAAAAAATCTTAAAAATTATAGTCTTGATAAATTTAAAGAATATAAAAAAAAGATAAAGCTAATATATCCGAAAATTCGACTTTAATTCTCTCGCTCTCGCGAGGAAATCAAATCGAATCATACTTGGTCATGTTGATCAATTATCATATCATTTTTGTTAATGTATTTAAAAATAAGAGAGTGCAATTTCTATTTAATTGTGCGACAAGATTTTTACTTATTTAGTCAATATTTTTTTATTTACTGCAGTGAAGTTCACCACTTAAATAATCAACGATTTAGAAGAGAAAATATTTTTCTAAGCAAATTTTTATCGATATTTTCGCTTAGAAAATTTATTCTGATCAACTATTTTAAGCAGAAATATAAATATAATTATAAATGAAAGAATTTTATTACTATTTGAGTATAGAAAATATTTTTCTTGAATCGTTGATTGAATTCGATTTTTTTTAATTTGAATTTTCAATTATTTTTGCGAACATCTAATAGAAATTTTCTACGTTGGCGAAGTTCACAATGTTTATATTCAACGATTTAGAAGAAAAAGAATTTGTCTAAGCACATTTTTAGAAATTTCCACATGAAAAAATGGAAAATTTGTAAACAAAAATTTCTGATCTACTATTTTAGACAGAAGAATTTTTAAATGGAAGAATTTTATTGCTTTTTGAGTAGAAAATATATTTTTATTCAATCGTTGATTGAATATTTCATTTGGAATTTCGAATTATTTGTACGAATTGTTTTACTGAAGCAATTTTTTACGATCTCAAAATTTTTATGACAAAATTCTACTAGAATTCAATTATTATTTAAATACAAAAAAACAATTTATTGAATAATTTTTATTGTTGAAACAAAATAATGTTTCTTAAAATTGAATTCTTATAAAGAACTATATCAACAAAATTTTTAAATAATTGAATTCTTTTGACTAATTTTAATAAAATTTTTAAGAATAATTACATTTTTTCCAGGAATTCAATTAAAATTGTATTAAAAATAATTGAAATTTTGCAATGAGTTTTATTATTTATCAAAATAATTGAATTCCTAATAAGAATTTTATTATTTACCAAAATAATTGAATCCCTGTAAAAATTGTATTATTTATAATAATGAAAGGTTTGTATAGAATTTTATTAAATTTTTTTTTAAATAATTGAATTCTTTTGGAAAATTTTACTAGAATAGTAGATACCTATTAAAAATCATTAAATTGAGGAAAATTTTTGAAAATAATTGAAATTTTGCCAAGAATTCCTTCGCAAAGAATTTTGTTAAAAATTTTTTAAATCCTAATTAAATTCTTTTGAAAAATTTATTTTAATTTTTTCAAATTAATAGGGTCTTCTTAATAATTTTGATTGAAAATTTTGAAAGCAATTGAATTTTATAAAGAAGAATTATTATTAAAATTAGATATATATTGAAAATAATTGAATTTCTGAGAAGAATTTTATTATTTGTAAAAATAATTTAATTCTTTCGAAGAATTTTACTATTTTTAAAAATAATTGAATTGTTCCGAAGAATTTATTAAAATTTTAGGAAATAAATGAATTTTATGTTAATATTTGAAAATTTAAATTCTTTCGAGAAATTCTATTTAAAATTGCTTTAAAAAGAATTGAATTTCTTCAAAGGATTTTACTATTTATAAAAATAATTGAATTTTTGCGAAGAATTTAATTACTTTTGAAAATAATTGTATTTCTGCAATCATTTGTAATTTCTCTAAAATTATCTAAATTATATCGTACAATTTACGGACTTTACGGACCTTTTTTTTAAAAAAACGGACTTTTACGGACTTCAAGCAAAGTTATGGACTTTTACAGAATTTGCGGTCGTAGTTCGAGCCCTGCAGAAGGCAATTATTTGATTATTTTGAATTTTTTAAGTTGTTCTTTTTCTTTTTTTAGCCTCTTGTATAAACAAATAGCCATATTTTTCAAATTATTAGCGAAAACGAGTAAACAATTTTCAAGATACAATCTTTTCTTAATAGAAAATTAATTTTTTTCCATTAAATATTCTTTCATTTTGTTGATCAAAAAAGGGGAACTTTAAAGTTGAAATATCGCACAATTAAAAGAAATTGTCGACTAAAAAATCAGTTTTTCAAAAAAGAAAAACATTATTTTAAACTCTCTTGGGTTTTGAGACAATTGCGTATTCAGTATCGTTATAAAGCTTATATTCAGGGTCTGTGTTGTTAGCGGTTTTTTTTCTAATTACACCGTAACCTAAATGACTATCATCAGCGAGTCTCACAGCGCTCATTTCATTGACCATTTGCGTATAATTCTCAACTAAATCATAATTATTTTGACTGTGATCATTTGCGTCTGATATTGTTTGAACAAGTGGCAGTGATCTTGGTATTGTAATATTTGGAGTTCTATAAGCGGGATTTGGATCGGACTTATGAATAGTGCCGAAATATTGAAGTTTATCATAATCAGAGTCATCGGACTTGATTGGAAATGTATTGTGAATGATTGGTGAAATTGGTGAATTGGCAGTGGTTGCATCATTACTGTTTAACTTACTTCTCACTGAACCCTGTGAACTGAGTGGCAGTGGCGTGACAGTTTCGTACGGTGAATCGTCATCTTTATTCGAATCACTCGACGATGCGTTCAATCTCTCCATGTGTGGTACCCTGTCGATGCCGTGTGTTCGCCAGGCGTCATTTCTCACTTCGACGAGATCGTAGGAGTGCTTGTCGTTTTGTGAACTTGAATTACTGGAACTGTCGTGATCGTGGTTTCCAATTGGATGTAGGCGGCGATATTTTCCTCGTGTCGATGTCTCGGGGAATTCGAGTTCGAGGTGCTTTTTGTCGAGGACGGTGGTGAATATTGCTTTGCGGGGGGGTTTCATTGGTTTTTGTTTTGGAATTGGCGGCGGGGGTTTGAATAGTTGGGTGGATTCGATGGAGGAGGAGGAGTTGAGGAGTTTTTGTGATGAGGTGGAGAAATCGATGTCGATTAGATGACTGGAACTGTTTGGCGATGGTGGCAATGGTGAGCGTGATCTTGCCTCCATTGATAGGGCGGCGTGAAATTGTGCATCGTTGCACTCTATACTTGGACTAGTTTCACCGCTGAGCAATTTTTTCATGTACTTCATTTTCGACTCGATACAGCGGAATATTTCTTGTTGATTTTTGTGCTCGAGACGAAATGAACCGGCGCCTGATTCACATTTTCTACCGGCCTCGAAGGTGAATGTTCCATCACGGTAGCCGTATTTTCTTATGAATCTGTAGGGCCAGGTGAAGAGGGGTGTTTCGCCGTTTAGTAATTTGATTTCTGCCGCGGCGACAATTAGAGTGTAATTCTTCGGCTCAAGACCGCAGAGTTTGGAGGCCTCGGTCTCGACAAGTTTCACGGAGAAAATTCCCTCGCCACTTGTGCAATATAAATCATTGTCCTCCTCTATTGTTTGACTCGAGGCTGTGTCTTTAAATGCCACGGATTGAAAGGCGCTCATCCAACTGGTCATTTCGGTTTCCGAGAAGCAACCAAAATGATGGATACCCGATTTTGTGACAACCTGTATATTTGAAAATTCAATTATATAAAATGTAAATTTATATAAAAAATCCTTGTCTAATAGAAAATATTCTTCCACATTCAAATATACTTTGTAATTAAGAAATATTTCAGGCTTCGCACTCAAGAATTAATTTTAAAAAAGTAGCTTTCAGACTGAAAAAAGGAGTAAAATGTAGCTATCGAAAATTTTACGACTAAAAAAATTCGTTATTTAGTCAATTCATAATTTGAATAAGTAGGTAATTCCCTTGTTTTTGATTTTTTATAAAAAATATTCACTTTTTTCATTATTATTTTCCAATAGGAATTAAGATTGTCAAAAATTTCAAATTAAAAACTAAAATTCAATAACTTATAATAATTAAAGATGACAGAGTGATAAAATCATTATTTTATATTATAAGAATACATATTTTTACTGTAACTTCTTCAAAATTATTTTCATCAATTCAATTCAATTATTATTTTCCAGAATTTTTAACTAAAATTCTTCTTTAAACAAATTATTTTCAATAATTTATGAAAAAGTTCTTTGAGAATTTTCAAATCCATTTATAATTCAATCCGTATAAATACATATTAGAAAATAAAAACTTGAAATAATTTCGAAAAAAATTCAATTAAACTTTTTTAAAAAATTAATCCTACAGAATTGTTAATTAAAAGTATGAAAAATTCAAATTTTCAAAGATTTTAATTTTTAAACGGTTTTAACCTTTTAAAAATACAATTATTTCTACAAATTTACGATATAATAGTTTTAATATTCAATTTTATCTAAAAGTTTAACTGAAATTCATTTTTAAATCAATTCATCTCAAAAATTCTATGAGAATTCAATTATTTAAATAAAAAACTAAATAATTTATTCAATAATTGAATGTTTCTCAAAATTGAATTCTTTAAAGGAATTTTATCAAACCACAAAGTTTTAAATAATTGAATTATTTCGACGATTTTTTATAAAATTTTTAAGAATAATTACATTTTTCAAGGAATTCGATTAAAATTGTATTAAAAATAATTGAAATTCTGCGATGAGTATTATTATTCCTGAAAATAATTGAATTCCTAAAATGAATTTTATTATTTATCAAAATAATTTCTGTAAAAAATTTTAGTATTTATGAAATTAATTAAATGTTTGCGTAGAATTTTATTGAAAAATTGAATTCTTTTGGAAAATTTTTAACAATAATTGAATTTTAGAGAAAAGTTTTATTATTTTTAAAGAAAATTGAAATTTTTACTAGAATTTCTTAAAATTTTTGAACATAATAGAATTTCTGCGAAGAATTTTACTACATACATATAACAATAATTGAATTCTTGCAACGAATTTTATTAACATTTTTTTAAATAATTGAATTCATAGAAAAAATTTTATTATTTGTAAAAATAATTGAATTTATGCAAAAAATGTTATTACATTTTTTTAAATAATGAATTTTTTGCAGAATTTTTTATTAAAATGTTTTAAAATAATGAATTTCTTTTTCGGGAAAATAATTACAATTGTATTATAAATGGATGAATTCTTAGAAACAAATTTTATCAAAATTATTAAAAATAGTTGATTTTTTTCGGAGAATTTTATAAAAATTCTTTTAAATAATTCATTTTCTTCAAAAAATTTTAAATATTATCTCAAATAATTGAATTTCTGTCAAAATTTTCTTAGTCATGAAAATAATTGAATTTTTGATAAGAATTTTCTTATTTATGAAAAAAATGGAATTTTTGCGAAGAATTTTACAAACATTTTGTTTAAGTAATTGAATTCTCTTGTGAAATTTCACTAAAATAGTAGATATTGTCTTAAATGTAAAAAAAGTATCCAAATTGTAGCAAATGGTAAAAAAAAGTAGAAAAATAGTAGATTTTCAGTAGATGAGTGCGAAGCCTGGATATTTACAAAATAAATAAATTGTCAGTGTATCAGACTTACAGTGAACACATTCGGCTGATTAATAGGTGCAATTTTAACACATGCTTCGAGTGTTATAATCCGTTGGGTAAGTTGTGTCAAAGCCTCATCCTGATTATCGTATATCTCCAATCTATCAATTCCATAATTACTAGCTCTGAATAATTGACAAAACTTTTTATGCCAACTTTTCTGCAAAAATATAGAAATATTATTATTATAATTATAATATTAGTTAATAGTTATAATATTAGCATTAGAAATTATAACAAGTACAGGGTGGTCACAAGTTTCAGTTTATCAATTTCCCTGACAATTTACTGACATTAAAATTATTTTCCCTGACAAAATTCTTTTCACAGGAAAATATGAAAGTTTACGGAAAATGAGTAAAATTTATAAAATTTAATAATTTCTAAAAATTACAATTATAACCCTTCCTAAATTTAATTTTTTTCTATAATTTTCAATTAAACTTCATCTCTAAATCAATTATATAATTTATTTTAAATAATTTTCCAAAAGTTGTTCGTGAATTAAATTATTTAAATACGAAAATTCAATTTCTTATAATAATTGTAACTGTCCATGTTTTTTTCTTAAATTTATTAGGGTATAATATTTTCAAAAAATAAAAATAATCAAATTTTTGAAGAATTTTAATTATAAATCTGACCATGATTTCTCCAAAATTTTAATATGTCCAAAAAAATTAATTTTTATTTGCTTTATTCGAAGATAATTAAATCTTAAAAAATTATGATAACAAAATTCTAAGAATTAAGTTGTTTTTAAAAATATAATAATTTAATAAGTTTTTAATAAGTCCAAAAAAATTAATTTTTATTTGCTTCATTCGAAGATAATTAAATCTTAAAAAATTATGATAAAAAAATTCTAAGAATTAAGTTGTTTTTCAAAATATTTTAATAATTTTTCGAAAAGAAGTGAATTTCTTAAAAGAGTTTTTACTTAAAAAAAAACTAATTTTTTGATGAATTTTAATAAAATATTTTTTATTATTCAATTATTGAAAATCTTTTTAATTGTACATTTCGAAAATTTAAATAGAAAAATGATTCAAAAATAATTTATGAAAAATTTTTTTATAGTTATTTTTCGTACTATAAAAGTCGAAATGAGTTACATTTAATACTAAAAAATGTATTTTGTTGCAATATTTGTAAGAAAAATCGAGAAAGTTGCAATTTTTGAAAATAAGTCGAAAGAAATCTCAATTTTCTAAATTTCTCTGACAAAAGTTGTTTTTCCTGACATTTCCCTGACTTTACTGACATGTGGCCACCCTGAAGTAGGAAAAATAGAATAGAATAGAAAAAATACATAAGATTGTAAACAAAAATAAACACTCTTGCAAATAATCTAAATTTGCAATTCAGAACAAAAAAAAACAAAAGTCGAGCTAATCGTAAAATTATTTCTAAATATTTAATAGATAAAAGGTAAGCACTGCTTTTGTGTATAGCATAAAATCCCATAATGTTATGCATACACCTATTCAAAGATATCACTAACTAACCTTGAGCTGGCCTAACATTCCTTGAGGTGGAAAAAGCAACATCCCTTGTTGCACAGGTTCTTCAACAATCATTTTTAAAATTTATAGAAAAAAAAAATGCAAACGTGCGATCAAAGTTGAAATTCAATTGTCACTTTTGATAAAAAATTGACTATTTTTTTACTTTCACTCTATACCTTATTCTGTCACTATTTTTCTTTCTTCTTCTAACACATTTTCTTTTCTTTTTCGTTCGTTCGCCTCTCATATATACAATATAATGTGTGAATATCTGTTGACAGTTTTCAACAAAAGCAATATAAACTATTGACAAAATTTCAACCCATTGCAATTTCCATTAGCATGACAACTTTTCTATGAATCACCGGAATAATCAAATTGAAAGAAAATCAGATTGTTGCCACTGACGCGTCTATTAATTACGTGGATTTTTAGTTTAAAAAAAAATAAACTATATAGGCGTATATATACCACATATTTCTGCGGATTCCAACCTCACAACCACGACTATTAACCTCTGTCTGCACACAATCTTTACCGAGCGAACATTCACGATGATTTGCCGAAAACTCCCGAGTGGCGTCGTAAGTGTTGCAATTTTTTTTTGGAGGGAAATTTAAATTCAAGTACTACGTAAATGGAAATAGCGATTAATTCAAATTTTGAAAAAATGGTACAAAATTCGAAATAAAGAATTGGTAATAAGAGACTAGGTAATTTAAAATTAAAGTTAAATGAAATGTAAACATTTTTTTTCAATTATTGTATTTTAAATAAATACTGTTTAAATATCTTTGTTTTAGTATAATATATAATTATATTTAAAAAAATCGATTTTCTTTAAAAAAGTGATTTAGAATTTATGATCTCAAATAAATAGGTTAATTTTTTTTTATTATTTGCAAAATAAAAGAAGAAATAATTTATTTTTAATTTCAAGAGATGTGAGAAATGTGATGGAGTTTCGATCCGCTTATAATAAATTTATTTAATGACCTTTTCAATTCCAGGTATTTTACTGGATTGCTAGTTTATTTGAAATAGATTTAGATTCAAGTAAGAGAAAAAAAATTACTTTTATCGTAAAATATAATGAAATCATTAATTGATGTCAAGGTTTTCATTTAGTATTGTATGATAGAATTTTTTTCGCAGTAAATCAAATTCTTTCGTTCGCATAACTCACTGAAAATGATAACTCTATTATTTTTATTGTTTGTTGTTAAAATTGTTTATAGTTACAATGATTATCCATCGCTTATAACTTCAAATGCAACAATGGGTTAGTTTTTAAATATTATATTAAATTTATTATCTTAAAAAAATATTATAGTTTAATATTTATTGTTATGAATTTATTTTAATAATTATTATAGATACTACATATTAGATTTGAAATAAAATCTATTTTTATAGCCTAAATAGAATTTTAAAGCTAAATTAATTAATTAAAACTCGATTTTTAATTAATGAATAATTATACCAATTTATATTTTTTAAAGTCATTATGGAATTTTTGAAAACAATTTTATAATTTTAGCTCCTGATTTTTTAATTTTTAAACTTGATTTTTTAATTATTATTATAGATATTATATATAATTTAAAAAATTGACTTAATTAAGCACCTATACCAAATTAATTATTATTGTTTATATTTACAAAAATTTTAATACAATATTCTTCATAAGAATTCAATTACTTTTAAAAAATAGTAAAATTTTTTGTAAAAATTCAATTATTTTCTAAAATTTTAATAAATCCTTCGAAACATTTCAATTATTCTTTAAAATAGTAAAATCTTTGCAAAAATACATTGATTTTCAATAAAATTTCTCGAAAAAATTTAATTTTTCTCTTCATTCGATATAAAATTTCACGAAATAATTAATAAATTATTTTCTAAAAATTTAATAAATCCTTGGAAATTCAATTATTTTTAATTATTATTCAATTATTCAATTATCTTCAAAACAATTTTGATTAAATTACTTGGAAGAAATCAATTTTAAAAAAATTTTCAATATATTTCGAATAAATTCAATTATTTTCTAAAATCTTAATAAATCCTTCGAAACAATTCAATTATTTTTATAATTATAGTAAAATTCTTTGCAATAATTCAATTATTTTCATAAATAGTAAAATTTTTTGCAGGAATTCAAATATTTTTAAATATTTCCATAAAATTCAATTATTTCCTAAAATTAATAAATTCTTCGAAACAATTCAACTACATTTTTATAAATACTAATATTCTTTTAGGAATTAAATTATTTTTAATGCAATTTAAATAAAATTACACGAAAGAATTTAAATCTTTTCAAAAATTTCCATGAAATACAATTATTATTTCAACAAGAATTTAAAATTCTCTAAAAATAATCTAATTATTCTTAAAATATTTTTAAAAATTCCATATGAAAATTAAATTACTTTCAATGCCAATTTTTAAATGTATTTGTCAAAAACATTGAAAGAAATCAATTATATTTTCAAAAAATAATAAAATTCTTCTAATGAATTCAATTATTTTGAATATACTTAGTTTTAATAAAATTCTTTACAGAAATTCAATTATTTTTGAAACAACTTTTAATTGAATTTCTTGAAAGAATTTAATTATTTTCAAATATTTACATAACATTCATTTATTTCCTAAAATTTTAATAAATTCTTTGGAACAATTAAATTATTTTTAAAAAATATAGTAAAATTCTTCGCAAGAATTAAATTATTTTTACGAATAATATAATTCTTCTCAGAAATTCAATTATTTTCAAAATAATTTTAATAAAATTCTTCTTTATAAAATTCAAATGCTTTCAAAATTTTCAATTAAAATTATTAAAAAAAAAACCTAAAAATTTGACAAAATTAAAAGAAATTCTTCAAAAGAATTTAATTAGGATTTTAAAAAATTTTAACAAAAAAAAATCTATAAAATAATATAGTAGATTATAATTTTCAAAGGTTCCAAAATTAATTTTTTTTTTGTAATATGCGTAGTTAGTAATTCCAGAATATAAATTTTTTAAAAAATTTTGAATTTTCCAAGAATGTTTCCCCATTTTTTCATAGTTTTAATTTATTTTCAATATTTTTAATTACCAAAGTCATTTTGAATTTCTGAATACGATTTTATAATTTTTCTCACCGATTTTTGAATGTTTAAACAAGCTTTTTAATTGTAGGACATTTATCAATTTTTAAAATACAAAAATCATTTTTCTTTTTTTTTGTAATATGTGAATTAGTTCCAGAACGTCATTTGGAATTTTTTGAACTGATTCTATAATTTTTGAAAACGATTTTATAATTTTTTGCCTGCAATATTTTAATTTTTGAACTCGCTTTTTAATTATTAAACAGTTGCTCTTAAAAATTTTGCTTTTTAATTTCTTAAATAGAATTTTCCATTTGTTTAAAATATTTTTTTTCAGTCCTCATTAATTTTTTCTTTTATTTTAAGCTGTTGTTATAGAAAAAAGTTTTCTAAAAGATGACGGTCATCATCAAAACGTTTCGACAAAAATTGCCGATACAATAAATGGTGTTATAAATAAATGGATGAAAGTTGGTGGAATTGATGTAAAAGTTTATTCATTATCAAGATTTACTCTTGGACGAGGTAATCTATTAATTATTGAAAGGAGTAATTTCTTTTTTTTTATTTATTTTTATGTTAATTTAATTTACTACCTATATGAAAGTATTTTATTTTAATAATTATTATTTTATTCTGATGTGGATTTATTTTTGAATCATTTTATATTTTAAATAAAATTAAATAAAATTATTTAAATTTTCCCAGAATTTTTCTCGAAACAATTGTCAAATTAAATTAAATTATTTAAATTTTTACATTATTTTATTTCTGAATTATTTTTCTTTCTTGTAATAAACAATTTTGTTGTTTTTCTGAAAAAATTTTGCTTTATTTTTGAATTATTTCCTATTTTAATATAATAACAATTTTCTGTTTTTTTAAAATAAGTTTTATTTTGGAATTCTTTTCCTTTTTAATAATAACAATTTGCTGTTTTTTTTAAATTTTCTTTTTATTTTTGGATTATTTATATTTTTAATAATAACAATTTACTGTTTTTTTTTTGCAAAAAATTTTCTTTTTTTAAAATTATTTTCTATTTTAATAATAAAAATTTGTTGGTTTTTTTTTTTTGAGGTTTACTACGAATTTTTTTGTTTAGTAAATAAGATATGTCAACAAAATTATTTTTCTTGATAATATTGCCAATTTTTTTTAAATTTAGTAAATTCTTATATTTCTTGTTTTTTAGATTTCACGATATTATTGTCAATCGCCTCTTGTCAATGGACGTGGGTATTATTTAAGCAAGCAAAAAAAGATGGACTTGTACATATTGCCATTACAGGTGAAATATTATTTTTAATATTAATTTTGAAAAATTTAATTCATTAATTTAAATTTAAGTAAATTAATTTTATTTAAAAAATATTTTTTTATTTTTTTTTTAATTTAATTTATTTTATTTTTTAAAAATATTTTTAAAAGTCAACACACAAAATAAATAATTCAAAGAAGAGAGAGACAAGAAATAAATAATACAGAGAAATATAATTTTTTTTTATTATTAATTTTTTTCTTTGTCTTATAATTATTTTTCCAAGCAGGTGTATAAAAGATATAATATTATTGTCTTCGCGATTGGTTATATAGAAATGGTGAGGGCGTAAAATGCGCACAAGGCATTGCAAATATAAATTTTGCTGGACTTCATTTGACATTAAAATTAATGAGCAATGTTGTATAAGTGTCACGTTTCTTGTGTCCCTAAAGTATTTGCGAAATACTGAGGTGATTCTCGAGTTTCCCTTGTTTCCTCAAATACGTTGGCAGAAAACGCAAATAGTGTTTGCTAGTATATCTTTATTTCCCTCTAGAGAAAACTAAATACTCTTAGCTGAAATATGATCTTAATCTTGGGAAAATTCAAAATTAGCCATTCCACTGGATAAACTGTTTCGTTTCGATTAAGTAATAAATAAAGTAAATTTACTTTTACAAAAAATTGAAATTTTAAACTCAGAGGGAAATAATAGTTTACAAATTTTCTTTGTAAATTCCTTCGCAAAATAATTCAATTATTTTTAAAAATAATAAAATTTTTTCAATTATTTATTTATTTTCATAAAAAATAATTAAAAATTATGTAGAAAATAATCTTTAATTATTATAAAACATGACCAAGTAATAAAATCATTATTTTATATTATAAGAATATTATTCTTCTTCAAAATTATTTTCATTATTTCAATTCAATTATTATTTTCAATAATATTGAACTAAAATTCTTCTTTAAATCGCGATTATTTTTAATAATTTTCGAAAAAGTTCTTTGGCAATTTTCAAATCCATTTGTTTACAATATTCAATTTCACGAAATTTCAATTATTCCTAAATTCTTTAATTAAATGCATATTAGAAAATAAAAACTTCAAATAATATAAAAGAAAATTCAATTAAACTTTTTCAAAAAAATTAATTTCAAAATTCAATTATTTCTAAAAATTCACGCTATCTTGCTTTTAATATTCAATTATAATCTAAAATTCTAACTGAAATTCATTTTTATGAAATGAAAATCAATTTTTTTAGAAAATTCTACAAGAATTTAATTATTCAAATGCAAACGTAAATAATTTATTGAATAATTGAATGTTTCTCAAAATTCAATTCTCATAAAGAATTTTAATAACAAATTTTTAAATAATTGAATTCTTTTGTCGAATTTTATTACAACTTGCATTGAACATACTTACTTTTTGCAAGAAAATTCTATTATAATTGTATGAAAAATAATTGAAACGCTGCGATGAGTTTTATTATTAGTAAAAATAATTGAATTCTTAAGAAGAATTTTATTACTTTTGAAAATAATTGAATTTCTGCAATAATTTGTAACTTCTCTAAAATTAAATTTTTTTCTAGTGTTTTTAACTAAAATTCTTCAATAAATCCATTATTTTTAATAATTTTTAAAAAATTTCTTTGAGAATTTTCAAATTCATTCGTTTACAATTCAATTTTACAAAATTTCAATTATTCGGCAATTCTGCAATTAAATATATATTTGAAAATAAAAACTTGAAATAATTTCAATAAAAATCCTATTAAACTTTTAAAAAGAATTAATATTCTACAGAATTGTTGGTCAAAAATATTAAAAATTAAGAATTTCAATAATTTTAATTTAAAACTTTTTCAAAATTTAATTATTTCTAAAAAATCTACGTTATAATGCTTTTAATATTTAATTATAATCTAAAATTTAAACTGAAATTCAATTTTAAAACCATTTTTATTAGTAAGTTCTACGAGAATTCAATTATTTAAATACAAAAATAAATAATTTATTAATTTCATGTTTTTTGAAATTAAATTTTAATAAAAATGTTAGCAACAAAGTTTTTAAATCATTAAATTCTTTGGACGACGAATTTTAATAAAATTTTTAACAATAATTACATTTTTTGAGGAATTCGATTAAAATTGCATTAAAAATAATTGAAATTATGCAATGAGTTTTATTATTTATGAAAATAATTGAATGCCTAAGAAGAATTTTATTATTTATAAAAAAATAATTGAATCCCTGTAAAAAAGTTTTTATTTATGAAAATAATTTAATTATTGCGAAGAAATTTATAAAAAAATTTTGTAAATAATTGAATTCCTGTAAAAAATTTTATTATTTATAAAAATAATTGAATGTTTGCGTAGAATTTTATTCAAATTTTTTTTTAATAATGGAAATTTTTTGTAAAATTCTATTGAAGTAGTAGATATTGAAAATCATTGAGTTTTAGAAAGCTTTTGAAAATAATTGAAATTTTGAAAAGAATTTGATTAAAATTTTGTAAAATAATTGAATATCAGAGAAGAATTTTATTATTTATAAAGAGAATTGAAATTTAGATGAGATTTTTTTAAAATATTTGAACACAATTGAATTTAGTAAATATGTTACTAAGTTTGTTAGTAAGTTAGTAACTAAGTTAGTAACTAACTTACTAATTTACTATTCTCCCTGGAGAAGCTTAATTCGTTGATTTTTGACAAATCGTTGACTTTGGTGTTTTATTTAAAGTAAAATTTCATTCATAGTTAAAAATAACAGCAAAATAGATTATTTTAATCCTTTCTGGTGTTAATTTAATCCTAGAGGGATTAAACTGTTGCAGATTATTTTAATCCATTCTGGTGTTATTTTAACACTTCACGTTTTACTGTGTAACTTTTTAACAATTAACAATTTTCTATTTTTTATAAATAAACAAGAGAAAAATTTGCATAAAAAAAAAAACGAAAAAAAAATTCGAAAAAAACTTATCCTTATTAATTATTATTATTTATTATTATTATTATTATTATTATATTATTATTATAATTATTTATTATTATACTTATTTATTTTCATAAATAATAAAACTCATTGCATAATTTCAATTATTTTTAATGCAATTTTAATCGAATTCCTCAAAAAAAACGAAATTTGTTATAGAAAAAAGCATACAATGAATTTCTGAAAAAAGTTACACTCTTCGAAAAATTGTGAAAATTTTTTGATTAAAAAAAATTTTAAATTCAATTTATTTATCTTTAAATATGAAATATTTATAAATTTTATAATTTAATAGTTTTTCTAAGAATCGAGAACATGTATTTTCAATTCTCAGCTATGTTTAAAAAATTCCTTCAACAGGTTCCGATTGTCCACGATTGCCAGATCAGGAAGGTATTAGCATACCTCTCATAAATCCTGGACAGGAGTTACCTCAATTATTCTTGGACTTAAGAGTTTCCGGTGCCCTATCGTGGAACAAAATTAACATTCTTTATGACACTTCTTTTCGTAAGTATGAGGAAAAAAAAAGATTTTTCAAACTTATTCGAACAAAAATGTATAAATATTAAGTTAAGTATTATAGTTAAATAATTGCAAAATTGATTAATTACTAAAAACAGTAAGAAATTCATCGATTAATGAAAATAAATAGAAAATTAATCAATTTCAAATTTTCATCTTTTGAATTTTAAAAAAATCAATGAGATATTAAAAATTAAATTATTAATTATATTATTATTATTATAAAATGATTGATATTTGTTTTTAAGAAAGGGACACAATCAGTAAAGTATTAAAATCTTTGTCGATACAATTGCCCAACAAGAAAATAAAGCAAGCATCGAGATCTTTATTTGCAATAAAATATGATAAAGATGAGATTGCCCTGAGGAAACAAATTACTGAAACATTAAGTGATTTTGAATTTGAAAAATTGGGATATTGTTTTATGGCTATTGTTAAAGTTGATATGGTGATACCATTAATTGAAGTGGTGAGATCATTTTTTATCCACATAGTAATAAAAATAATATTGTAGTAATTTTTTCATTATTTTTCCTACTAGAAACAATTATTTTTATATGATAATTCTTTCTCATTACTTTTCCTAATAAAAATAATTATATGATACTTTTTTTATTAACATTCTTTTACAATGTTTTCTTTGATTATTTTTTTAGTTACAATTTATTATTTCTTTGATTATTATTTTAGTTACAATTTATTATTAGTTTCGTATTATTATTTTTCCTAGTACTAATAATTATACCGAGCTAGAAAACTTCTATAGAATTTAAATAGAAATATAGTTTCTATAGAATTTCGTAATCCGTAATTTGATTAAAAAAGGACGAAAAGAGTTCGTAAATTGTACGATATAATTTGGAGAATTTTAGAGAAATTACAAATGATTTTAGAAATTCAATTATTTTCAAAAGTAATAAAATTCTTCGCAAAAATTCAATTCTGTTCAAAAATTCTTTTAAATTCTTGTCAAAATTTCAATTATTTTTAAAAATAATATAATTCTTACCCGAAATTCAATTATTTTCACAAATTATAATAAAAATTCTTGTCAAAATTTCAATTATTTTCAAAAATTCTCCCTAATTCATTGATTTTCAATATCTATTATTTTCAAGAAAATTTTCTAAAAGAATTCAATTATTGAAAGAAAAAATTTATTAAATTCTACGCAAATATTTAACTATTTTCATAAAATAATAAAAATTTCACAGACATTCAATTAGTTACAAATTTCTTCGCAATATAATTCAATTATATTTCTAAATAATAAAATTTTTACAGGGATTCCATTATTTTTCTAAATAATAAAATTCTTTTTAGGAATTCAATTATTTTCATAAATAGTAAAACTCATCGCAGAATTTCAATTATTTTTAATAAAATTTTAATCGAATTCCTCGATAAATGTAATTATTAGGTATTAAACAATAACAATTTTATTAAAATTCGTCAAACGAATTCAATTACTTAAAAATTTGTTCATAAAATTTCTTTATGAGAATTGAATTTTAAGTCAAATATTCAATAAATTATTTTTTTGTATTTTTATAATTGAATTCTAGTAAAATTTTTTAATAAAAATTGATTTGAAAATGAATTTCAGTTAAAAACAAATGAATTTGAAAATTCTCAAGAAACTTTTTCAAAAATTATTAAAAATAATGGATTTATAGAAAAATTTTAGCTAACACAAAAAAAATTGAATTTTGGAGAAGTTACAAATTATTGCAGAAATTCAATTGTTTTCAAGAGTAATAAAATCCTTCGCAGAAATTTAATTATGTTAACAAAAAAATAAAATTCTTAGGAATTCAATTATTTTCATAAATAATAAAACTCAATGCAGAATTTTAATTATTTTTAATTTTCAATTTTAATACAATTTTAATCAAATTTCTCGGAAAATGTAATTATTCTTTTAAATTTTTTTAAAAATCATCGAAAGAATTTAATTATTTAAATATATGTTGATGAAATTCTTTACGAGAATTCAATTTTAAGAAACATTCAATTTTTTAATAAATTATTAATTTTTGTATTTAAATAATTGAATTCTATTAGAATTTTCTAATAGAAATTGATTTAAAAATGAATTTCAGTTAAAATTTTAGATAATAATTGAATATTAAAAGCATTATAGAATGAATTTTAGAAAATAATTGAATTTTGAAATTAATGTTTTTGAAAAAGTGTAATTTAATTTTTGTTATATTATTTGAAGTTTTTATTTTCTAATATATATATTTAATTGAAGAATTTACAAATAATTGAAATTTGTAATATTGAATATCGTAAATGATAATGAATGGACTTTAAAAATTGTTGAAGAATTTTTTCAAAAATTAATTCATTGAAGAAATTGAAAAATTGAAAAATCAAAATTTTGATTGAAAAATTTTAGTGAAAAATTCCTAAAAATAATAATTGAATTGAAATGATGAAAATAATTTTGAAGAAGTTCAATATTTTTATAATATAAAATAATGATTTTATTACTCGGTCATCTTTAATTAATATAAAATATGAAGTTATGAAAAAATTTAATTTATATTTTTAAGTAAAATGTTCTCTAATTTGATTTAGACTGGTTATATTTTTGTCGGTAATTGGTCCGTAATTTTTCATTTTTGTCTGTATTTTTAAATAATTTCACTAAAATTCATTAAAATTTGTCATAGCAATCAAATGTTAAATTTAATTACACAATAATATAAAGTTTTGAAAAATGTTATTTCACGAATTTAAATTTTTTTAAATTTAATTAACTAAAATTTAATAAAATTCATGTAGAAATTCTATAGAATCATTCTAGTGAAATTCTGTATAATATTTACTAGAATTCATAGATAATGATTCTAGTGAAATTCTATATTTATGGTAATTTTTTTACTTTTTTTCTCCTAATGAAAATAATTTTACGATAATTTTTTCATTACTTTTCCAAATAAAAATAATTATAGGATAATTTTTCCATATTGTTTTTTGTACTTTTGAAAGTTATGTGTGTTATATGAAAATAGATAAAAATAATATTTTCTTCACAGGCAAGGTCAATGAAAATGGTTCATCCTGGTAATCAGTGGCTCTTCATATTGAGCGATGTATCGAGACGTAAAACAAATATAACAGCTTTAGCGCAAAGATTAATTGAGGGCGAAAATGTCGCCTTTATTTATAATCATACGAAGTTTGATCCTTCTTGTGAAGTAATTTACTTCGATAATTTCAATATTTTATTATTCTAGATTTATATATTATTATTTTTGTTTGTTAAAATATATTTTTGTTTGTAAATACTATATTTGTATTATGAATTATAATCATTAATATTGTATTTATAAATTTTTTATTCATACATTTTTTATTCATACATTTTTTATTCATAAATTTCTTATTCATAAATATTGTATTCATAGATATTATATTTGTACATTATTCATATTACTTTTTTAATAATTTATTAATTTTTAATTAAATTTTAATTGACATGTTTAATTAAATTATTTCTTTTAAAATATTTTTTAAAATTATTTTGACTGTTTTGAATTTTAACTTTTTGTTTATTTAAAAATTCAGAAAAAAATTAACTTATAATATTTCAGTCAGGTTTATTTTGTCACCTGAAAGAATTGACAAAAGCCTTATCGTTTGCGCTGGAAATCTCCTATAAAAGTGAATTAGATTTATTCTCAAGAGTAACTGACGAGGAATTTGAAGTTCTCAGATTAACGAAGGAAGAAAGAGTACAGGAAATTATTGAAAACATAAATGTTGGTAATTAATATCTAATCAATATAAATACAATAATTAAATTTGTAAAATATTGCAATAAAAATTAAAAATAAATATTTTTTTTATTTCTTTTTTGTATCATTATTTATACTATTAAAAAATTTTAAATAATGGACATAAATTAGGAAAATAGAAATAGAAATAAAAAGTTAAAATATTGCAATAAAAATTAAAAATAAATATTTTTTTTATTTCTTTTTTGTATCTTTATTTATACTATTAAAAAATTTTAAATAATGGACATAAATTAGGAAAATAGAAATAGAAATAAAAAGTTGTTAGAATTAATATGAAAAAATAATTAAATAAATTATAATTTTAATAGAAATTGATTGGAATTAAATATTAATTTAAATTTGATACAGTCGAACCTGGATATAAGTGGGAAACCTCTAATTATTGAGTTTCGACTGTAAATAAAATTATCTTTCTTTTTTTTCTTGTTTACAATTGTCAGTAATTTAATATTTTTTTTTGATTGCTTGCGACAGAAAGCCCTGAATGCAGAGAGATCGACATCCGATGGTAATTGCGGTAAATGCTTGACTTGGAGTATTGGATCCGCGATAACTTGGGGAAATTCGTTTGATTCCACTCTGGCAGGAAGGGGACAATTAATTCCCTCCGGGTCGTGGTCTCCAGGTCCGGGATCTAATTTATCAGATTCTGTATTCCCACATATTGATTATGGCTTTCGAGGTAAAACCCTGCCAATCATCACCTATCATGTGAGTTTATTTTATATACGTATTGCATACAATTTTTCTATTCAAATTTATTTCACCGCATTTTGTATACCTTGAATTTTTTTTTTTTTTTTTTTTGAATTATTTAATATTCCTGCCAATTAGCACATTCGTATTTTTATATATATTACATAATTATTTGCTATTCAAATTTTCTTCATTGTATGTTGGATTTTTATTTAAAAATAATTGGGTCATACTGTTATTATATTTTTAAATAAAAGTTGTTGAAGCTTTTTAAAAAAAAAAATTCATACTTTCAGAAATAATTCTGTATGATATGTATCACTATGTTCAATTTTTTTTTGTTAATATAACTACCTTGCGTAATTCATTGATAAAAATCTTAAAATTTGGTTATTTCAAAGACCATATATAATGATAAAAAATAAATTAAAAAAAAAAAAATAAATAAATTCAATAAGTAGGTAAATTTAAAAAAATAAATTTGAAAATTATTTTAGAATCCACCGTGGCAGATTGTTCAATATTCAAAAAATGGTGTACCAAATTATGAGGGTTTAACTTTCGACATTATCGATGAATTGAGTAAAAAATTAAATTTTTCATATCAAGTGATATTGGCGACAAATAATACGGGTGTCTCAAAAGCAGTCGACAATGCACCACGCTCATTGGTTTCAAAAAGGGTAACTTTTTCTTAAATTGAAACAATATACTATATAAGAAATCAATTAATTAAAAAATCTAAAAATTAAAAAAACCTGAAATTTTTTTTTTAAATGCATACAAACTAATTATGAATTTTCTAATTTTCTAAATTTTTTTCTTTTCTTGTTTTCTTTTTAAAATATATTACAGTTGTCAGATAATTTAAGTTACGAGGGAAGTGGAATGTCAGTGGGTCAGAAATTACCGGAAAGTGTTTTGGAAATGACGAGAAACAATAAAGTATTCTTTGCTGCTTGCATATACACTGTCTATGAAAATAAGAAGAAAATTATTAATTATACAATACCAATTTCAGTACAAACTTATACATTGTTGGCACCAAAGCCAAAAATACTGTCTCGAGCATTGTTGTTCATTGCTCCATTTACAGGAGAAGTATATTTCAGTTTTTTTAAATTTAAATACATGCACAAATTTCCATTTCATAAAATTTAGTTGATTTTTTATTAGAAATTATATCTATATTCATTAAAAATTAGTCGACAATTTTTTTTATCGAAATTATTTAATAGATAAATTATTAATGTTAATAATAATAATTAATAGTAATTTATTTATTAAATAATGTTAATAATAAATAATTATAATAATAATAATAATATTATTAGTTAATTAATTGTTAAGTAAATTTTTTACACCAATTAAATATTAATTAATATAATTCCAGTCTTCAGGAATTTTTCTTCACCTTCGGATCAGTAGCAAAAGCCATTTAAAGTCAGACAAAAGTTTTTCAAATTATTTTCTTGAATGTGTTATCAGTATTAATAATAAACAATCGTTAACTAACAATAAGATTGTCTGTCAAATTTCTATTAGTAGTATAGATAAATGTTAGTCAGACTCATAATTTTTGAAATTTATTATCAGTAGTAAAAGTCATTTAAAGTCAGGCACAAATTTATCAACTTGTCTCTTATTCGTATATAAGTAGTAAACGACAGTATTAGTCAGACAAATTAATACATTAATTTTAAAATTAGAAATGAACTATTAGTGGAAGTAAATTCACTTTTTAGTAGTAACTTTCTGTTAAAATTTCTTTACTATATCGTAAATTGAAGTAGTTTTTTTTTGCAAATCTACGAAAAGTCATGTCTGACTCTAAATGACTTTTATCACTGAGAAAAAATTACGTACATTTTATGTCTGATTCTAAATTATTTTTACTACTGAAGAAAATAAGTCCAATTTTTGGTCTGACTCTTAATTACCTTTACTACTGAGAAACAATTTACGTAAAAAATATTGTCAGACTTTAAATGTCTTTTACTACTGAGAAAAAATTACGTACATATCTTTGTCTGTCTCTAAATGACTTTTACTACTGAGAAAAATATAAACAATTTTTTGTCTGACTCTAAATTTCCTTAACTACTTAAAAATACGTAAAAAAAAATTTTTTGACTCTAAATGACTTTTACTACTACTAATTGAAAAAAAAATTATAGAATTGGTAGAAAAGTTGTCCGAATATTAGTATCGTTTGCTGTTGATCATAAAAAAAAGTAAAAAGATCTTTGTCTGGCTTTAAATGTTTTTTCAACTAATGGCTTTTACTATTGAGAAATAATTTGCTTAAAAAATTTTTTGTCCGACTTTAAATGACTTTTACTACTGAGAAAAAATTACGTACATTTTATGTCTGATTCTAAATTAGTTTTACTACTGAAAACAAATAAGTTCAATTTTTGGTTTGACTTTGAATTACCTTTACTACTGAGAAACAATTTACGTAAAAAATATTGACTGACTCTAAATGTCTTTTACTACTGAGAAAAAATTATGCACATTTTTTGTCTGGATCTAAATGACTTTTGCTACTGAGAAATATAATTTACATTTTTTGTCAATTCTCTGTCATTTACAGTTTTTTGTCTGACTCTAAATTTCCTTGACTACTTAAAAGAAATACGTTATAAAAATTGTCTGATTCTAATTGACTTTTTACTACTTCTAATTGAAAAAAAAAACTATCGAATTAGTAGAAAAGTTGTCCGAATATTATTATCGTTTGCTGATGATTATAAAAAAAGGAGAAAGACATGTGTCTGACTTTAAATGTTTTTTTCAAACCAATAGCTTTTACTACTGAGAAAAAATCACGTTTATTTTTTTTGGATTCTAGATGACTTTTACTACTGAGAAAAAATATCAATAATTTTTTGTCTGACTCTAAATTACCTTTACTACTAAAAAAAAACATATACGTAAAAAATTTTTGTCTGATTCTAAATGACTTTTATTATACAGAGAGAAAAAAATTTACGTATTTTTTTTTGTCTGACCCAAAATTACCTTTACTATACTAAGAAAAATTTACGTTAAATCTTGTCTGACTCTAAATGACTGTTACTACTGACACAACTAATTGGAAAAAATTACAGAATTAATATAGAAAACTTGTCCAAATATTATTAGCGTTTGCCGCTGGTTATGAAAACAAGTAGAAAATCCCTTTGTCTGACTTTAAATGTCTGTTACTACTGATTTATTATTTTCATCACAATTTTTGTTTTCTTTTATTATCTATTTTACATTTATATTAATTATTCAATTTCTTTTTCATTAAAGACCTGGGCCGTTTTGAGTTCAACAATAATAATAATGGGACTAATTTTATACCTGATGAATAAATTGAGTCCAAAACCGGCGATTAGCGCACAAAAGGTTGTTGGTCTTAACACTCCATATCAATGTGTGTGGTACGTCTATGGAGCTCTTCTTCAACAAGGTGTGTTATCATCTCGTTCTTGGAAGCGTAACGTTTAATAATATAATGATAATAAATAATATATATATTCAACGCAACTCATCAGCCTTGTCTCTCTTCATATTCTGTACACTAAATATTATAGTTAATACCTGAGGCATGTCAAAGAAGGATGTACCTAAGTAAATTATCATCTATTTTTACATTCACTTTAAGCAACATTTCTTCCATTAGCATTGTATAATCATATACAATTATCAATGGTACATTGATATTGTTTAAAAAAAAAAATTTGATTAAAAATATTTTTTATTTAGAATTTTATATAGGGTCAGTTGAGGTAAATAGGAACAGATTTGCTAAGTTTTACCAATAACATAAGTTTTTCTTTTAAATCCGAATACTTTTGGTTTTTTTTGTGTGTTGAGTTATTATTTCACTTCCGTGGAACAATTTTATGGAGTAGTAAAAAATATGGGAATCATTAAATCGTAATAATCAACTGTTTGTATTTACCCCTAAATTTTTCAACTTTGCTAAAATTTAGGGGTAAATAGGAACAGTTGATTATTTCTTACAAAATTTAAGAAAAAATCAATTTCAAGTATGGAAATGTTAAAAGATACAAAGAATTACATAAAAATGATGTTAGTCATAAAATAATTCAGACTAATAAATAATAATGCATTACGTAAGTTTAACCCTTTAACGCCCAGCGTTTTCGATCAAAACCACTTTTGACTTTAAACCTTCACAACTTTGACAAAAATAAAAATATTTTTGATTTCTAAACACCCAACACCCACAAATTTATTCTACTTTGTGAAAAAAATTTATAGTACAATAAAGAATTCACAATTTTTTAATTCAAACAATAATAAAAAAGAATGTTTATGGCAAGATTTACAACAAAATTACAAAATCGAAAATTAAATAAGGCTTAGCTAATGAAAATGACTACTTGAGGGTTTTTGAGGTCGCTGATTACGAATCCGATGTCAGTTTTTCAAAATAAAAATGGCCGTCAAAAAAAGAAGAAAATTGCGCTTTTTTTTAAAAAAGTCGAGTTTTAAAGCCAAAAGATGAAACACATTTCACAAATAAAGGTTTTTTTCTTTATTTTTTTCTTCTTTTCTCTCTTATTCTCATATATAATGCTGAAAATAGTGTTGTAGTTTGAAAGAAACAATTTTCTCTCTTTCCATTATAAGAAATATTATTGAAATTTCTGCTGTTCCTATTTACCCCGAATTTCCAGTTTTTAGGGGTAAATAGAAACAGTCTCATATTTTTAATTAAAGTTTGCAAAATTAAAAAATCAAAGCTGATTTTTGTTGTAGTATTAATAAGAAATAAATATAAATTTTAATATGAATTTTTAGTTAATTTTTTTCCAAAAGCGAGTCAAGAAAGTGAAAGGGTGTCTTCTTTGATTTTCAATTTTTTGTGCAATAGGAAATATTTTTGTATATATACTGCTGCTAATTGACAAACGGAAAATAGGAAAATACTTAGAACTTGTTGGGGGTAATATAAGCTTCAAGATGTAAGGCCGTATTTATTTTAAAAATTTTTTATTTAACTGAAATAACTACTGTTCCGATTTACCCCTTGTTTCTATTTACCCCAACTGACCCTAGAATATTTTTTGTATAAAAAAATTAGTCGATTAAGAAATAAATAGGAAAATTTAAAGTATAATAGAAGGGGTGGGGTGAGGGAGGAATTAATAAATTTATTGATTAATTGAATTTCGTCAAAATAAGAAAAAATTTTTTCTTATTTCGAAATATTTCAATTTATTTTTCTAATATTTGCTTTCTATGTATTTTTTATTTTTAATTTTTTATTAATATATTTTTTTAGTTTTTTTTTTAGTTTTTGCTTTTTGGTTACACAGATTTTCTAAGGATATCAAATTGAGACTAAAAACGAATCAAAACGTTGCTTCGCAACATTTTTGATTCATTTTTATTCTCAATTCGATATCCTTAGAAAAAGTGTGAATTTTTTTTGTGTAGTTATTATTTTCTATTCTTTTAGTTATTTTTTGTTTTTACTTTTTAGAGCTTTTTACTTATTTTATTTTAGTTGTTAAGTTTTAGTTTTTTTATTGTAGTTTTTAATTTTTAATTTTTAGTTGTTTTTAATTTTTGTTCCTAGTGTTTTTTCAGTTATTCTGTTTAATTTTTAGTTTCTGTTTTTTAGTTTTATTAGCATCAGATAATTTTGTTGAAATTTAAATAAAAATAATTTTCAAAATATTTCAATTTAATTGAATATCTAATGAAATTAGTTGCATATTTGATAATATACAATAAATTGAAAAAGTTTTAAGTAATAGAAATTTTGTCAAATTAAATTGAAAATAATTTAATTTTAAATTGCATTTTAAGTGAATTTTTTTAAATTTTTGAATAATTCAATTCTTACAGAAGTTAATGAAATTTATTAAAGATTTTAGAAATAATTGAATACTGAGAGAGTAATTGTTGTAGAAACTTTCTTAAATAATAAAATTGCAAAAGATTTTAATTTGAAATTTTTGAAGACTTCAATTTTGAATAATAATATCTTTAGTAATTTTTTAAAATTTCTGAATAAGATATTCAATTGAAAATAATCTTTTTAATAATTAAATTCGCAAAAATAATGAAAAATAAATGATTTAGTAAATAATTTTAGTAAAAAAATTTAGAAAATAATCGAATTTTCGAGTAGTTATAAGTAGTAGTTGTTTTTATTATTAATTAAAATATTAACTTTCCTTAAAAAAAATTATATCAACATTTTTTTAAATAATTGAATTTTTTAAACGAATTTTAATAAAATTTTTAAACATTATAATTGAATTTGGCTAGAATTTTACAGAGATTACTAAAAATAATAATTAAATTTCTAAATTTTTATTTTTTACTTTAAAAAATAAATTTTAAATTTTAAATTAAATTAACATTTTTTTTTATTTTATTATACAATTATTTGAATTATTGTTAAGATTTTTATTGAAATTTTTGAAAATAATTTAAAATTTTTTGAGGAATGTAATTGAAATTTTATTGAAGATGAATTAAAAATGAAAAGAAAACAAAAAACAGGTGGAATGCATTTGCCACAAGAGGACAGCTCTCGTCTAATTGTTGGAACTTGGTGGTTGGGTGTAATGGTTCTTGTGGCCACTTATTCCGGAAGTTTAGTGGCATTTCTCACATTTCCAAGAATGGACAACACTGTTACGACAATTGACGATCTTCTCGAGAGAAACGCAGAATTCACCTGGGGCTTTCCGAATGGTAGCTTTCTCGAGGATTACCTTGAAAATACTGAGGAATCAAAATATCTGGAACTACTTTCAAAAGCTGAGCGACACATTTCAACGAGTGATATGAATATTGTCAGTCGTGTTCAAGATGGAACTCATGTTTTAATTGATTGGAAATCATCATTGAAATATCTCATGAGAAAAGATCTCACTGAAACGGGACGTTGTCATTTTTCCCTTAGTAGTGAGGATTTTATCAGTGAACCAATTGCCATGATGATTAGCAAGGACAGTCCTTATTTGACAATGATTAACAGAGAGTAAGGATTGAATTTTTTTTTTGTTGAAAATTTTCTTTTTTTTTTTGTAAATTTTTTCAGTTATATAATTATTTTTCTGATTTGTAATTTATTGCTCTATTCTTTTTTGAGTTTTTTTCGAGTTTTCATTTTTACTTTTTTAATGTTCTTTTTTTAAAAATTATTAACTTGTTCATTTTACACTAGAATTCCAATTTATTGGAATTTTTAAGGAATATCCACTAAATCGGGATTCGAGTGTAGCTTCAATAATATTTTTTAAAAACATTTTTTACTCTATGTATTTATATTTTTATATAAAATATATTTAAAAGTGTTAAATTGCTTATTTTACACTATAATTCCGAGTGAATAGAAATTTTTTTTCGTAATGTCTACGGAATTTTTTTTTAAATTAGAATTTAATTATTTTCATGCTTCGTAATTTCTTTCATCCTTTGTTTTTTGAGTTTTTTTTCGAATTTTTATTTTATTTTTCGATTTAGTTTTTTAACTTTTAATTTCTTTTATTAAATGGTAACTTTTAATTTCTTTTATTAAATGGTTCATTTTACACTACAATTCCGATTTATTGAAATTTTTTTAGGAATATACACAAAATCGGGATTCCAGTGTAGTTTAATTAAATAAGCAATTTAGCACTTTTAAATATGTTTTATATGAAAATATATAAAGTAAGAAATGTAAAAAATATTAAAAAGTACACTGGAATCTCGATTTAGTGGATATTCCTAAAAAATTCCAATAAATCGGAATTCTAGTGTAAAATGAACAAAAAAAAATATTAAGATTTTATTATTATGCTTCATAATTTTTTCCATCTTTTGTTTCTAGTTTTTTTTGTATTTTTAGTTTATTTTTAGATTTACTTTTTTAACCTTCAATTTTTTTTTATAAATGTTAAATTGCTAATTTTACACTAAAGTTCCGATTGTCCACTAAATCGGGGTTCCAGGGTAGTTATCAATCATATTTTTTTTTACCTAATGTTTTTTTTTACCTTCTTTACTTTATAATTTATATATTTATTTATCACTTTTTTTTAAATATAATTTTTTATTGCTTTCAGATTGAAACGAATGCATGAAACGGGATTAATCGACAAATGGATTCTCGAAAGGATGCCATTAAAAGATGAGTGCTGGGAGAGCGGTGCAAATAATCAAGAAGCTGATAATCATAAAGTTAATATGGGCGATATGCAGGGAATATTTTTCGTCCTTGCCATTGGTAAGAAAATTAATTACTCGAATAATAAATAATAATTAATCTAATTAATTCTTAAAATTAAATTAAAGATTAAATAAATTAAATTGAAAATAAACTAAAAATTAGGTAAATAAAATGAACTTAATAATTTCAATTTGAAATTAATAGTAAATTTAATGAAAATTAAATTAATTAAGGAAATAAATAAGATAAATAATTAAATAATTAAATAATTAAACAATTAAATAATTAAATAAGATGAATAATTAATTGAGTGAAATCGGTATTAAATAAATTTTTAAATCTCTCTTAGAATTTACCGAATTTAGATTTTTAGTTCAAAAATTTAGTCTTAAATTTATATTCAAAATATTTGGAAATTATGCAATTTGAAGAAAAATCATATTTCAGTTGATATTATACATATTTTTTTTACGATAAAACTGACTGAAAGGAAATGAACAGTAAATATTTCAATCTTGTCCATAAATCTTTTGTCTTAAAGTGCAATAATTAGTTTCTTTTTTCTTTAATATTCTAAGAAGTGTATTATTTCAAATGTCAGTGAATTATTTCGATATAATTACACCTTGTTCATTTAACGCACTGCACATACTGTTTACCTACATTCTTTAAAAAAAATCCCTGAAACTGATTTTTTAATTTCAAGTCACTGTTGTAAAAGAATTGTATTACGCAAAATTAACTATATAATTTTAGAAAAAAAAATTTTTTCTACATTTACAATTACTTTTTCTACTTTGCCTCTACTTTGTAAATTATCATCCTAATAATTTTTATTAATTTATATGATAAATAAATTATAAAAAATTAAAATAAATTAATTAATATAATAAATGATAAATCCTAAAAACATTTTATGATTATTATTATTATTATTATTATTATTATTATTATTATTATTATTATTATTATTACTATTTTTATTGTTATTAGTAATGTTAATAAATAAATCTCTGTACGGTTTTATCCCCGTTTGTTTATTGAATAAATAAATTAATTAATAATGAAGTATTAAATAGATGCAAATTTTCAATAATTATATTTTTAATTGAATTTCTTTTAGGATTTATAATGGCAGCAATATTAATTAGCTGTGAATTTGGTTGGCATAAAAAAGAAGAGGCACATGAACGTAAACTGATTCGTCCTTTCGTTACTTAATGCTTTGTAACTAATTATTACAATTAACAATTTATTGGAGTAATAATAATTTCCTTAATATTAAATTAATAAGATAACTACTATTTAACGTTAAAAATTAATTAATTAATTAATTAAGAAAACAATTTAATAAAAATTAACTATTTGTTTCATATAAATGTTAAATTAATTAAATAATTATTATTATTACATTAAATAAGTATTAAAATTTTAAATGAACGTTTTAATGAATGTTTGTTCAACGTGAGATTTCAAATTAATAAATTAACTATTTGCTTAATAAATATTTATTTTGTGATTAAAAATTATTTATTTATTATTAGATTACTATATTTATTTACTTGTTTCATAATATAATTGAATTTGAATAAATAAATAACATTTATCATAATAATTGAATTTCAATACATAAATAACATTTTCACACGATTTTACAAAAAAAAAAAAACATTGTTGAAAAAAATTTAAAATGCAAATTATTTTGTTTTGCGTTTTCTATTCGATTTAAAATAAAAGAAATTGAATGAATCGGTGGTGCGAAGCAATTATCCTTAAAGGTTTCATTGTTCCATTGCACCGTGGGTAAAAGTCATGAAATTACATAATCGGTAATGATTCCCCTTCTCCAATCGCTTGTTATTTTACGCTATTTCACTTTCCTAATGAATGAAAATCATAACTAGATCAGATTTCAATTCTTCAGTCGCAATCTTTCCAACTTGAGTGCAAGCTAAAGTCAATTAATGTGTGAATAGAGAAAATTTCCTCAAAAATGTAAAAAGGTTAGATAACAAATTTAATTACGTAATTTTTTTTTTATTGCCTAATTACCGAATAAAATAATTTTTTTATTGATTATAAACTACTGAATAATTGTTATAATTACTGAATAAGTAGTAATTGGTTGAATATTTTTATCCCTTTATGAATATTTAATAAATTTTTTCATCGATAATAGGAAGAATTTTTCTTTATTTTTCTTGTTATCAAAAAATGAATTTAATAACTCCAGTAATTACCGAATAATTTTTAATTACTGAATATTTATTAATTACTAATAAATAACTACCTACTAAATAATTATTAATTCAATAATGAATTAATAATGATTCCATTATTTATCGGTATAAACTGATAAATTGTTAATTGTTAAATAATTATTAATTCATAATACTGAATAATTGTTAATTACCAAGTAATTGTTAATTACCAAATAATTATTAATTATTTGATCAATTTCATCCAATTTGGAATTAATTTGATACTTGCAATGAAACTGTAGGAATATAATAAATTTATTATAATTATTTTTATAATTCCTTGAGTTCATGAAATGCTAATTGATTCCTCAACAATTAAATTATTAATTTATTATTTACAAATTATAACAGTAATTAGAATTTTTAACATTAAAAAATTGTTCGAAAAAAATTCTTCTTTTCAAAACAGATTTTTCGTAATTTTTCGAATCTTTTTTTGATCTTTTGTAACAAAAAAAAAAAAAAAATGCAAAACAAAAGGAATAAAATTTGCAATCAAAGTTTCTCGAGTCTGGTGTGTATAATAAAGGGATATAAATTTTTCGACTGATTTCAATCTGACAGGCGAAAAAAAAATATATTAACGAATCTTAAAGATAAAAATTGTGATACCGGTTATATTATTTATACCCATATGGAAGCTGCTGTCACAAAATACATTTGCATCTTTTTCTATTTAACGGCTTTGAAAATTTTTTTTCTTGCTTTTTATTCTCTCTTTCTTGCACGCTATTTAATCTTACATAACGTGTGTGTGATCTATAGGAATAATTCTGTGTGAACTTGAAGCTTCTATTGTAAAATTTTCTCGTCGATCTTGATCGGTGATCGCGCACTAACGATGTATATATATAATCATATATAATAAAGAAGAAAAGAGTCTAGGACAATGAAACAGAGCGCAATTATAACTCATTTAATAAACATATATACGCGTGAATTTTATGAAAATGAATATGGACATGATTAATGATATTCGTTTCCGTTCATTTTCAAATGAGAAAAAATTTTTTTTTTTATTATTGGAAAACTTTCAATATATGTTTATAAATAAAAGTGTTTTATTATTTTTCTCTTTTCTTTTTTTGGGAAATTGAAAATTTTCTTATAATTTTTTACGGTGGAACAAGAATTTATTTGGTTCAAATAATTATATATGACAATTATTAATTATTAATTAATTAAATTAATTAATTAATTAATTAATTAATTAATTAAATTAATTATTAATTATTATTTATTATTATTTATTATTAATTATTATTAATTAATTATTAATTATCAATTAAGGGCATTTGAACCATGATGACGTCACAGATTTAAAACTAATGCTTTGCACAAACTGTGACGTCATCAAGGTTCAAATCCCCTTAATGTTTATTTATATTGAATTGAATTAATTTATATTACTTATGTTTTTCAGTAAATTGATAAAGATTTCAATTTTAAATCACTATTTCAAAAAAAATTTCTATTTGCAAATTTTTATTTTTGGGGAAATTGAAAATTTTCCCTTCCTTCTTCCAGTGGAAAAAAATTTATTTCATTCAGATAATGGATTGAAAATTAATAAATTAATATTTATTTCTGTAGAATAAATTTTTAATTCACACAGATTTTTTAATTTTAAAACAATATTATTTTTCCTAAATTTTTTTCGCTTTTTTCCAATATTTCTTTTTTTAATATTTTATTTTTCTCAAGTTTTTCATTATAATTTCTTTTTTAAATATTTTATTAAATTATTTTGTTAATTGAATATTATCAAATTAATATTCATTTATATCGAATAAATATTTTTTTTCAGTTAATTTTTGAAAATAAATAGAAAATAGTGTTTTAGATTTAAAATCTAAAACACTATTTTCTATTTATTTTCAAAAATTTCTGTAAACATTTTTTTCAATTTTTTTATTCATTTGTCATCAAAAAAATAAGAAACAATATAAATTATTTTATTTATTTAATTCATACACGGGTTCAAAGCAGATTCTTTCAAACCCTTGATTATAATAATAAAATACGAATAAATTATTATTTATTAAAAGTACAATGAAATTGAAAAAATAATTATAATTTATTTATATTATCTATTTATTTATTTTAGATAAATTATATTTATTTAGTTTACGTAAGTAAATGAAAATAAATAATTATTATTTGGTACTATTTATAATTGTTGTCTTTTATATTTATTATTGTAACAATAACATTAATAAATATAAAAGACAATAATTATTATTAGGTTACTTATTATTATTATTATAATTTATTAATTATTTATTATTGCATTATTAATTATTGTCATTAAAGTATTGTTATTAGTTTTACTATTATATTTTTTTTTTAATTAAATCTATAAATAAATTATATTTTTAAAAAAAGTGGAAGTGTTTGTGAAATTATATTTTCATGTGGTGGAAAAGAATTTTCCACTAGTTTTTTTTTTCCGCAGAATGAGGAAGAAGTCAATGAATGATTTGTGGATTTCGTGGAGTTGAGGGAGGAAACTATCGTGTGAAATGATGGTACGGGGTTATCTACCTGACGACCTTGCGTGTTAAAAAACCCTGAGAGTCGTGGCGGGCCCCGCGGCAAGAACCGCGGCAGTTCCGCTGAAGAACGCGTCCGGCAAAGACTATATTTTCTAATCTTCTAATCATTCACTATTTATTTATTTATTTTATTCATTCAGTAAGTCATTTTTTTTTCTCCTTAAATTTTATTCCATAAAAAAGTATTGTTGTTTTTTCGTGTGTTTGCTTCAATATAAAATTATGTGACAAAATTTTAAGTGATATTTAACAGTGCAAATTTCGCGGGTTTTTTTACGTAATCTCTCTTTTGGATTCTTTGTGTCTCTCTCTCTCTCTCTCTAAAAAAACACTCTCTGGAGATAATTTGAGAAAATTATTTCATCAGTGAACGGGGAGGACAATGGAAAAAACCAGTTGGATTATTTTCATGAATCGTATGTAAAAATTTTTTTGGTATTTTAAAATTTATTTGGTTTTTTGATATTTTAATTTTATTAGTTTTTTGTTAATTAATTAAAAATTTTTAATTAATGTATTATTGTTATTATTTACTTATTGAACCTATTATTTATTCGTTTACTATTTTATTATTTATTTATTTATTTATTTACTATTTTATTATTTATTTATCGTAATATTTAATAATACTGACAAATTTTATTTTATTTCTCATTTCTTTCTGAATTTCTAATTCTATTCGCACAATTAACTGAAATTTAATTATAGAGTCTCGTAGTTTTAGCATATAATAATTTTTTATAAACGGTATTAATTCTAGATGTGTATTATTATAGTTATCATACATACTTTTCATTTGAAATAAAAAAAATACATATTTTGAATATTATTCTTCGAGTTTGTTTTAAAATTACGTAACATTCGGCTAGAAAAGAGCAGCAATTTTAGAGCATTAAAAAACATAATTAATATCTATATAATAATTTTTAGTTAGCAACTATAATTATTTATAATCACGTCAAAATTGTTTGTTAAAAATACCTGTCGATGTCATAAAAAAAAATTCTCAAAAAAAATTTCCAGAAAGAATTTGTTCTATATTATTATTTAATTAACATTATTCACTCAAATTATAATTAAAGATTATTAACTTAATTATTGTTTTATTTATTTATTCAAACTTAATTAATTAACAATGAATATTGTCTCGTTTGTATGCTAAATAATAAATAAATCCTTAAATTTGTGGTAATTTATAGTAAAAATAATTAAAAATTTAGTGGAAATTTTCACTAAAAAATATTTTTCTCACAGGGTGTCTACTAACCGGGAAACCCGGGAAAACTGGGGAATAGCCTTAAATTTAATTTGACCGGGAAGAAAGCCAGGAATTTTATGTCAAACCGGGAATTTTTTCTCACCAAATTAAAAAAAGTTTTATTATTTTAATTTGATTTTGAAAAATCGCTTTTTATTTTAATTTTTATAGATATTTATACTGTTCTCTAAATTTGAATTAATTAACAATAATTAATTTGATAGTAAAAAATTAAATAAACTAAAAAAAAATTATCAAATTAATAGAAATTTTGAGAAATTCAACTGAAAATAATTAAATTTTTTAAAGAATTTCATTAAAAATTTTTTAACAAATCGACTTTTCAAAGTATTTTAAATTAATAATTGATAAATAATTGAATTTTATATAAAGAGTCACATTCTAATGTATTCATGTTTCTTTGTGCGAAGATTAATAATTAAAATTTTTATTACTTAATTTAAAGAAAGATACACACTTAAAATTTTTTAATAAAATTGAATTTTCGCAAAGTTTTTTTTTTGAAAATTCTGAAAAATAAGATTTTTGAAATTTTTCAATTCTGTTGTTTCAAGATGATTGAAATTTTATAAATAAATAATTGAAATTTTTAATTTACTTTTAAAGAATTTTATTTAAATTTTTAGAAAATAATCAAGGAAAGTTAGTCACCGTAATTATTATAATATTATTCTTAAAAATTTCTTCGCAATATCAATTATTTTCATAAATAGTAAAACTCATTGCAGAATTTCAATTATTTTTAATGTAATTTTAATTAAACTCCTCGAAAAGTGTAATTATTCTTAAAAATTTTATTAAAATTCGTCGAAAGAATTCAATTATTTCTAGAAACTAGAAACTGAAAAAAAATCTTCTCAAGAATTCAATTATTTCCATAAATAGCAAAATTCTTCATATTTACTGAATTCTTTTGAATATTATTTTTTAAAAAAATTCTTCACAAGAATTCAATTATTTTTATAAATTTCCATAAAATTCTAAAAAGCAATTCAATTATTTTCAAAAGTATTAAAATTCTTCGCAGAAATTCAATTATGTTTGAAACTTTTTTTAAATTCTCCTCAAAATTTTAATTATTTTTATAAATACACTTAAATTGTTCTCCACAATTCAATTATTTGCAAAAATTTTAATAAAATTCTACGCAAACATTGAATTATTTTTATAAACAGTAAAACTTATTCCATAATTTCAATTATTATTAATACAATTTTAATCAAATTCCTCGAAAAATGTAATTATTCTTAAAAATTTCTTCTCAAGAATTCAATTATTTCCATAAATAGCAAAATTCTTCACATTTACTAAATTCTTTTGAATATTATTTTTCAAAAAAATTCTTAACAAGAATTCAGTTATCTTCAAAAGTAATAAAATTCTTCTTCTTCGCAGAAATTCAATTATGTTTAAAATTTTTTTAAATTCTCAAAATTTTAATTATCTTTATAAATACTTAAATTGTTCTCCACATTTCAATTATTTGCAAAATTTTTAATAAAATTTTACGCAAACATTTAATTATTTTCATAAATAGTAAAATTCATTGCATAATTTCAATTATTTTTAATGTAATTTTAATTAAACTCCTCGAAAAATGTAATTATTCTTAAAAATTTTATTAAAATTTGTCGAAAGAATTCAATTATTTCTAGAAACTGAGAAAAATGCTTCTCAATTATTTTTATAATTTTCAATTATTTCTATAAATAGCAAAATTCTTCAGATTTACTAAATTCTTTTAAATATTATTTTTAAAAAAAAATTCTTCACACGAATTCAATTATTTTCATAAATTTCCATAAAATTCTAAAAAAGTAATTCCATTATTTTCAAAAGTAATAAATTTCTTCGTAGAAAATCAATTATGTTTACAATTTTTTTTAAATTCTCCTCAAAATTTTAATTATCTTTATAAATACTTAAATTGTTCTTCACAATTCAATTATTTGCAAAAATTTTAATAAAATTCTACGCAAACATTCAATTATTTTTATAAATATGTAATAACATTCTTTGGAAGGATTCAATTATTTTTATAAATAGTAAAATTCTTTGCAGAAATTCAATTAGTATCAATAAATTTTATTAAAATTGAATTAATCAAATTTTTGAATTATTCTTATGAACAGACAAGATTGCTTAAATTGAAAAAATTCTTTGTTCAATTCAATTATTTTCCAAATTTTCAATTAAAATTGTTTTAAAAAAAATCTTCAAAAAATTTAAAGAAACTTGTCAAAAGAATTTAATTATTTATAAAAACTCTAATAAAAAAAAAAATTTGCAAGCCATTTGTAGATTTATTTATGTTATCAAAAACAAAAATAAATTTTCTGAAAAAAAATTAGTACAAAGCTGGGAATTTTGTTGAACGAAAATAGTAGACACCTTGTATTTCAAATTTTCAATATATATTTCAATTTCAATATATTTTTCCAATTGAATAAATAATTTTCAAGTTTCCTTTCTCCTGGTGAACGGTCACTATCAAAATGCCAACAATGAACATTGGATGCGTCAAGTTCCACGACGTCCGGTGGACGTAATGACGGATGTCATCAATAGTTTAGGAATTAATATACTTCAACAGTATCATGTGCCAGGAAATGTTGCATTTTCTCCCACGGGCCTGGGCTTTGTACTAATTGCCCTTTACGAGGGTTCAGCTGGACGTGGCAGTAAACAAATTGCCGATTGTCTTCAATTGCCGCACGATCGGCAAATCACTCGAATTGGACTCAGAGACATTCATCGTAGACTCCGGGTAAATCGCAACCATTTTCTTTCCACATTTTCTCTTTATTATCAATTTTAAGAAAATTTATAATTAGAAAATTTTGAATTTTAATTCGAAAATGCTAATTTTTATAGTTATTTTTTTAGCACACAGAAAATGGTGCAAGAATTTTTGTCAAGATTATTATTTTGACAAAAATTGCACAGCAATTTTTGTCAAGATAATAATCTTGACAAAAATTCTTGCATTATTTTCTGTACACTCTTTCTCTTAATCCTCAATTTTTTGAAATTTATAATTAAAAAATTTTGAATTTAAATTAGAAAATGCTAATTTTTAGTTGTACTAAAAATTGGAGAGAAGTAAATAATTAAATTGATTTTTAAGAGCTACCTGAATGCGGACGGCTTTCTTGGGGGACTGAATTTGAACAAGGACAACACGCGCTTGCGTCCTGAATTTGAGGACATTTTGAGATTTTACGGTTTTGATTTCACGATAGATAATTCACAGATGAATGCGACTGATGCGACGACTGTTAATATTAATGATAATACAACCATGGCTGGTGATATGATGAATACAACGGTGAATAATACAATGGGGACTATGGTTGCTGATGGAGCTGCTAATCAGGGAGCAAATGGTACATCAGGAATGGATGGAATGTCAACAACGGGAACTCCTGCAGCCGCAACGACGCTTCCTCCCGATGGAGCGAATCCTCAAATGACGGGCGGAACATCCGCAGCAACTACAATAAATCCCCCAACAACAACCATTGATACTTCTGTTGATATTATTTCCGTAACGCCTAATAATTCCGCTATTAGACAATCGACAAGCTCTACTGTTTCTGCTTCTTCCACTTCTTCGTCTTCATCTTCTTCTTCGCCATCTTCATCATCATCTTCTTCTTCTACTTCTCCATCTTCTTCTTCTTCTCCATCTTCTTCATCATCATCTTCTTCTCCTTCTTCATCATCATCTTTTTCTCCTTCTTCGTCATCATCTTTTTCTCCATCTTCTTCTTCCTCATCTTTTTCTCCATCTCCTTCTTCCTCTTCTTTTTCTCCAAGTTCTTCCTCATCATCATCAACGTCATCATTATCCTCGTCGTCATTGTCCTCATCGTCATCAGTTTTCGACACACCCACAAGTGACAGTGATTCGTCGGGGAGAATTTCGAGTTCGGTATCATCGAGTACAATGAGTTCGATGACAAATTTTGCTGATTCAATGGCACCGTTCTCGGTGGCAAATTCCGCGAGTAATTTGGGATCGAGTAACGAACTTGAAACACCCACGGAATCATTGACCTCGACGAGAATGGAGAGCACAACGTTCGCCTCACGCTTGGTACCGACGAGATCAGCATCATTCGGTCCAATGACAGTGACATTGAATTCGAGGCCGAGTTTATCGACACTTAGATCAACCACTTCGGACAAATTTCAAACTTCGTCGCGCATCCTCGACTCGATTACGTCCACGATGCGGAAGCCGAGGATGAGTACAACAAGTATGATAATAATAAAAATAACAATTATTATTTTCATTCAGAATAAAATTGTAACATTTGGTTTAATTAAATTTGACTTTTTAATTAAATTAAAAATAACTCATTGGGTTACTATACAATTAGTTTTTTTTTAAATTTAATTAAAAAGTCAGTCTCTGATTCAAATATTAGGTACTTCTACTATATAATCAAATAGTGGAATTAATTAATAATTAGGTACTAATTATTAATTAAATTTACCAATGTCAAAAAATTTTATGGAAGTACCCCCTGAAAATTCCATAGAACTTCTCCATGCAATTTCTAAAGAAATTTCTTAGAATTTTTTTAAAACAATTTTTCAAGTTGAATTTAAAATTTGTGCTTTTTTCATCAAATTGGAGCTTTTTTTTATTAAAAAAGAGCTTTTTCCGATTTACGTAGATACTCAGAATATTTTTAGAATTTATTTTCGATTCAGAAAAAATTTGTATCTTGAAAAACAACTCTGGTCTTGAAATTTTTTTAAAACAATTTTTGGAGTTAAATATTAAATCGGAGCTTTTTTATTAAAGAAGAGCTTTTCCCGAAATACCTAGGTACTCAAATCTTTTAAACACTTTTTTTTATTCAGAAAAAATTTGTATCTTGAAAAACGACGCTGGAATTGACAAATTTTTAAACAATTTTTAGAGTTGAATTTCAAATTTGAGCTTTTTTAAAACAAACTGCAGCTTTTTTTTATTAAAAAAGAGCTTTTTCTGAATTACGTAGGTACTCAGAACATTTTTAGAATTTGTATCTTGAAAAAACAACGCTGGCCTTGACAATTTTTTAAAACAATTTTGGAGTTGAATTTCAAATTTGGGCTTTTTTCATAAAATTGGAGCTTTTTTATTAAAAAAAGCTATTTCCGAAATTCGTAGGTAGTGAAATCTTTAAAAATTTTTTTTTTTATTCAGAAAGAATTTGTATCTTGAAAAACGACGCTGGAATTGACAATTTTTAAAATAATTTTTGGAGTTGAATTTCAAATTTGAGCTTTTTTTTATTAAAAAAGAGCTTTTTCCGAATATCGTAGGTACTTAGAACAATTTTAGAATTTGTATCTTGAAAAACAACGCTGGCCTTGCCAATTTTTTAAAACAATTTTGGAGTTGAATTTCAAATTTGGGCTTTTTTCATAAAATTGGAGCTTTTTTTTTAAAAAAAAGCTTTTTCCGAAATACGTAGGTAGTGAAATCTTTAAAAAAATTTTTTTTTATTCAGATAGAATTTGTATCTTGAAAAACGACGCTGGAATTGACAATTTTTAAAATAATTTTTGGAGTTGAATTTCAAATTTGAGCTTTTTCAAACAAACTGCAGCTTTTTTTTATTAAACAAGAGCTTTTTCCGAATTACGTAGGTACTCAGAACATTTTTAGAATTTATTTTCGATTCAGAAAAAATTTGTATCTTGAAAAACAACTCTGGTCTTAAAATTTTTTTTAAAACAATTTTTGGAGCTGAATATCAAATCGGAGCTTTTTTTATTAAAGAAGAGCTTTTTCCGATATACGTAGGTAGTCAAATCTTTAAAAAAATTTTTTTTTATTCAGAAAGAATTTGTATCTTGAAAAAACGATGCTGGAATTGACAATTTTTTAAACAATTTTTGGAGTTGAACTTCAAATTTGAGCTTTTTTTTAACACACTGCAGCTTTTTTTTATTAAAAAAGAGCTTTTTCCGAATTACGTAGGTACTAAGAACTTTTTTAGCATTTGTATCTTGAAAAACGACGCTGGCCTTGACAATTTTTTAAAACAATTTTGGAGTTGAATTTCAAATTTGGGCTTTTTTCAAGAAATTGGAGATTTTTTATTAAAAAAAAGCTATTTCCGAAACACGTAGGTAGTCAAATCTTTAAAAAAAAATTTTTTTATTCAGAAAGAATTTGTATCTTGAAAAAACGACGCTGAAATTGACAATTTTTTAAAACAATTTTTGGTGTTGAATTTCAAATTTGGGGTTTTTTCAACAAATTGGAGCCTTTTTTTATTAATCAAGAGCTTTTTCTGAATTATGTAGGTACTCAGAACTTTTTTAGAATTTATTTCCGATTCAGAAAAAAATTTGTATCTTGAAAAACAACTCTGGTTTTGAAAATTTATTTAAACAATTTTTGGTGTTGAATATCAAGTCGGAGCTTTTTTTGATTAAAAAAGAGCTTTTCCGAATTACGTAGGTATTCAGAACTTTTTTAGAATTTATTTCCGATTCAGAAAAAATTTGTATCTTGAAAAACGACGCTGGACTTGACAATTTTTTAAACAATTTTTGGAGTTGAATTTCAAATTTGAGCTTTTTTTTTAACAAACTACAGCTTTTTTTATTAAAAAAGAGCTTTTTCCAAATTACGTAGGTACTCAGAAGTTTTTAAAAATTTATTTCCGATTTAGAATAAATTTGTATTCGGAAAAACGACGCTGGTCTTGACAATTTTTTAAAAAAATTTTTGGAGTTGAATTTCAAGTTTGAGATTTTTTCTACCAATTGGAGCTTTTTTATTAAAGAAGAGCTTTTTGCAAACACGGAAGTATACATTACTTTTTTGGAATTACGGTCCAGAAAAAATTTTGTATCTTAAAAAAAGACGCTGGTCTTAACAATTTTTTGTAACAATTTTTGGAGTCGATTATTAAAATTGATTTTTTTCATCAAATTGGATCTTTGTTATTAATAAAGAAGAACTTTTTCCGAAACAACTAGGTACTTACTTTTTTGGAATTTACTTCGGATCAAAAAAATTTGTATCTTGATAAACTATAATGGTCATGACAATTTTTTAAAACAATTTTTGGAGTTGAATATCAAATCGGAGCTTTTTTATTAAAGAGCGTTTTCTAAACACTGAGGTACATATAACTTTTTTGGATTTTTCTTCCTGTCGGTCCAGAAAAAATTTTGTATCTTGAATAACGACGCTGGTCTTGACAAATTTTTTTTAACAATTTTCGGAGTTGAATATAAAATTTAGTGTTTTTTTCTTTCAAATTGGAGCTTTTTTTTATTAAAGAAGAGCTTCTTCTGAAACACCTAGGTACTGAGATCTTTTTTAGAATTTATTTTCGATTCAGAAAAATTTGTATCTTGAAAATCGACGCCTTGAAATTCTTTTATAACAATTTTTTGAGTTGAATATCAAATTTGGCGTTTTTTTCCATGGAGTTTTAACGGAAACTCCGTGGAGAAAGAACCATGGAATTTCCAGAGGATTAGTCAAATTTTATTATTTTCTTATCACTGTTAACTTAAAAGTACCAAATTGCAATGAATTGATACCAAAACTCTGGATCAAATAAAAAATTGATCCAAATTTTTGGCAATAAATTTGATCCACTTTAGTATCAATTTGATACTTTCAAGAAAATTGCGTAGTTCATTATTTACTTATACAGGGTTAATTCTGGTTAAAAATGTTTTTTTAATTAAAACCAAAATTTTTACTATAATTTTAATTTAAAATTTTTTTTGATATTTGGAGAGTTGAAATTTTATCAAAATGAAAGAAGTATTAAATGTTATAAAATAATTTTCAGCCCGTCTGTTGCCAGTGACTCCAGGACTAAGGGCATCTACAACAGTTAGTAGTAGTAGTAATAGTAGTACCAATATTATTCCAACCAGTGGGACTACAGTGAAAGATTTTCCAACTACCATCACTCAGACAGATGCTCCGACTAGCATCAGCACTAATGCTCCAACAACGGATGTTCCATCGACAATTATTGATGATTCCACAACTCAAACTGAAGCTGTACCAACAATTGAAAGTCCATCGTCCAATAATGTTCGTAAACGAAGAAGTGTTGAACATTATTTTTCAACTTATCCTGGTAAAGTAGTAAAAATTTTTCTAATTTGGTAAATTAATTATATTTTTAATTTTTAGTAAGTTTTTATTTTTATAAGTAAAAAACTTCTGGGCAAAGAACCATATACTTTCCAAAAACGTTCAAAAAACGTTTTTAGAATGTTTTATGTCCACCAAATAATGTTCCAATACATTTTAAGAATTTGGATTTTCAAATAATATTCTAGAACATTATTTGTCGGACATAATCCGTTCTAAAAATGTTTTAAGAACATTTTTTTGGAACAAACATGGTTTTTTGCCCAGAGGAAAGTAACAAATAAAAAAGTGAAAAGAATAAAATAAAAGAAATAAAATATGAAAAGAATAAAGAGTAAAATAAGAAGAATTCAAAAAGAATTAAAGAGTATAAAATAAGAAGAATAAAAAAAGAATAAAATAGAATAAACATACATAATAGAGAGTCAAAAATTTTTTATTATGAAACTGCAAAAAAATCAGCAGCTAATGATTTTTTACGCGAAGAGATTTCTTACGTAAGAAAGAATTTTAGAGATTATTATAATTTAGAAGAAAATTTCAATATAGAAATTAGTCTCATTGAGAGAGTTTTCTTTTTCCTCTCTATTATTATTATTTAGTTTACATAGAAAATAATTGAAACTAAAAGTAGTATAATAAGTTAAAATAAATTATTCGCCGATTTTTTCTAGATGAACAATAAAAAAATGCCACTTAAGAAATAGAATTCCAAGGAAAAATATTTTTTGCTAAAATTATTTTTAGTGACATTTGCCGATAGAATTATTCCAGTACACATTCTTTAGCTAGATTCATATTAAAATTTTCTGAAAGGCTGGTTAACAGTAAGTTTTTAAATCTTACGAAACTTCCAATATCCTGATCGAAAGTGCCACGAAATAATGAGTAAAAAAAAGGAGAGAAAAACAGGACTGTTAAATTCCGTTAAGACAAAACCACACAATTAGTAATTTTTTTTCTACTAAAATCGACAAAATTATCAATTTCTGTTAATAAATAATAAATAATAATAAAATAAAAATAAATAATTAAAATAAAAAGTAAATAATAATAAATAATAAAAATATTATATATTCTTTTTGTTATTCCTTTTTTATTATTTTATTATTTTATTATTTTCAATTATCAATAATTTCATTTAATATTCTTCTCATTAATTCAATCAGAATTTAGTTCATTTATAATGAATGCAAATGTTGGAAGCAATTTGGTTTAAAAATAAAATTTTCCATACATTCAGCATTGTTTTAATGAGAATTATAATCACTCAGTTTCAGAATACTGTAGAAATATTGAGAATTATTTAATATTTTTTTAATTTTGTTTATTGTAATAAAATTAATAATTTGTTGTTTTTCACCAGATAAAAAAATGATAATAAAAAGATGTGAAAATGTATATTTCATGTTATAAATATTTATATTTGTATTAATTAATTTTTCAATCTCTCACAGTTTCAAAATATTCTGAAAATATTTTAAATTTGTATAATAATTTTTTAATCATTGTGCTTTTTTGGTAACAAATTTCGTTTGACTTATCTAAATTATGCAAATTTTTCTCTTGTTTATTTATAAAAAATAGAAAATTGTTAATTGTTAAAAAATTAAAATTAAAAAATAGGAAATATACCCATTTTATGCATAATTTATATTTCTCCCTAACAATATTGTTCAGAAACTCATTCTTTTCTTTTGGAAAAGAAACATCACTTATTCTATATTCTATTTGTCAATTATAAATTTTAATTGAAAATTAAATTGGAACTTTTTAAATTTTTGGAAAATAAACATCACTTATTCTATTCTATTTGTCAATTATAAATTTTAATTGAAAATGAAATTGAAACTTTTAAAATTTTTAGAAAATAAAGGAAAAAAATTTACTCAAAAAAATATTCTCTTATTTACGAATTTCTTTAATTGAGGCCTTGGATCCAATAACTCGCCCGACGCTCGGAGGAACGCGCAACTGCCAGTCAGTGAGCAGTGAGCGCCTCTGGGCCACTCACTGCTACCCGACTGGTATTAGCGCGTGCCTTCGAGCGTCGGGCGAGTTATTGGATCCAAGGCCTCAATTGTAAAATTATTCGAAAACATCAATAACTTTTTTTTTAAATAAATATTTAATGAATATTATTTTTCCATAGGAATTAAGAATTTCAAAAATTTCAAATTTAAATCTTTTTAAATTCACTAATTTATAAGAATATTTTTATAAAACATGAAGACAGCGATTGCTCCGAGTCGAAGACTCGAAGTAATCGATATCTTCATGTTTTATAATAATTAAAGATGACCGAGTGATAAAATCATTTTTTTATATTATAAGAATATTATTACAGTACCTAACTTATTTTTCTAAATTATTTTTCCAAATCAATTATTATTTTCTAGAATTTTTAATTATTTTTTATGAAAATAATTGAAAAAATTTTATTATTTATAAAAATAATTGAATTATTGCGAAGGAATTTATAGAAAAATTTGTAAATAATTGAATTCTTGGAAAATTTTTATTATTTATGAAAATAATTAAATGTTACCGAGTACTATTTTTGGGAATTTGAAATTGATTTGAAAATAATATTAAACTTTGGGGAAGAATTTTGTTATTTATTTAAAGATAATTGTTATTTTGACGAGATTTTTTTTTAAATTTGAAAGATAATTGAATTTTATGAGAAAAATTTTATCACTCTTAAAAATAATTGAATTTCTGCAATTATTTGTAATTTTTCTAAAATTGGATTTTTTTAGAGATTTCAACAAAAATTTGAATTACAAATTTTTAAATTTTATTTTTTTTTAAATTGATAATTTTATCCTAAAATGTTACCGGTGCGCTTTAGCGCGCGAATTGTTGGTAGTTATCAAAATAAAGAAGTTAATTAAAGTTAATTAAAAAAAAAAAACAAAGTTAAGAAAAGAGAGACAATAAATAATTTCTAAAATAAAGAAGTTAGTTAATAAAATAGAAAAAGAATTATTATAAAAAATAAACTATTAAAAAATAAAAATGTTAATTAAAAAAAAAGAAATATTTAAAAAAAGTAAAAAAAAATTATAGAAAAAGAGATAAGAAATAATTTAGAAAATAAAGAAATTAATTAACAAAAGTTAAAGAGAGAGAGAGAGAGAGAGAGACAATAAATAATATTAATTTTTTTGTGTTTGATTTAAGACGACGGTCTTTGGATGCAGCATTTGAATATTTGGCGACCACCGCAAGAAGTTGAGGAGGCAACTGTGCGGGATTCGAAGCAAGTTGCATTTCTAGTTAATGGCTGTGATGTTGCTACAGTGACAGCTGCAACTTACACTGCAGTTCTTCCCTTCGCATATTTCCCTTCGTTAAAAGCTGTCGCAGTGGAATTTCCTCTGGATGTCAGTTTCTAAACGTATTTTTATCACCTCATAAAACCACACTCATTTCACAAAGAACGTTTCTCAATACTCCAAGCTTTAATATACCACTTTATGATCACTCCAATGTCTCCCGATACTTTTGCGCAAAAATTATCTTTATTTTTTCACTCTCCTCTCAGTGAAATTATTCTTTTTTTTTGCAAATAAATCTCCTATTTTGCTTTTCAATCAGTAAATCGCAAATTTTTCTGAAAAAAGTTGAAACAATCAGAAAAAAAAAATTTATTTATTAATATAATTGGTAAAAAAAATAGTAATTAGTTCATTTATTAATTAGTATTATAACTAAACATTTATTTAGTTAAAATTTGATTTTTATTATAAAGAACAATATTTTGTAAATAAAATTCTAATTGAAAAAAATAATAATTATTAATATAATTATTAATTTTTATATATATATATATATATATATATATATATATATATATGTATTAATTATTTTAGAATTAATATAATTATAATAAATAAATTTTCAAATGATTTTATTTAAATACAAAATATTTTTACAAAATTTTCTATTGGAGAGAATAATGAAACAATTTCGTGTTAAGGAAACAAAAAATTGTTATTTTTTGTTTGTCACCTTTATAAATGGGGATTGTAATGAGAGCAATTTTAAAAGAGAAAAATATTGATCTTGATGAAATAATTATAACCGGAAGGAAATACAGTAATCAGTTACGCGAATTGGATAACATGAAACAAACAAAAATGATAATTTTCCGCAAAAAGACGAAGTTCACCAAGCGTGAAAATTTATACGAAGAGAGTTCAACGAGCGAGACGCATTATTTCGAGACAAAATTATAATGTTGTCAAGGGTCGCTTCTGAGAAGCATCAATTCTTCTCAAATGTCCTTCTAAACAAAATTTTTTGCTATAAAAGACCAAAACAAAAATCTATTCTTTTTTTTGTTCTTTAAATAATTAATAATTACAAATATAAATATTATAATATAAATAAATAAATACAAATATTAAAATAAAAATTTTTCGCAAATTAAAATTTAATAAAAATTAAAATTGTAGCTTTTTTAAGTAAAATTTCTTTTACGTAAAGAAAAAATATTTTTCGATTATGCCTTGTGATATATTTTCTAATTTATGAATACTTAAATAAATTAAAGACATAAAAAATAATTAATTGTACATATTTTATTAAATTAACAAAATAATAAATAAGGAAATATAATAACAAATATAAATAATATACAATAAATGAGAAAATATAAATAAAATCGTTCTTTTAGTAAATAAAAATAAAAAAATTAATTTTCTTTAAATTTGGAAAAAATTGTCAAAATGGAAATTTAAAATTTTTAGAATTCTTTTTTTTTTTTTGCTTCTAGAATCCACGATACAATGTTATACTATTTCTTCCAACGGAGAGACCCGATACTTTACGACTGGCAATAGACTTGGGATCGAAAAGTTTACGACTGTTACGAAAACATTTGCAGCCAACTTGGATAAGAGCAACTATTCCCTCTTTTATGTTGAAAGGATTCGTTACTCTTACTTCGTATTTGCAGAGGGTAAGTTTTTAAATATTTTTCTTTAAATTACACACTTTGCAGGATAATTAAATTATTCTTCAATTAAAATGCAAATTTTTTTTATGAGACAAATCTATATTTGCATTAAAGATACTGGCTATCTTTAAGTATATATATACAAATATATCTGCAATTTATTTGTTTTATTAAAAAAAAATATTTGCAACATTATCACTCACGTGAATTTAAATAAATAAATAAATTAAAATTAATGCAATATTTATAAAATTTGCAATCAATTTTTTATTAATACTCTCTATATTTGAATTGGTAAAAATTTGTACTAATCTGAATAAGTGATGAATTTTTTTGCTTTTGAATTAGTAAATTTGACTGATAAATAGAAATTACTATTTACTATTTATCTACTAATTTATTAGTAAAATTTACTAGTGACTGACTTTTTGCATTTGAATTTTGTAAATTTTAGTAATAAATAGTAATTTCTACTAATTTACTACAAATACATAAAAAAAATAATAAAATATACTATTAGTAAATTTTACTATTAAATTATTAGAAATTACTATTTATTAGTAAAATTTACTAATTCAGAAGCAAAAACTTAGTCACTAGTAAATTTTACTAATAAACTAGTAAATATTACTATTTATTAGTAATTAATTGCTAATTTATTAGGGAAATTTTACTATTAAATTAGTAAAAATTACTATTTATTAGTAAAAATTACTATTTATTAGTAAAAATTACTATTTATTAGTAAAATTTACTAATTCAGAAGCAAAAAGTCAGCCACTAGTAAATTTTACTAATAAATTAGTAGAAATTACTATTGATTAGTAATTAATTGCTAATTTGTTAGCAAAATTTTACAATCAGTAGAAATTACGATTCATTAGTAAAATTTACTAATTCAAAAGCAAAAAGTTAGTCACTAGTAAATTTTTACTAATAAATTAGTAAAGATTACTATTTATTAGTGAAATTTATTAATTCAAAAGCAAAAAGTCAGCCATTAATTCCAATTAAGAAACATTTTTACCAATTCAAATTTAGAGAATATAAACGTTCACATTAAGAATACATTATTACAATTTTTATTAGTAATAAAATTTTGTATTTATTCAATATTATTTAATTATTATTTAATAATTATTACTTAAATAAATATTTACTTGAATCAAAGAATTTTGGTTTAAGTCCTCTCTAAACTTGAATAAGTAAAAAAAAGTTTCCTAATTTGAACTATTGACTGACTTTTTGCTTCTGAATTAGTAAATTTTACTAATAAATAATAATTTCTACTAATTTATTAGTAAAATTTACTGATTCAAAAGCAAAAAGTCAGTCACTTTTACTTTTTTTTATTTTTTAAACTTTACTAATAAATGAATAATTTCTACTTATTTATTAATAAAATTTACTAATTCAAAAGCAAAAAGTCAGTCACTGATTCAAATTAGTAAACATTTTTACTTATTCATATTTTGAGAGTCAAGTAAACATCATTTGTTTCAAATACTAAAATTATTGGCTCAAATAAAATTTATTTGATTTCAATAAAAAATTATTCGATTCAAGTAAATATTTATAATTTGACAAGTAATCGGTTATTTGAATCAAGTAAATTTTTTTATTTTAGTGTAATAATTATTTAATAATCGACTAATAATTATTTAATAATTAATCAATAATTATTTAATAGATAACTGATTAATAATTATTGAATAGTTGATTAACAACTATTGAATAATTAATTATTTATTTAAAGTTCAAAATAACAACATTTTTTTCTCGTTCTTTCAAATTAGTTAAAATTTAATTACCTGTTACTATTTTTTTATAGTGAAGAATAACCAAACCAAAAAAATTATCTAACTTATAATGAATATTTTAACAACCATTTAAAAACAAGAAATTAATTCGATTATTATTTTTTTTTTCATTTACAGTTGTAGTAAATTATTTAACACTCGTTAATATTTTTTTTCTCTATTAATACCTTTGTAATGAAATATTATTCAATACATTTTTCGAATAATTATTACAAACTATATGCACTTTTCGACGTCATACTTTTAAATTGAAAAATTATTATATAATTAAATATCACTTCTCAGGAGTATTACAAAACAGTATTTTATCTCCATATTATGAAAAGTGTTATAATTTTAAATAATAGTGTTAGAGAAATTCTTTTTTTCATTTAGATAAAGAATATTCTAATTCTAATATTAACGAATTCGGTTAATTATTTAATTTAATTTACTTAAAAAATAAACCTATCCAAATAATTATTTTTGATTCCAGTTTTTAGAACTAGTTAGTAGTAGCTGTAATATTAGTTTTTATTGGAATTTTTATTTTCGAGTTGCTTCACACAAAATATTTTTAAAATAAAATTATTTATTGTCATATAAATTAACCCCTTCGCAGTCTAGTTGAAAATCGCTTGTGGTCCAAAAACGGTCCGAAAAAAAAGTTTACAAAAAAATATGATTTAATCATATATAAGGTTTTTGGGGTCGCTGAATTCGAATTTGAGGTTAATTTTTGAAAATTCAAAATGGCGGATCCAATATGGCGACCAAATATGGTGGATAATTTTAAAATTAAAGCGTTTTAAGGGAAATTCATTTCTCGGGGGTTTTCGAGGTCGCTGAATCCAAATCTGAAGTCAGATTTAAAAAATTCAAAATGGCGGACCCAAAATGTCGACTTCAAAAAAAAATTTTTTTTCAGATTCCCTTAAAACTCGTTACTCGGGGGTTTTCGGGGTCTCTAATTACAAATATGATGTCAGATTTTCAAAATTCAAAATGGCGGATCCAATATGGCGGATGATTTCAAGATTGATGCGAAAAAAATATGAAGTTACCTCAAAAACCCCTGAGTAAACATTTTAGACAAATTTGTCAACATTCAAAAAATTTGATCGACATATTGAATCCAAAATTTAGCATTTAGAAAAACGAACATCAAATTCGAATTCAGCGACCCCAAAAAACCCCGGGAACGGAATTTCGATCAAAACGCATAAATTTTGAAATTATCCGCCATATTGGATCCAACATTTTGAATTTTGTAAAACGAACATCAAATTCAAATTCAGCGACCCCAAAAACCCCCGAGAAACGAATTTTAATCGAATCGCATCAATCTTGAAATTATCCGCCATATTGGATCCGCCATTTTGAATTTTAAAAATCTGACATCATATTTGTAATCAGAGACCCCGAAAACCCCCCAAGTAACGAGTTTAAAGCGAATTTGAAATTTTTTTATTTTTCGAAGTCAACATTTTGGGTCCGCCATTTTGAATTTTTTAAATCTGACTTCAGATTCGGATTCAGCGACCCCAAAAACAGTAGTATGTACTTCGCTACTAAAATCAAATCATGTTTAGTATTTTTTTTTTGAGATGGCCATATATGGCCACAGACGCAAAGGTGGCACGACTTTTCGTGGCCATATATGGGCCATGGACTGTTAAGGGGTTAAGAAAAAATATAAAAAAATACAAAAATTTATTAAACAGTTTGCAGTGGTTTCGTAAAATTATCTTATAACTTGGTCCTTATTCGTAGGATACAAAAAATGACCAACAAGAATTTTTTTTTATTATTTTGAATAATAATTTTCATTATTTTGAATAATAATCTTTATTATTTTGAATAATAATTTTTAATATTATTATTGTTTTTTACTAAACTTTCAGTACCAGTACCAATTGAAAATTCAAAAAAAAAAATTAAAATTCCGATTTTATGTTTTTTTCCTTTACTCTGCTATTAAATTTTTTTCAAAGAAAAAGATATTTTTTCTTTAATTAAAAAAAAGTGCAGAAAAATTTTCGAATTGTGAGGAAATAATATTTGTTTAATTATTATTTTTTTCCAAATCACAGTTTTTCTAAGAATATCAAATTGAGACAAAAAAACGATACGTTTTTTGTCTCAAATTGATATTCTTAGAAAAACTGTGATTTTTATTTAACATTATTTTTTAGTTAGGAATAAGGGATGTTTTTGAGCCAAGGGCAGCAGATTTATCGCCAATGACACCGGACATTGGGGTTTATGCTCGTGACGTGCAACAAAGTATTGGAGTTAATATAAGAAATTATATGGAGCCCGATAGAACCAGCTCTAGTGAGTCGTCACAACAAGAATTTCCTCTAATTGTTCCACCACGTCGGGACTCTTATCGATTTCTCTATCCAGGTTCTTTTTTCTATGCTTTCTACGCACACTTTCGCACTGTCCATAATATAAATAATCTCTATAAAATAATAATAATAATAATTCTCTTATTCTTTTTTTTAATATCCTTTCCTCTCAAAATTTTCACTATTTGTTGATTAATTATTAATCAATAAAAATAAAATATAAATAAATTGAATTTTGTATATAATAATATTCATTTAAAAAAATTTATTTGATTCAAATAACTGATTATTTGTCAATTACCAAATAAATATTTACTTGAATCAAATAATTTTTATTTCAATCAAATAATTTAAAAATAAATAATTTCTCTATTAAAAGCAAAAAACTTTTTTTCACCCAGAGAAAATGCTAAAAAATACCAAAAATTATTCAATTTTTTTTATATGGGAATGCACTTGTTTATTTTTCTAATTAATTTCAAATCATAATTTTTAAAAATAAAAAAATATAAGTAAAATTATGATTTGAAATTATTTAGAAAAATAAACAAGTGAATTTCCATATAAAAATATTGTATAACAATGGTATTTTTCAGCATTTTCAACCTAAAAACAATGTTTTAAAAAAAAGAATGATATTCAAAAATAAAAAATAATTTTTTCATTCGTCAATTTTTTTGTAGATACAAAAGCATAGTTTCTACAAAATTTCAAATGGGTTTTAAGATCTGTTAATTTTTAAGAAAAATAAAAATCCAAAGAGAGTCGGAATATTTTCTGAAAGATTTTATTTTCTGACCATTGAAAAGGTCAGAAATTTTTTTTCTCTCAAAAAATTATTAATTATTATAAAAATAATTTTATGAAAGATTTTAATAATTTTCTTGATTTTTTGAAAATAAAGTTAAAAATGAATCAGTTTAGGCACGTGGTCTGAATGCACGGCTGACCATTACTGACTTTAACTACTGACCACGTTGCTATTGTTGAGTTGGGTCACCAAAATAAAGCTCACGTACCGTCTCTCATTTTTTTCCCCCCATCGTACTTATTGTTATTATAGAAAATATTTCAAAGTGTTAAGGAGCATCACTTTTTAAATTTACTGTCAAATATATGTAAAAGTCTCTTCTTCTTTGACTTTTTCCGGATAATGAATCCAAGACCCACTACTCTAGAAACATTGATTTGCTCCGTTAAAAGACACGGCCTAGAAAAATTACTGTTTTTTTTCTCCTAAAAGATTTCCTTCTCAATAAACTCCGACTTTCTTTAATTTAATTAATTTTATTTTCTTCGTTAAATTACAATAGAAATTAAGATTAAAAAAAAATAAAAGAAAAGAAAATTTTATTTTTTATTAATTTTTTTTAATTTTATTTTTTAATATATTTTTTAAAAATAAATATTAAAAATTGACAACAAAAATAAAAATTATTTCTTTATTGTTTTGAAACATTTATAAAACAATTTTTTAGTCTCACCAGAATTTAAAATTGATACTTACAAATAGTCAACTAAACAGAAAGTAAAATAACAATAGAACAAATAAAAATAAGATAAATGGAAAAAAAGAGAATAAAAAATAGGAAAATAAATAAAATAACTAAAAATAAAATAAATTAAAGGAAAATAAATAAAAATAGAATAAATAAAAAAGGGTTAATTAAAAAAAAGTAATAAAAGGAAATTAAAAGAAAATAAATGAAAATAAATGAAAGAAAAATAAATAAAAATAAAATAAAAATAAAGGTACTAAAAATAAACGAATTAAATATAGAAATAGAATGAATAGAAATAAAATAAATAATAAATGCAATGTGATTAAGATTCATTAAGAGTTATAATATATTCAAAAAATAAAAAAATAATAAAAAAGAAGCAGTAAATAATTAACAAAAATTTCGAAAAAAAATGTCCAATAATTAATTAAAGTTTAATTATACAATTTAGATATTTAGATTTCCTTCACGTAAATTCGAAATGGTATAATTGACGACAAAGTAGTCGAAGGTATTATTTACAATCGGGGAAATTTCTCAGTATTGTGATAAACTTTGTTGAATTTAATAGCTGATATCCTGTATGAGTCAACTGAAGAAATAAAGAGATGGAGACCTTGCGCTAAAGACCGTTTTCAAAGTAAAATAGGAATTTTTCACTCATTAAGCTGAAACTATCAATTCCATCTTTTTTTATTGTTTCTAAATACTTTTGTCTCTCTGTCTCTTTTTCTCTGTATGTGTCTTCTTTTCAAATCCATCTGCCTTCATTTCAACAACTTCTTTGCGCATTGTTTCAATAACTAAAAAAAAAAGAAAAAAGAAAGAAGAAAATGTAATTTTCCTCTCTAGAGCATATCTTACTAATTGTATATAGTTACATTATTTTTCTATAGACTTTCAGTAATATACTCGAGTTGGAGATTTGTGAAAATGTTTCGAAATTTAGTTCAGTAAAAATTTGAAAATATGAAAAAAATATTGAAGAAATATAAAACAATATTTTTAAAATATAAAAAAAATGTTTACAATATTACCGAAAGAGTTTTTAATAGTTTTTGTGAAACTTTGGTACCATATGTAGTTACGTCTTTGGTACCAAAATTTACTAGTAGATTTAATTAAAAATCTGGTACCAGCAATTAAGTGATACCAGTCATGTTAAGAACTTTGGTAAATTTAATTTTCAATTTGGTATCAGTTATTAATTGGTACCAGTCATGTTAAAAACTATGGTAGATTTAATTTTAACTCTGGTACCAGCAATTACATGGTACCAGTCATGTAAATATCTTTGGTACCACCTGTATTAATATAATTGGTACCAAATATTACTGGTAGGTTTCATTATATATCTGGTACCAGCAGTTGAGTGGTACCAGTCATGTTAAGAACTTTGGTAAATTTAATTTTAAATTTGGTACCAGTCATGTTAAAAACTATAGTAGATTTAATTTTAACTCTGGTACCAGCAATTAGGTGGTACCAGTTGTGTAAATATCTTTGGTACCATCTGTATTAATATATTTGGAACCAAAAAATTACTGGTAGATTTAATTTTATATCTGGTACCAGTTATTAAACGGTACCAGTCGTGTTAAAAACTTTGCTAGATTTAATTTTAAATCTGGTACCAATAAATAAGTGGTACTATTTATGTTACAAACTTTGGTACCATATGTAGTTACATCATTGGTATCAAATTTTACTAGTAGATTAAATTAAAAATCTGGTACCAGCAATTAAGTGGTACCAGTCATGTTAAGAACTTTGGTAAATTTAATTTTAAATTTGGTACCAGTTATTAATTGGTAACAATCATGTTAAAAACTATGGTAGATTTAATTTTAACTCTGGTACCAGCAATTACGTGGTACCAGTTAAGTAACTATTTTTGGTACCATCTGTATTAATATATTTGGTACCAAAAAAATTACTGGTAGATTTCATTTTATATCTGGAACCAGCAATTAAGTGATACCAGTCAAATAAATATTTGGTACCAAGGACATTTATCTTTGGTACCAAATAATAGATTTATTAATCACGTAGCAGAGATTAAGTGGTACCACTAACGTTAAGTACTCTGGTAGATTTAATTTAAAATCTGGTACCAGTCGAGTTAAAAACTTTGCTAGATTTAATTTTACATCTGGTACCAATAAATAAGTGGTACCAGTTATGTAAACATCTTTGGTACCAAATTTTTTTGTTCTTTTTCTATTTTTATTCTTTTTAATTTTAATTGGCATTCAATGAAATTAGATCATCGAAGAAAATAAAAGATTTTTTACTTTTTTCTATTAAAGTCTTTTATTAAAACTTATAAATTTAGTATCAATTTGTTTTAGTTTTTCTCATTTCATTTTTTTTGTTATTATCTTCAAATAAAAATACATATTTATTTAACAATTATTGTTAATAGTAGTCTTCATTCAATAATTATTCTTATTAGAAGTATTCTTCCAATAACTATTTCTATTAACAGCCGTTTTTTAATAAACATTTTTTAGTTTCAAAAGAATTTTATTTGGTTCATAAATATTTTGATTGGTTCAAATAAATTTTTTCTGGTACAAAAAAATTGTATTTAGTTCAAAAAAAAATTTATTTTGTTCAAAAAATTTTATTTGGCACAAAAAAGTAATTTAGTAAACTCTGTCATAAATATTTATTATTTAATCAAAGTAGGTGTATTTATTTTTAATAATTATTTTTAATGATAATAATAATAATTCTATTCGGAAAATAAAAGCAATGGTTATTACTGTAATAATATGCTCCATTTAATCTGACTTTATTCCCTATTTTTATTGAATTAAACGAAGCAATTTCCACTGTATCTGTGTTATAACTATTTTATGGATGTAAATAATGCTTATCTCATCGTTTTAATAAAATTTTTCTGTACGTGTGTGTTTGCGTGTGAATATTGAAAGCTCAAAGGATCAAGTTTAATGAACTCTTCAAATAATAATAAAAAAAAAACAGGCAACAAAAAAATGATAAAAATTTAAGTGATATTATACGGTGATCGCAAAAACGTAGAGCAACTAACCCAATGGGAAATTTACAACTGGCGTAGTACTGCGCCAGCACTGGCAGCACTGGCGGCAAGGCTGAGAGCCAGCACTGGCATGGCACTGGGATGATAACGCCGTCTGGCGCTGCCGAAGTACTGTCTGTCAGTGCTGCCAGACAGCGCTGGCGCAGCACTGGACCAGTGCTGGCTGAGAATATTGCCGCAATAAATGCCGTATTGTTATTAATTAGTAGTAAATTAATAATTATAAATAATTTAACAACAAAATGGTAAATAATATTAATAAATAGTTATTATTCATAAAATATATCTCTTCTTAAAGAAATTGTATTAAAGATGGAGACTAACAATGGATATAGTAAATGAAGTAGAAAAAAATTGTTTATAACATTTAAAAATTAAATAATAAACAATTACAGTAAGTGTGCATTAGATTTTCATATTTTAGTACCTAACGATTGGAATCTAGAAATATCGCAAACCTATGAAAATAAACAAAATTGCTGACGAGGGGAATCGAACCTACGACCTACGGACTAACAGACTAACGCTCTAACCACTATGCTAACGACACATGTGTACAGTAAAGTATTAACATCTCAGTATCATTCAAACATACAATTATTGAGTCAAAGATGAGAAAAAAATAGGGATACGTTAGAAATAATAAATTGAAATAAAATAAATTAAACTAAATTTTTAATAATTAAATTAAATTACTTTACTTATAGCATTTAACATTTTACGTAATTCTTAAATTACGTGGTAATTTTTTAATAATTTTTTATTCATAGTAAGAAGTATAATAGTATTTTAATAGGAACCAAATTATTATTGAGATTAAAGTTTAAATTTTGTTTATAATTTTAATTTGTTTAAATAATTTATTATTTACAAAATTAGACAATTGTGTTAAATTGTTATTATTAAATTTAATAAGAATAAAAAATAAACAACCAAAAAGTAAAATATTAATTTTTTGAATAAATTTATATTTATAAACATTCATAAACTTTTTTTATAATTTTGTTCAAGTTTATGTCAAAAAAGCAATGTTGGCAAAGAGCGTTGTGAACAATTTTTCTATACTCAGCCAGTACTTGCCGCCGTGGCTTGTCCAAGCTTTGGCGAAACAAAAATTCTGTACTGCGCCAGCACTAATTGTCGAGGCTCGGCTAGACTACGCCGAACAATCGTCTGAGTACTAAGCCAGTGGTGAACATCGGCACTACACTGGCATTTCCCATTGGGAAGAAGTCCTTTATTATATTCCCATAAAATCCTCTCTACTCAATTTCATCAAAATTTTCTAATACAAAAAGAAAACGATTTATATAGACTTTAATATTTATCCAATACTCTATTCGTTTCAAATGAACGAAAATTTTAAGAAAATCAAGACATTTTAAAATTATACTGCAATTTAATTTTTGAATTTTAATTTTCGAAATAATTGTTCTTAACAAAAATATTCATTAAATAAATCTTTTTCATAATTATAGTATATTTTTAATAATTATTGTTAATGAAAATATTTTTTTAAATAAATATTTTTAATAAAAGTATTAAAATAATAAATAACTATTTTTAATGAAAGTGTTAAAATTATTAATTTTGATAAAAGTATTTGGTTAATAACCGGTTAATATAGTCATTTGATAATTACTAATAATATTATATAATAATTGCGATTATTAATTAAACGAATATAACTAAATAAAAATTATTTATTTTATTTTTTACCTAATATATTTAGTGTCTATTATTCAATTAATTAATTATTTCATTATTACCCATTTAGTAATTTGTTTATTTATTATTTTTTTCTTATAAATTTAATTCAATAATTTCACGGAGAAAAATGAGTTTGCTATTATATGGATAGCGAATTTTTAGCTATTACAGCTAATAATTAGCTGTTTTAGCAAAAATTTTTAGCTATTTTAGCTAATTATTAGCTGCATTAGCTAACAATAATTGCTATCCATATAATAGCAATTAAGGTTAGCTAAGGTAGCTAAAAATTAGCTGAAATAGCTAACTATTTTTCTCCGTGTTGAAATTTATCAATATTGATTCAATAATTTAGTAATAAAAATAAGAAAATAATTTTAAAAAATCGAAAATGAAAATGTGCAGAAATATATAACAGACTTTATAATTAATTAATTAACAATATTATTGAAAAATTTAAATATAAAATATTGAAGTATTGAAATATAAAATATTGAAATATTGAAATAATAAAAATGATTAATAATTTACGAAATAATTAATAACTTTGAAATTCTTATGAAAACTTCGAAATTTAATACACTCTATTTATCATTTGCATTCATAGGTCGAAAACAGGAAGAAGAAAAAAAACTGAAAATCTCTAGAAAGCAGAGAAAGCTCTTTAGACAATGATTTCGAAACAGTTATACTTATTAACAACTCTAACAAGCTGAAATAGTTCGTTTTAAACTAAATCAATAATCAGACAAGTTTTCTCAAGACGAAAAACTGTAAAGTCGTATAGCCTTATTCCTTCTCTCTCTCTCTCTCTTCTCTCCGTCCCAAGTTCAATTGCACACTTAATGTAGATTTAGATACAAGTATATCAGTAATAAGAAATCATGTAATAACAGTAATCATGTTATTCTTCCACAGTAACTACGCTAATGATAGCATAAGAGTATACTTTAAAATGTATTTACTGTTTGCTAAAGTGAGCTTCCAATGCAATCATTAATGTTTTCTTTTTTTGTGCATTTTTTCTTATTCTTCTTCTTCATTTTTTTTTTTTTTTTTTTTTTTTTTTTTGTTTTTTGCAGTATTTCATAATAACGGATCTATAATAATTGATACTTTCGACTTGTCATAGGAAATGGCCTCCTGGAAAGGGCTGGTCCTGTATCCTTTGTTGCTGAACATCCGTTTCTTTACTTTATCATCGATACTGAAACTACAGCTACACTAATTGCTGGTCGCATTGATGATCCTCTCAACTCAAGGATATTATAGTTTAAACTGATGTCAATATATTTTATTCAAAAATTATGGAAAGAAAAAATTTTTCTGCAAATATTTATTTTATGTCTTTGATTGATTGATTGATATTATTATTCTAATATGATTGTTTTCTGTTTTCTTTTCTTTTTGTTTCAATTTATTTTTTTTATTTTAAAAATTTAGTTTAGAAATTTGTATTAAAAAATCAAAAGGAAATTTTAAAAAAGGGTATTTACAACAAAAGAAAACAAACAAGTTTTTTTAGACGAAACATTTTGAAAATAATTTTTCAAAACACTTTTCATTTAAAATTGTTGTTATGTACATCAAAAAACAATTTTAAAAGAAAAGTGTTTTGGAAAAAATGCCACTTCATAGAAAAAGAATATTTCTATCTCTTGTACTTCACCAAACAAACAAATTGATAATTAGATGAACATTTCGAATATAAATAAAAATTATTTTTAAAATACAATCAAAAATTATATTCTTAGTATAATTATTTAATTTTTTTTTCTTATTTTATTTCATTTTTTAATATTGAAAATCTTATTTAGAAGTTTTTTTGTATAAAGAGAAATATCACAAAAAGGATATTTACAATTAAAAAAAAACGAACAAGCTTGTTTAAACAAAACGATAAATATAAATTACTCTGAAAAATGTAATTTTATAGAAGAAGTATATTTATCCTTAAAATAGGTCACTAAATAAATAAATAAATAAATAATTAAACGAACGTTTCGAATGTTAAATCTACTTTACGACTTTTTTTTATATAAAAAGAAATTTTAACAAAAGGATATTTGCAATAAAAAAACAAATGAACGAAGAAGTTTGTTTAAACAAAATAATAAATAATAAATAAATATAAACAAATTAGGTAAACTAAAAAATGTAATTTTATATAGAAAAAGTATATTTATCATTTATACTTTATTACATATAAACAACGAACGTTTCAAATATAATTAAAAATATATTTTTAGTAAAACTATCAATAATTGATTGTTTTTCTTTTTCTGATAATGAAAATGTAGTTTACGAGTTTGTTTACAAAAAAGAAATTTCATAAAAGGAACATTTACAACAACAAAAAAAGAAACAAACAAACGAACAAGTTTCTTTAAATAAAACAATAAATAATAAATAAATATAAACAAATTATACTAAAAAAACAAACAAACAAACGAACAAGTTTCTTTAAATAAAACAGTAAATAATAATTTATTTATTATTTACTGTTTTATTTTTTGATATAAACAAATTACCCTCAAAAATGTAATTTTTTAGAAAAAGCATATTTATTTTTTATACTTTATTAAATAAACAAATAAATAATTAAACGAACATTTCAAATATACTTGAAAATTATAATTTTCAAATTTAATCAGAAATTATATTTCATAAAAATATTTTTAAAAATGATCTTTTTAGTATAATTTTTATAGAATAATATATTTGAAATTAAAATTTAAAAGTGTCCATTTTCTGCTACTTTAAAAACTTTTATGAACTAATGATTAAAAATTCTTTTTAAAAGAATTTAATAATATTTAAGATAGAGAAGAAATGTTTATACCAAGTTGTAAGATTTTATAGAAAAAGTTTTTTATTTTATTTAAAAATTATTTACTTTAAAAAAATTCTGTTAAATCTGAAAGGATTCAAATTTGACAAAATACATCTTCGTTGAAAAAATTTACAATTACAAAAGGGTAATTTAAAAAAAATCCTTTAGTAATAGGAAAAATTATCATAAAAATAATTAAATTTTTACATATTTTTCTTACCTCGTAGAAAAATATTTTTTTTGTCAAAAAAGTCGATAAAAGAAAATGAAAAGTAATAAATTTGTATATTTATTTCACAATAGTTATAAATAATAGGGCTATTATCTATAAACAGTAATATATATAGGTATTTATAATTATCTTTATAATTATATTTATAATATTTATAATATTTATAAGTATATTCATATAAAATTAAGAGTTTCTATATTTTAACTGCACACATACATTAAATCGTGCTCTGTACAAAATTCGTGTAAATAAAAAAAAAATAGCGTCAAAAAAGATTAATCATAAAATCGCAAAAAAAAATTACGAAACAATTCTGGCTTCGGAGATTCGATGAGATGTGAGAAATTGAAAAAATTATCCACAACATGTCTCAGGGCAAGAGTTTAGCATTTACAAAAAGATAAGGAAACTTTACTGAACAGTATCAAGAATTTTAAATTCCCTGCTAAAATAATTAAAACATTTAATTTCAATTAATTATAATTAATAACCATTTATTATTATGTAATTTTGTAATTGTGTAATAATAATTAATTTTTAATACTTTCAATTGATTATAATTAATTGCAATTAATTCCAATTAATTATAATTGATTCTAATTAATTGCAATTAATTCCAATTAATTATAATTAATTCTAATTAATTGCAATTGATTAAAATTAATTACATAGTTTAGAACTTGCCGAAAGAAATTAATGAAGAAAGGAAGAAAAAAATATAAAAAAAACAGAAGAAAATCGTAAAAAGTAAAGAAAAAATTTAAATAACTAAAAATATTTAAAAATATCACAAAATAAAAAGTATTTTAATGCAAAATGATAAAAATTAAATAACAAAACAAAAAAGCAAGAAAAGAAATGAAGAGAAAACAAATAATAAATAAATAAATATGACAAGAAATATAGAGAGATTTGTTGTAAAAAAATGCAAGTTTTCTTCGAATGTAAGAATAAAAAATTTGTCTTTTCTTTCCCATGAAAGATGTAATCAGAAATTTAAAATTCTAATTCTGTACATTTGAAGGAGATTTTTTTTTAATATGTAAGTCACAAGAGGGGACTTTCTTATTTCATTTCACCTATAAATAGTAAACGCTATGCGAATATATTATTTATTTATCGTATATGCGTATTTATATATAAATACATTTTCTGCGCCTCGAATTAAATACGTCTTGGCACAGATCAATTAGTTTCGTGACTTTTATTGCAAATTTTCTTCTTTTCTTGTCGCCTTTTATAACGGTCAAAATTATTTTTGATATATTTTTTCCAAACGATTTACGCCAATTTTTCTTTATTGATTTTTTTTCTTCATTTTCGTAATAATAAATTGAAAATAATAAATAATAATAACAAATAATAAATTAACCTCACGGTAGCTTTTGCCACTGACAATTTTCATTTATTTGGTTTTAATTTTTTTAATTATTCATTTACTTTCATTATTATTCTCCTTAAATTTGAATTAGTAAAAATGTTCATAAATTCAAATTTAGTTATTATTTTTATTATTATTATTAATAATAATATAATAATAAAGTTAATAATTTAATATGACAAAAAAAGAAATATGAAAATTTGCAAAAATGCGCAGTCACGAAAATAGTACACAGTCTTGGTGCACAATTTTATTCATAAATGATCGAAACACTTGAAGTGTTTTTATAATTATTTTTAAAAAAAAAGTAAAGCTACTATATTACAATGATTTATCAGCGTCATGCGAAAAAAAGACGTCTCGTTAATGATCTCAAACGTTCATTCAAATATTCGATCATTTTTCGCATCAATATTATTATTGAGCAATGCGATATTGATCTCAAAACTAAAGCGAATCAAAAAAAAAAAAAATATCGGTATTATTCTAATATCGTTTATGGATAATGAAAAATAATCGACAATATATTTTTTCATCAGTCGTGTCATTGGTTCCTGCAAAAAAAAAATCTTCTCAATCAAGTTCGATAAACTATCAATTATCATTCCTTGTAAAATTTCAATCGTTTTTAATTAAATTTCTCGAAAAAATAATTACAAACGAGAATTTTCTTTTTCAAAAATGAAAAATTCTTTTTAAATCCAACAAATTTATTCAATAATTTTTTTTATTATTCATTAAAATTGTTGGATAAAAATTAATTACTTTCTCTTGAATGAAATATTAATTAATTTATCACACGAACGAAAAATAATTTTTCTCGGTTGAAAAATTAATTTCTTTCGGATTAAGAATTAATTATTAATTAATTTAATTCGGTTGATAAATTAATTAATTTGTCACAAACAAAAAATTAATTATTTAATTAATCAAAATAAAAATTAATTTCTCTCAAAAATTAATTAATTTAATATTAATTCGTAATAAAAATTAAATAACATAAATTCGATAGAAAAATTAATTAATTTGTCTCGGTTGAAACATTAATTAATCTACCTCAGGATAAAAAATTAATTTATTATCTTGGTTAAAAAATTAATTATTCTATTGCAAATTAAAAAAATTGTTTTCCATAAAAAATTGAAATTAATTTTATTTTTAATCAAAGGAAATTAATAGTGAAAATTTGAAAAATTAATTACTAAGGAAAATATTATTTACATGATGTTGAGAAGTGAAAGACTTCAGAACAAAAAGAAAAATGATGATTTGAAGATCTCCACGAAAGTGATCAGCCAACATTGGCAATGATCCAAGGAACGAATTTCGAGATTCTTGTACAAACACCAGGTAAATTGGCTTCTGCGCATCCAATTCCCCAGGAAATAATGCCAGCGAGGAAGTAGCGACCATCTTTTCCGCGAACTTGCAGAGGACCTCCAGAATCACCCTGAAAAATTGTAATTAATTTCTATTAAAATTTTAGAAAAAATTTTAATTTCTAATAAAATTTCTTTCAAAATTAAAAAAAAAAATTAAGAATTAAGAAAGTTAAGAACTTTAATATAATTCCCCGAGCAAACTATTTTTCTATTATTGCAGTGGAAAGAGTACAATAATTAATAATACTTATTAAAAAAATTATTGCTTTCGGGAAAAAAATTAACAGAATTGTGTGATCATAAATTTACTTTAATATTTTTCAACATGAATATTTAACAGGGAGAAATTTAAAAATTTCTAAATAGAAATTGCAGAAAAATATTTTTCTGATTTATAAAAAAATATTTTCTTTCAATTTCTATAATGTTCTTCAAATATTCAGAGGTGAAATTTTTTCGAAATTTACAAATACTTAACTATGAAAGAATTAAAAAAAATTAACATTTAATAATAGAATTATGTCAAAAATTAAATAAACTTTTATCGTTTTTAAATTTCTTTTCTTTGAAAAAAATGTAATTTTATAACTTACTTGACACGAATCTTGACCTCCTGATTCGTATCCGGCACAGAGAAAAATTTCCGGTATGAATTCGTGTCTTCCCGCTTTAAGGAACATTGATTTACATCTGTCGTTACTCACAATTGGAACGGACACCTGAAAAATGAAAAAATAAATGAAAACATTTAATTACAGTTAATTGATTTTAATTTTAATTATAGTTAATTCCATAGCTAATGAAAGTATTTAATTCTATAGGTAACTAATTAAATTATTTCACGAATTCTTTATTCCGTGAATAAGAAAAATTTGTAATTTAACAATCAATTCAATTAGTAGTTTAACAATCAATTAAAATTTAGTTTATCAACAAAAAATTATATTAAACATTTGACAATATTAATTTAATTCGAAACTCGACAATTCATTAAGTATTAATTTTAAAATTCACCAAATAATTAAATTCAAAATCTAGGAATTATTATTTAAATTAGAAATTTAACAATTAATTGAAACAATCAATTTACCATTTGATAAAATTAATGACTTTGCATTTAATTAAAATTCAAAATTCAACAGTCAATTAAATTCAAAATTTAGCAGTTAGTTAAATTAATCAATTTACTATTTGATAAAATTAATAATTTATCGATTAATTAAATTCAAAATTTAACAATTAATTAAACTAATTATTTTACCATTTGATAAAATTAATAATGTAGCGATTAATTAAATTCAACAGTCAACTAAATTCAAAATTCAACAGTCAATTGAATTTAAAATTTAACAATTAATTAAACTAATTAATTTACCATTTTTGATAAAATTAATAATGTAGCGATTAATTAAATTCAACAGTCAACTAAATTCAAAATTCAACAGTCAATTAAATTGAAAATTTAACAATTAATTAAACTAATCAATTTATTATTTGCTATAATTAATTAATTGATATTATAATAAATTTTGCAATTAATTAAATTTAAAATTAAACATTCAATTAAATTAAAAATTGAACAATTAATTAAATTCTCATTATAAATTACTAATTCCATGCAATATTCAGCTATTAAGTGAAAAAGCAACAAATTTCCGTCTTTGTGTATAAAATAACATTAAATGTGGAAAATAACAATTAGCATTTAAAATTGTCTCCTAAATATGATTTACCTCTTGTAACACTGAGGGCAAAGTTCCACCTTCACTGAGTCTTCCCCATCCAGTGACAGTGGCATTTTCTCCAATAAGTAATTCATCGGCAGCAGGTAAACAAATTGGAGAAATATGTGCGACAAACGTTAATGGAGTCTCGAGTCTCACCAATGCAAGATCATATTCAAATGTGAAGAAATTATATTTCGGATGAACGACTTTTTTACTTATACTTCGTTCAACATAAGGAAGTCGCTCCTGGACTGATGAAAAATCATATTCTCCCACTCGAATTCGAATTTGAGATATCAGCAAACTGAAAAAAAATTTTAAACAATGTTTTATAAATATTTAAGTTTATTATTAATTTTAATAATTAATTTGCTATTAAATTAATTTATTATTAGTTAACTGCAATTAGAAAAAAATGTTTGCTTTTACGTTTTTTCCGTTAAAAATTAATTTTTCTTTGATTGAAAGAAATTTTCTTTGACCGTAAAAAAAAAATTTCCTTGCCTCAAAAAAGTTTGACTCAAAACTTTCTTTGATTCCAAAACATGTTATTTCTTTTCAAACCAATTTTTTTTTAATTAAAGAATTATTTCTTCGATCCTATATCAGTGATAAAACTTCTTTGATTTAGAGAGAACATTTTTTGTATTCTAAGGAAATTTCTTTAATTCAAATAAATTTCTTTTACTCAAAAACAATTTATTTATTGCAAAGAAATTAAATATATTATCAAATTAATATTAATATTAATATTAATATTAATATTAATATTAATATTAAATATATTATCAAATAAATTCCTTTTACTCAAAAACAATTTATTTATTGCAAAGAAATTTTCCTGTTTAAATTAAAATTAATTATTTTTTTGACCCTATATCAATAATAATAAAACTTCTTTGATTTAAAGAGAAATTTTTTTGGTTTTAAAGGAAATTTGTTTGAATTATAGAAATTTCCTATGAAACAAAAACCGTTTTTTTGTTTTGAAAAAAAAAATAATTTTGAATACAAGAAAACGAGTCTAAGAATTAAATTGATTTCTTAAATTAATAGAAACTTTTTTCTAATTTTCATGTCAATAGATAATTAACAATAATGTTTACTAACATTAATTTTTATATAAAATTTTTTAAAAATATTTTGAGAGTAATTGAATTATTTTTAGAGAATTTTAAATTCTTGTTGAAATTGAATTTTATGGAAATTTTTGAAAATATAATTAAATTCTCTCGTGTAATTTTATTTCAATAGGAATAAAAATTATTTAATTCCTGCAAAGAATTTTACTATATTTAAAAAATAATTGAATTATTTAGAAGAATTTATTACAATTTTAGTATAAGTAATTGAATTCTTTCGTGAAATTTTATTAAAATTTTTGAAAATATGAACAGTAATAATTAATTTTGTACTTAATAAGTGAATTTTTTAAATTTTGGTTATGAAATTATTTAAAAAATTTATATTTGAAAATAAAAAATTTTGGTATTTGCATAACAATAATAAATTGAATATCACGTTCTGCGCGCTAGCGCTCGTAACATTTGCTAAAATAAAATAAAATAAAATTTCTTATGAAGTATTTTCTTAAAATAAATTAAAAAACAGAAAAATGCTCAATATTCTTTATTAAATATTTTCAAAGTATCTATTTCTAGAAAAACTTAATAAAAATGGGTGCATTTACGGAATCACGTGAAATTGTTTAAATATTTAAAAAAAATAAAATTTTGTATAAAAATTGTGATTATAAAATAGAAATTATGCAAATTTTTTTACTAAAAAAATGGGTTTGGTAAAAAATTTAATTATTTATTTTGCACAAAGTGAGAAAAATGAAGATAAAAAGAGAAGAGACTGGAAACATATAAAGACATTGGTACCAGAAAATAAAGATGTTGAAGAAGAATAAAAAATATTATGAAGAAAAAAATTGAGAAAGAAGAAAAAAAGAGTCAGGAAAAAAGCTATCGAACAAAAAATAAATTACAAGATAAGAGAAATAAAAAACTGTACAAGGAAGAAAAAAGTACTGATTATTAAGATTATGATAGTTAATTTTTTTTAATTTTATGATTAATTAAAAATTTTTTATTTAATATTTATTATAATATTATTATATATAAATTAAATACTAATTTACTTCAATAATTTTTGTTTTTATTATTTTTATTATTATAAATATTCCACAAATATTCAAAAAAGTGTGAAAAGACTTAAAAAAAATTTAATTTGATAAAATAATTATCCTACCATGAAAAAAAGAAAAAAAAACAGATTTGAATAACTGTAAACATTTTAAACTAACTCCATTGACATGTATTTGAAAAAAAACAATAATTTTCCCCCCTAAAAGATCGCAAAGAGATTAAGCAAACTAGCAGAAAAAAAATGTCATTACGAGTGAAAAATACAAGGATAATGGAATTATTAGGAAGATCTTCAAGTCCACCTTGGCGAGAAAAAGTTACAGTTGAGAGAAGCAGAAAATGAAGGATGCGTCTTTTAAGAAGCATTAACGGACGATAATGTAATGAAGGAAGTAAATACTCTGCGAAAAGAAAATTGAGAAAAAATGACGGCGGGAAAAAAAAAAATAGGACAGAAACAAGTAAACGATGAGAAATAACGAAGATATTAAAAATGTCATTAAATAAATCCACTCTCAAGGAAGACTGTATGTATAGAAATAAAAGAAGGAAAAAAAAGGAGGAGGTGGAAAATAAATATAAAAGGAGGAAAATATATCTATATAGTACACCAGAAAGTAGCAATCTAGAATTTTTTTTTTAATTTCCTTTTTTTACATTATTTTTTCTTTTTTCTCCTTTTTGCTCACTTTTCTCTCCTTTTATCTCATTTTATCTCCTTTTATCTTCTTTTATCCTCCTTTATCCTCTTATATCTCCTTTTCTTCCCTTTTTTCCCCCTTTTTCAATCCATCGCTTCTCAGGATCATTTGATTGACTATACAGAAATATGGCCTCTTCAGGTTTAATAACGATGCACGAGAAATTACAGTGGATATTATTTACAACTATTTATTAATTATCTCAACACTGATCACTATATATTTAATTAAGAGTTTCGAGTAAAGAGGAAAATAAATTTTAAACACTAATTTTAGTGTCAGTTTAAAGAGGGAAATGTTAATTTTAATAAATAATAATTATATTATATAATAATAATAATAATAGATGATTGATGTTATTATCATTTAAATTTAACAGTATTTTTTTCTCCTGTAATTATTTAAAACAAAATTCCAAAATGCAATTATAATAGATCGTAAATTTTCCTACAATTATATAATTAGACAAATCTAATTGAGAAAAAAAATTATTGTCAATTTCCATCAGTTATTTTTTAAATTCTAAACTTCCTACGATTATTGAAATTATTCTCGTAATTAAAATTCCAGTGAAGGAAATGATTTTAAAATTTGTTATCAAGAGGGAATATTTTTAATCTTTTGTAGCAATATTTAATTAATATTTAATCAATATTTAATTATTAAGTTAATTAAATTAAGTTAATTGAATTATTTAACTTGAACTAAATTTGTAACTTCAGATCAACAATTTTCATTATTAATCAATTTTAAATAATAATAATTAATTATTAATATTAATTAATTAATATAAAATATTAATTAATTATTATTAATAATATTAATTCTTTAATTGCAAAATTATTCCAAAACATCAACAGTTTTATATAAAATAAGTATTTAATGATTATTATTTTTCCTTTTTCCATAAGAATTAAGTTTTTTAAAATTTAAAAAAATTTTTTAAATAAGAATATAAAAATATCTTTATTTTTTTGATTAAAAAGTATGAAAGATTCAAATTTTCAAAGATTTTAATTTAAAACCTTTTTCAAAATTCAATTATTTCTAAAAATTCATAATATACCTAATGCTTTTAATATTCAATTATTATCTATAATTTTAAATACAAAATTATTTAAATACAAAAATAAATAATTTATTGAATAATTGAATGTTTCTTAAAATTTAATTGAAATTGAAATTTAAATTTAATTTTAAACAAATGTTTAAACAGTAATTGAATTCTTGTGACGGATTTTAAGACAATTTTTAAGAATAATTTTGAATTTCTTTTTTTAAAAACATTTTTTAAGGAATTTGATTAAAATTGTATAAAAAATAATTGAAATTCTGTGATGAGTTTCATTATTTATAAAAATAATTCAATTTACAAAAAAAATTTTATTCTTTATGAAAATAATTAAATGTTTGCGTAGAATTTTATAAAATTATTTTTTAAATAATTTAATTATTTTGAAAACTTTTATGAAAAAAGTTTCAAACAAATGACTTTTTTCAAAAAAATTATGCAAATTTTATTCTTAATAATTGAATTCATGTGAAATTTTCATTATTTTAGAAAATAATTAAATATTCATGTAGAATGAAAGAAAAATTTTTGAAATTAATTGAAATCCTGTAATGAATATTATTAGAAGTTTTAAAAATAATTGAATATTTTTATAACAATATTCATAACAAGAATTCAATTATTTTTAGAACTTTTAATAAAATTCATTGTAGGACTTCAATTATTTTCAAAAATTGTTCTTTTATTCTACACGAATATTTAATTATTTTCTAAAATAATAATTGAATTAATGTGAAAAATTTATTGACAAATTCTAAAACGTTTGATTTTTTCGAAAAAATTTATGCAAATAATTGAATTCTTGTGGAATTTTTATTTTTTTTTTGAAAAATAATTGAATTTTAGTGTAGAATTTTATCTAAATTTTTATTTAATAATTAAATTCTTTTCGAAAATTTTATTATAATAGTAGAATATTGAAAATCATTTTAGTGGGGAAATTTTTTTAAAATAATTGAAATTTTGCGAAGAATTTTATTAAAATTGTTGAAAATAATTGAAATTTTACGAAGAATTATATTAAAATTTTTGAAAATAATTGAATTTCACAGAAGAATTTTATTATTTATAAATATAATTGAAATTTTGAATAGAATTTTTTTAAATTATTAAAAATAAAAACATAATTGAATTTCAACGAAGAATTTTATTACTTTTGCGACAATAATTAAATTTCGGAGAAGAATTTTATTATTTATTTATAAAAATAATTGAAATTTTGGAGAGAATTTTAAAAAATTTCTGAACACAATTAAATTTCTGCGAAGAATTTTATTGTTTTTGATAATAATAATTGAATTTCTGTTATCAATTTTCTGTTATCAATTTTTTTAGTGTGTTTTTAACTAAAATTCTTTTATAATTTAATTATAAAAATTCAATTTTTTTCAGTACCTTTAATAAAAATCCCTGACTTTTCTCTGAATTAAATAGAAAAAATTAATAGAATTTCGAAATTAATAATTAATTAATTAATTAATTAATTAATTTTTTATTTTCATAAAAAATAATTTAAAATTCTAGAAAATAATAATTGAACTAAAATGATGAAAATATTATAATTTTGATGAAGTTACAGTAACAATATTCTTATAATATAAAATAATGATTTTATCTCTCGGTCATTTTTAATTATTAGAAAACATGAGGAAATCGATCACTCCGAGTCTTCGACTCGGAGCAATCGATATCTTTATATTTTATAACAATTTTTTATAATTTGTTTAATATCAAAAAGGTTTGAATTTGAAATTTTTGAATGTCTTAATTCCTATTGAGAATCCTGTTCCAAAAATAAGATTAAAAATAGAAATTGTGCAAATATTTTTCTTCTTTTTCTAAAACAAAATAATAATTTTGTTTAAAAAATTGTGATTCATAAACAAAAATAATGCAAAATAAATAAATTTTCTATTTCTCAATCACAGTTGTTTAACAATTTTCTAATTTTGTTTAGAAATAAAGAACAAAAATCTGCATAATTTCAATTTGACAAAACATAATATTTAACAAAATTTTAGTCTTTCAATGAAAAGAAGTGAAAAAAATTCTGATGATTTCTATTTGTCATTCCAATTTTGAATTAATTGTAAAATAAAAATAATTATAACATAATAATATAATATAAAATCTATCTAAGGATAACAAAAAGTAAAAGTATAAACAAAAGACAACTTCAGAGTGTGTGGGACAGAAAAAGTGAATGAATGAAAGAACATTCAAATTATTTTAGTTAATTAAGTTAATTTCACTAATCAATAAATTAAATTAAATGGTATATTACAAAAAGGACTCAACTCTAAAAACCATAAGAGTCATTTTCTCTATCAATTGTTATTTGAAAATTACTTTTACTGTTTTCAGAAAGAGATGTCGAAAATTTTTTTCGTAATTCACGATTCGATTAATAAATGAAAATAATGAAAATAAAATAAAAATGAATCAAATTAATCAATTAATTATGTTACGAATATTAGAATTAAGAATTGACTCACTCATCGACACAATGTCCAGCAGTGGCAATCCAATTTTCATTGAGAATAGCGCCTCCACAGCGATGTGTACTGGAGAATCCAAAAAATGAGGTCCTCCTAACTGAGACTTGCCAGGGCCATCTTCCAAAAGCAGCGTCCTTACCGCCGACGATTCGCGTTTCCGGTCGGGGAAAAAGTGGCGGCACACCGCATGGCATATTTCGACTCTCGGCTGCTGCCGGTATTGTCAAAACAGATCCGGTTCTCTGAGGTTTTTCAGGAAGACTTTCCGATGTGGTCGATGTTGACAATGTCGTCGTTGAAGATGGCCTTTGAGTTGTGGTTGTCGTCGTTGTTGTGGTCGTGGTGGTAGTCGTGGTTGTTTTTTTCGTTGGTCGCGGTTTCGTCGGTGTTTCATTATAGGATGTTGTTATAAAATGTGCTGCACCAAAGGGCTTATGATAATCATTCTGCAAAGAGGAGACACGTGCTCATTATTCAATAGTATTTACACATTATTTTACCTCTAAAAATTAAAAAATTAAAAAATTCAAGGTTTTCTCATTTTTAATGAGAATTATTTACATTCTTCTTTGGTACCATCTGTAGAATACTGGTAGCAAAGGAAAAGTGTCTGGTACCAAGGATTCCAAATTAAAATTTATAGAAAGGTATTATTTTACCAAATCTTAGTGGTAGCTATAATTTCAACTCTGGTACCAGAGCTTTTTCCTACACCAGATTTAATTTTCCAATTGGTACCACTAAAAGGAAAGTACAATTTATATTCTTAGCTAAATAATGGTTACACTTTTGTCTATAGCATTGGTACCACTTGTAATTCTATATTGGTATCAAATCTTTGTAGTATTTTTGATAGTTTTCTGGTACCGGACATAATTTATTTCTTGGTACCTTCCTAGAAATTTTAATTTGGAATCTATTGCAGTAGGGATCATTTTTTTTGGTGCTAAACGAAATTTTCCAGTTGGTACCAGAGAAGTAACATAAATATCGTCTTTTTGATTTGGTAAAGTTTGAATAATATCATCTGTTTGGTACCACCTGCACTAACATATATTTGTTCTCCCAGTAGTAATATGATTTTTTTTTATATTCTCACAGTACACGTTCCTTAGTTCCTCCATTAGATGACCTGAATTTTTTTTCTTCTCACAGTACTATTCGCCTCCCGGAAAAACTTGATATAGCAATACTTTCCAATTTTAATCAGTGAATAACTGAAGTCGTCGCGATGACTTCTTTTTCTCGTTCTGTCCATTTACAGGTTGAGGGACGTGCATCGAGAAAATCTCTAAACTTCCGCGTGAAAATGCACTTTGGTTCGTTTGCCTTTTTCTCAAGGTCGTTCGTTTTTTTTTCTATAGTTTCATTAACGTCTCTCAACAAAAGCAATATATTCCAGGAATACACTAATACTGTCAAATTAACTTTCTACAAATCATATTTATAATGACAAATAGCAAATAGTCGAAGAAGAATGAGATAAAAAAACGGATCTTTGTTGTTTCTTATGAAATGCAAGAGATATTACATGCCTTTCTCTCTATGTGCAAATGTCGATGAGAAAAACACATCGAATCAGCAAAAGGCATTAATGTCTTCAACCTCTCGAGGATATTATGAGTTTTTTTCTTCTTTCTTTTTGCACTCCTCTATTGGACTTTTCGCGAATATTTCAAGTAATTCCATAACTTTCTATATCATTCTGCTCGTAAAGAATAGGTTCAATAAGGAAAAGTGTGCTTCATTATTTTATCTTTTCAACGAGACTGTGAGAAATTATTCTTTTAGGCTTTTTCTCGCAGAGATCTTAATGAGAAGGTCTCAACATCCGTTAGGTATTATCTTCTGGTTTCTTCTTTATTTCTTTAATTTTACTTTCACATTTTTCTTGTGTTGCTTTTTTCAATTTTTATTTAGAAATTTTCTTATTTTACTTTTCTCTTTTCTATTCAGCTTCTTTTTTTAAATTGTCGATTTCACTTTATTGTTATTTGCAATTTTCTTTTCTACTCTTTTTTGTCACTGCATTCTTCTGTATTTTACTTTTGACAGCAATTCTGGCGACAAATTATAAACCAAAAATATTGCAAAATCTTGGTAGCGGAGCTATTATTATTATTGTCAAAATAGTTTTGGTAGCAAGTATTTTCAAAAATTTGTATTTAGAACTTGGTACCAAAACTAATTCTTTGGTACCGGACATAAAGTTGACATTGGTACTCTTTTCTACTGGTACCAGATTTAATTTTCCAATTGGTACCACTAAAAGGAAAGTAGAAATAATATTCTTAGCCAAATAGTGAGTTACACTTTCGTTTATAGCATTGGTACCTCATTTGTATTTCTTTTTTCGTATCAAATCTTCGTGGAATTCTTTAGTGTTATCTGGTACAAGTCATAATTTAATTCTTGGTACCAATGCGATACCACAGGTCAGGGAAATCAGTGAAAAGTCACTCTACTACACAAAAGTAGTAATAATAGTAAAATTAATAAAAAGAATAATAATATTCGGCGAAAAGATTCGTAATTAATTGCTCGACTTACTTCTTGTATTTCCGTTGGTTTAAAACTTGGTTTCTGGGGAAAACTCTCGGGACCATTTTGCATTAGATTCGGATGATCCGTCCAGTGTGGCTTCATTGATGGTCTCGGTGGCGTCCAACTGCTTTCGGACCAAAAATAAGAACCACCAGGTCGTGTTGTTTCAAATAATGTTGTAATGGGCTTAATTGACGATGGTTTCTGATTTTTTGTGACGAACGCTGGTTCCGTCGTCACTTGCCAGTGTGGTGTTTGTGGTACAGATCCGGCTGCGCTACAATGAAAAGACGTTTTAAGTGTTGCTTTTTTCAATTCTATGAGAATATACAAAAAGTGGTTCGACAAAATTTTTTACTAACAATGACAAATATTAATTGGTATCAATGATTGGTACCACTTTAGAAATATTGTATCAAAGATATAGTCAAAAAAAAAATTGGCAGCATTTTTTTTTACAGAAAACACAAATATTAATGGTACCCAATCGAATAATTTTTTATTTGTATCAAATTATTTTTATTTGTATCGAATAATTTTTATTTGTGTCAAATAATTTTTATTTAAGTCAATTAAACGATATTTGATTCAAATATACTAAAATTATTATTACAAATACAATTTATTTGAATTACGTAAAAATCATTTGATTCAAGTAAATATTTATTTGATAAAGTATTCGGTTATTTGAATGAAAAATTTGCGCATTTGGATGGATTTAGATGGATTATTATTTCACAGAATAAAATATTTATTATTATGAATAAAACGTTAGAAAGTATCAATAATAATTTACGAAATATTGAAAGAAAATTGCCAACATTCTTAGATGAAATTACGAAAGAAACATTTTAATAATAGTACTTACATTGGAAAATGTCTTCCTAATAAACTTCTCAAACAAGTAAAATTTTATAAATTACAAACTTTCTAGTGAATTGTTAAAGCTTTAGTATTTTATTTAACAAAAACTGCAATTTTTGAAAATTGAAATTGATTTCGTATATTTTTCTCTCTAAGATCTTTTTTTGGTATCTTTTACTTTATTTTTCCAAATACTTTTTTTTTCTTAAATAATAATTTTTCTTTTATTGAAGTAAATAAAAATTAAATTTCTGGGTGACATACCTGGTTGATTGACTGCTATAATACGTGGGCTTTGATGTCGTTGACGATTTACTGGGTTTATTATGACTGTCAGGTTTCAAATGAAACATGGGTCTATCATCCATTCCTCCATTCATTAATTGCGGTCGATGTGTTGATGTTTTTAGTGTAAAATATGGCTTTGAATAATCTATCGAAGGCTTATGATTGGAGGTTACCGGTTTTGTCGCCCATTGCGGCGGTTCAGTGTGGATAAAATTTAAACTAAGGTGCGAACTATTCACATTATCCTGAAAAGAGAATTGTTTTTTAAAATCATATCGGCCTATTCTTTTTATCATATAAATATTTTTGGGTTTATTAAAAGACCTCTTAATTAATTTTATGTCTGGTACCAAGGCTTTGGAGGTAACTTTTATCTATGCCAAAAATTTTACTGAATGCTACACTGAATTTTAGTCTTGGTACCAATAGAGGACCAGTAAAATTTTATTCTCTGCAAAAAAAAGTGACAAAAAGCACTTTGGTATCTTTGTAACTTTGGTACCACACCTGTCTTTACATTGTTGGTAGCTTTATAACAATTTTAATTTGGATTCTTCGGTACCAGAGGCCATTCTTCTTTTGGTACCAGTCAAAATTCTGCAGATGGTACCAAAAAAGTATTAACATAACTTAAATTTAAAGCCCAATACTTATAAGGAAAAATTTTAGTTAAATACTGATACCAATTATTTTGGAAACTATGTACAAAAATCGTTTTTTTCTGCTTCAAGATATAGTTAATAAAGAGTGACTTTATAATTACCCAAAAATATTCAGAACATTTTTTTTTCTCGAGGAACTGAAAATGTATTTCAGAAAATAGCTAATTTATTATATCAACGGCTTACTTTATCATCTAGGGAATTGATGCTCGGCCTGTGGATCGTCTCCTGGACAACGAGATCACTCTCCTCATTTTTACTGTCGTCGGGCCGCGATTCCGAAGGTCTCTGACTAAGTGGCCTGAGCTCTTGGCCCTTGATCGAACCCTGATTCTTGTTTGGTAGTCTTATCAATAAAGTGCTGTGTTTATTGTCGATTTTATCCTGCAGCACTTGATGATGGTCATTCGACGATTGTTGACCATGGCCTGGTCGATGTTCCGCAGACTCGGGCCTTGTCTTCATCATCTGATGATGATGACCACCAACTACTTGTGGTCTTGAATTTTTCTCCCAGAATCCCGCCACTTGGCCGGGATTAATGGACGTCTGATGATGTCTGTCTTCCTGACCAGAAGAGGGTTTTGCGTGCGGCCTCTTTTGTAGAGGTCGACTTGAATTCACTTGTAGTGGTTTATAAGGTCTTGTTGAATTGACACTTGGTTTGGATGTTCCCAAGGTTTGATGATGATGTTGTTGTTGTTGTTGATGATGATGATGAGGAGGATGGTAATGACTTGTCGAGCTTACGCCTTGATTCTTTGAACCTAATAACTGACTAGTGGTACTAACAGCTTGCTTCTGCGAGCCTTGAAATTGACTCTGGGGTCGCAGTGTTGTGCTGGATGATAAAGATGATGATGATGATGATGATGGATGTGACGTTACGGAGAGAGACGTCAACGTTAGCCTTGTCGATTCACTCGACAGGGCCTCGGCCAAGGTCGGCCTCAATGTGTTGGATGAGGTGGATGGATTGTGAGAACTTATGCTATTACTCGTTGCATTATGAACGCAACAACTACCGAACATAAATGTGTCAACACACACTCCAACGTGTGTGCCCTCTGACTTGATGCACTCCCACACGAACATACATGTGCCCTCTGTGCCCAACATGTTTGCCACTCGACATGGTTTCGGGCTGATTTTATAACCTGGAAACAAAATATTTTTAAACATCAGTATAAAGTGTGACAGGTAAATAATTACAATTTGCCATAAATCAAAGTGTATTTCAGATGAAAAAAATTTTTTTTTTATAAAAGTTTAGAATTAGAAAATTTTTAAAAAGTTCATTTTTTATTTATTATTTAATAGATTTTTTGTAAACAATTTATTTTTTTTAATGTTCTGCGCCTTTTAAAAATTCGAAAAAATCTCAACATACAATTAAAACTATAAGGAATCAAAATCCGTTGAGAAAATATTTCATACAGAAAATTTTACTTAGTAAAAATAAAATATTGTCTGACAAAATTGCACTGTTTCCACTTAAAATCCAAAAATACTTCATAGAAAAAACTTTCTATGGTAGAAAACAATATTGTCTGATGAAACTTCACTATTTCTAAGTTAAAATCCAAAAATATTTATAGAAAAAAATTTAACTATTAAAAATAAAATACTGTCTAACTAAACTACACTGTTTCTACTTAAAATCCAAAAATACTTTCTAGAAAAAACTTTCTTTAGTAAATAAAATATTGTCTGAATAAACCTCACTTTTTCTACTTAAAATCGACAAATAGTTCATATAAAGATTTTAACTATTAAAAATAAAATACTGTCTAACTAAACTACACTGTTTCTACTTAAAATCCAAAAATACTTTCTAGAAAAAACTTTCTTTAGTAAATAAAATATTGTCTGAATAAACCTCACTTTTTCTACTTAAAATCGACAAATAGTTCATATAAAAATTTTAACTAGGAAAAAAATAGTGTCTGACAAAACTGCACTGTTTCTACTTAAAATACAAAAATACTTTCTAGAAAAAACTTTCTTTTTTAAATAAAATATTGTCCGAAAAAAAACTCACTTTTTCTACTTAAAATCCAAAAATACTTCCTAGAAAAAACTTTCTTTAGTAAAAAAATATATTGGCTGGCAAAACTACACATTTTCTACTTAAACCCCAAAAATACTTTATCTAGTAAAAATTAAAGATTGTCTGAAATATAATAAAATTAAAAAAAAATTTATTAAAACTGTATGCAAACATTTAATTATTTTCATAAATAATTAAAATTTCACAGGAATTCAATTATTTTTATAAATAATAAAAATTTTTTAAGGAATTCAATTATTTTCATAAAAAATTATTTATAATTCTAGAAAATAATAATTGAATTAAAATCATTTTTTATACTTCATAATCTTTATAATCACAATGAACTTTAAGACACAATATCTTCAATTTTTTATTTCTGTGAATAATTAAATTTATGTTAAATAATTGAATTCTAAAATAACTTTTTCAATGGTATTAATTTTTAATCACTAATGCAGAAAAGATTTTAGTAAAAAGTAATAGGTGTGAATTTTCAGAAATAATTGAATTTTAAATGTTTTTAAATAAAAATCTTGAAGAATTTCAATTTTTGTGAGAACATTCAAATTCAAACATTGAAAAACAAATTTATTTCAACTATTATTTATATTTTAAAACATTTTTTAATTTTTATAATTATTATATTTATTTTTAAGCAAAAATAGATTTTTGAGCAATCTTAATTGAATTTTTTTAAAGATACCTACTTGATTTTTTTAACAAAATTTTATTAAATATTTTAAACAATATTTTAAATATTATTTTCAAGGAATTTTAATTAATTAACTAGTGAGTACAAATATTTTAATTTTTTAAAACAAAAATTATTTTGCAAATTAAAGAAATTAAGTAAATGTTCAAAAATACAAATTTTTTTTTTAAGGTAATTTTTAAAACTGTTCAAAAAGAAACAAAATTTTCTTTTTATTTGAAAAATTTAGATCTTTGGGAAAAATATTAAATTGTCAAAATTGGATCGAAAATAATTTAATAATAATATCAAGAGAATTAGTATTAAAATTTTCATTAAATTGTTAATTTGAAAATGATTTAAATTTAAAGATTTATTTTTAAAATTGAATTTTCGAAAAGTTTCCCTTCAGAACTGTAAAAAATTAAGTTTTTAAAATATCTCAGTTTTATAGGTATTTTAAAGAATAAATGAATTTTTACGAAAAATAATTTTATTTTTTATTGAGATTTAAAAATATTCGAAAATAATCTAGGAAAATTCGCTACTGTTAGTAATTTTATTTTCAAATTCTTAAAAAGTTGTTTAAATATGTCAGTTTTTCTAAAGATAATTTAATTTTTATCAATAAATAATTGAATTTTTTAAAGAGAATTTAATCTTTATAAACAAATGGAATTTTTTAAAGCTAATTGAACTTTTATAAATATACAACTCATTAAAATTAAAAATAATTTTAATTAGATTAGTTAATTTCAATTTGATATTTTGTTTTAAAATTAAAGTTTAATAGTAAAAAGTTAAGTTAACGTTTAATTTAAATTAGTTTAATGTCAAGAAGCTTGAAGATTTCTATTTAAAATTTTGTCTTAAAATTAGTTTCGATAAATTCCATTTGAAATTAGGAAAAAACTGTTTGTAGTTTTTTTTTTAATATTTCAGTTCTATTTTTTTTAACACTGGTAACTTAAAAGTATTAAATTTCAATGAATTGATACTAAAAATGTGAATCAAATGAAAAATTTATCCAAATTTTTGTTATCAATTTAATCCACTTTAATATTAATCTAATACTGTCAAGATATCTGTGAAGAAAATTGAACTTCTCTTGAATTTTTTTTTGAATTACAGATCAGGGAAAAAATTCAAAATCAGAGTAAAAGAAATTTGAATTTTTATGACAATCCTATGTACATATATATATGTAAAAGTTAAAAATAAAAAGGCCAATAAACGTCATTTCATGCAACTTTCAATTATTCACTGACGGAACTGTGTTTATTGTTTGCGAGCATTTATCAAGAAATGTATACTGGAAAACGTGATTAGCGCAGCATATAATGACTAGAAAGGTTCATTGTGAATTTCATATTTTAATACGTTTTCGTAGAAGGAAATCGGGTATCATTTTGCCACGTATTCTCTTCATAATTCACAAAGGTGATTTAGAGAGTTTTCTAATGATCGTGAAACCAGTCAAGATATCACATCACTTCCACATTTTTTTTTTATATAGAAAGAACACAATTTTTTCTAAGGGTATCAAAAATTGAGACAAAAAAGCAGCAAAAGTGTTGCGAAGCAACATTTTGATGCGTTTTTGTCTCAATTATTAATTTTGTTATTAAAAAAATTATCAATTTTGTCTCAATTTGATATCCTTAGGAAAACTATGAAGAAAAAAAGAAAGAATAAAGAAAAAGTATTAAAAGTATTAAAATAGTACTAAAAGTACTAGAATAGTACTAAAAGTATTAAAATAGTACTAAAAGTGTTAAAATAGTACTAAATATACTAAAAATTAATTAAAAACTACTAAAAGTACTAAATATTCTAAAAATTAATTTAAAAATACTAAAAGTACTAAAAAAAGTAGTACTAAAATATAGACAGAGAATGAAAGAGAAGGAAAAAAGAAAGAAAGAGAGAGAAATGGAATATAATTGCCAAGTTTGAGGAATTTCTTCTCGAAATAAAAAAAAATGACATGCGACATAGCATCAGTCCGTATATAGTTGCAATAAGGAATTTGGAATCTTTGGAGAATTTCTGCAGATACGGAGATGCATTAAAGAAGATTCCCTCGAGGTTTGGTGAAAGTGTACCACTTTTGCAGTGTGCAAGCATACCTTGGTTCGAGGCAGAAAAAAGAAATTCTAATTATCGGTCAAGGTAGAGATGCATTGTCGATTCGGTCATTAACAGAGTAATATGGGTTAATTAAAACTTCACTTGAAAATAGAAAGAAAATCACATTCATCTTTTTCTCTAAATTGAATTTTTATAGAAAACATAATGTATTGTGGATATAATAAAGAGGAGGAAATTGCGGAACAACTTGTAATTACACAAAAGATAGGTACAATGTTGATCGGTTTCAATTATAAAATATGACTGCGAATCAAATTGCGCAATCAATTATATACGCGAATGCACTCGCAGCTTTAGAATACGTATATATATACCTATAAATGTATACGCAAAGATTAAACGAACTGGAAAATCTTTTAATAATTAGGAAAATTTTTATAATTTTACACTGCATTATTATTTATAATCTTTGTTTTTCGATTGAATGTTTCTTTGAATTTTTTCCTCTCTGAATCTCGGAATTTTTCGTTATTTTTTCTTTCGAGAGATTTTTCTGAATTTTTCTTTGCTTTTGAAGAATTTTTAATTTTAATTTTTAATTATTTGAGAAAATTTAGGTAGGTACTTTCTTACAGCGTTTAATTTAATTATCGTCTTGAAGAAAGATTTTTATTTTATTTTAACATTAAAAATTGACTAACAAAAATATTTTTTCTACTTAAAAGTTAAATATCGTTTTAATAGAAAATTTTAAAAAAGGAAACTATTGAAGCGTTGTCTGACAAAACTGCGAGTTTTCTACTTAAAAAATAAAAACTTATTTAAAATAAAATTTCACCTGTTGTAAAATAAAAAATTGTCTGACAAAATTGCACTCTTTCTATTTAAAATACAAAAATATTTCATACAGAAAACTTTACCTAGTAAAAATTAAATATTGTCTGACAAAACTTCACTATTTCTACTTAATACAAAAATACCTCGAAGGAAAAAAAACTTTCTTTAGTAAAAAAAATATTGTCTGACAAAACTTCAGTATTTCTACTTAAAATCCAAAAATACTTTATAGAAAGCAATTAAACTATTAAAAATACAATGCTGTCTAACAAAACTGCGCTGTTTCTACTTAAAATTCAAAAATACTTTCTAGAAAAAACTTTCTTTAGTAAAAAAATATTGGCTGTCAAAACTACACTTTTTCTACTTAAAACCCAAAAATACTTTCTAAGAAAAACATTATCTACTAAAAAAAAAAATGTCTGACAAAACTGCACTGTTTCTACTTAAAAACTTAAAATACTTCTTAGAAAAACTTTATCTAGTAAAAGTTAAAATATATTTACGAAAAAACCTCACTTTTTCTACTTAAAATCAACAAATAGTTCGTAGAAAAATTTTTAATTAGGAAAGAAATAGTATCTGACACAACTTTACTATTACTACTTAAAATAAAAAAAAAACTTTATAGAAAAAAATTAAACTATTAAAAATAAAATGCTGTCTAACAAAAATAAAATATTGTCTGAAAAAACCTCACTTTTTCTACTTAAAATCAAGACATAGTTGATAGAAAAAATTTTAACTAGAAAAAAATGTACTGTCTGACAAAACTTTACTGTTTCTACTTATAATCAATAAATAGTTCACAGAAAAAATTTTAACTAGAAAAAAAATACTGTCTGACAAAACTGCACTGTTTCTACTTAAAATTCAAAAATACTTACTAGAAAAAACATTCTTTAGTAAAAAAATATTGTCTGTCAAAACTACACTTTTTCTACTTAAAACCCAAAAATACTACATAGGAAACACTTTATTTAGTAAAAATAAATTATCGTCTGACAAAACTGTACTATTTCTACCTAATACTCAAAAACGATTTATACAGAAAAACTTTATACTAAATATTAAATGTTGCCTATTAAAAGAAAATTTTGTCTATTTAAAATTGCATCTTGGCTGACTAAACTGCACTTTTTCTACTGAAAAATTAAATATATTGAGAGAAAAATTTTAAGGACCTCAAATTCAGCCTTGTCTGATAAAGAAGTGTATTTTCTACTTAAAATACAAAATTCTTTATAAAAATAACTTTTTCTAATAAATTAAAGTACTGTCTGACAAAGCTGCACTATTTCTACTTAAAACACACTAATATTACATATAGAAAAAATATTATCAAATTTATAAAATACTGTTTGACGAAACTTCACTATTTCTACTTAAAACCCAAAAATGCGTCCGAGCAAAAATTTTACCTAGTAAAAATATAATACTGTCTGACAAAACTGTACTATTTCTACTCACAGTCGAAAAACATTTTATAAAGAAATACTTTAAAATGGTTAGTAAAGTTTCAATAAAAAATATTCCCCACCTAAAATTGAATCTTGTCTGACTACACTGTACATTTTCTACTTAAAAATAAAATATACTGAGAGAAAAATTTTAAATACTTCAAATTAAGTCTTTTCTGACAAAATAGTATGTTTTCTACTTAAAATAGAAAAATTCTTCATAAAAATAACTTTTCCTAATAAAAATAAAATTTTGTCTGACAAAACTTCACTATTTCTACTTAAAATCCAAAAATACTTTATAGAAAAAAATTTTACTATTAAAAAAATACTGTCTGACGAAACTTCACTATCTCTACTTAAAATCCATAAATTCTTTATAAAAATGACATTTCCTATTAAAAATAAAATACCGTCAGAGAAAACTCCACTTTTTCTCCTTAGAAGCAAAAAATGTTTATGTCAACACAAAAAAAGTTTTTTTTTTTTAAATTTAGAAAAAAATTTTATAAGCAATAATATAAAAATGTAAATAATGTCACTCTTTCTAAAAACAAAAAGTGTAAATAATTATAAAAGATTTTCAATGATTTAAGGAAAAAAAATGTGATTATGAGGACGAAGTTTGAATAAAAATTGTAAATAACTACTGACTGTGACCTCGATTAAGTGAGCTGAGGGACCTGGCGATGCCCAACCACCAGAGAATTGTGGCCACGTAACCGATCCACCGCATCCTGATCCCTGTAAAGGAGACAAATTTTTTATTAGTTAATTGAATTAATTAATTAGATTCTAATTTATATTCGAAAAACAAATTAAATAACATTCGTTTACAAACTAAACGAAACTGAAGGTGTCACTTCAATTGCTCATTATTATTAAGGATCAACTCTTATAAAAAAAGAATATTTGACATTTTTTTAAAAATTAATATTAATGTTAAATTCCTTTTAAAAAAATATTTAATATTTTGTAAAAACATTTGGAACTGTGATTAAGAAATAGAAGATTTATTTATTTTGCATTATTTTTGTTTATGAAACACAATTTTTTTAACAAATTTATTATTTTGTTTTAGAAAAAGAAGAAAAATATTTGCACAATTCCTATTTTTCATCTTCATGTTTGGAACTGTATTTTCCACAGGAATTAAGACATTTAAAAATTTCAAATTTAATTTCTATAATAATTAAAGATGACCGAGAGATAAAATCATTATTTTATATTATAAGAATATTGTTACTGTAACTTCATCAAAATTATTTTCATCATTTTAATTCAATTATTATTTTCTAGAATTTTAAATTATTTCTTATGAAAATAATAATTGATTTCCTTAAAGAAATTTTATTATTTATGAAAATAATTAAATATTTACATTAAATTTTATTAAAATTTTTTTTACACAATTAAATTCTTTTTGGGAAATTTTATTAAAATACTAGATATTGAGAATCATTGAAATTAGAAAAATGTTTGAAAATAATTGAAATTAGGACAAGAATTTTTTTGAAATTTATGAAATTAATTGAATTTTGGAGAAGAATTTTGTTATTTATAAAGATAATTGGGAATATTACAGGAATTTTTTTTCAAATTTCGAGCATAGTTAAATTTTATAAAAAGAATTTTATTTTTTTTTTAAATAATTGAATTCTGCAATTATTTATAATTTCTCCAAAATTTAATTTTTTTTGTGTTTTGAACAAAAATTTAAATTAGAAAATTTTTAAATTCTATTATTTTTAAGATTGTTAATTTTATTTAAAAAAGGTAGTAGGAAGTTAGCCGCGCGCTTTAGCGCGCAAATTTTTTCTAGTATTTAGAAAAAGAAAATTATTCAAAGTAAAATAACATTATGATAATTTTATGTAACCTGAAAATTTACGACGCTTATACAGATTCGCATAAAAAATAAAATAATAAAACTAAAAATGAAAAATATAAAAGTAATAGATTGTAAATTCTAAAAATGAGAAAATAAGAGATGATAAAATGATAAAATAAAATGATTATGGCAATTAAATTCCATACATCAAATTCCATTGACACTTTATAATGAAACTGACGTCTTGTCAGATTTTGAAAAAAATGCTTTCGCACTCAATTGACAATATTTCATTTTTAACGTCAATTTTCACTTTAGTAGCGGATATCAGCATTCTACAAAGTGTGAAGCCATCTGACAGATTATGCGCAAGAGGCAATCAATCACAAATAACGTTTCTGTTATTGAATATTAAAATTAAATACATATATACAAATTAGCTGCTTATAATCTTTCAATATTATAACATGGAGCCGTTAAGTTTATCGAACTTTAAATATATATATATATACCTACACACAGTCTAAGTCAACTCTCATCGTGACTATATTAAGTAAGTCGCAGAGAACTTACAAAAACGATATAAAACATTGATTATACAAATCGTTCATATGCAATAAGTTTTACGTTTTATGCATTATTAGTTATCAAAATTGTAGTTGCGCATGCTTTTAACTTTCTAAGATTATTAGATAAACGTGTTTTTCATGGTATATTAATAGAATTCCAAAAGATTAAAATTCTATATAAATGTTATAAGGATCTTTTTAATTCCGCGGACAAACTAATCTTTTGATCATAAATTCACAAAATATCCCTCTTTCTCTGCTTTGTTAAAATGTTAAATTTAATATGCGAATATGTATTGATTACATCTTCGTGTCTCTCTCAATTATGTGCAAAAATGAGTTTAAGATTTATATATACTTTCTATATGCATAAATTTCCTTTTTAGTTTTTTTTTTACTTTAGTAGACACTCTGTTTAGGAGGGCAAAAAATTCAACGAGAAAATTTTGTATTTTTTAAAATTCTGTTGTAGAAATTACGGAAGAGTTTGAAGTAGTGCAAAATTTGAATTATTTTAGAATTTTGTCTGACTATAGTGGACTTTTTCTACTTAAAATCTGCTTATCTTTAGAGTTAGTAATTTCTAAAATAAAAAAAAAATGAGTTAGTAAATCTTTTTAAAATAATTTTTTTATTAAAAAGAAAATATTTTTTTTTCGCAATTTAATTTTATGAGAAAAAATAATTTTTACAACTTAGAATTTAATCATTGTCTTGAGGGAAGATTTTTACTTATTTAAAATTAAAAATTGACCAAGAAAAAAATTTTTTCTTCTTAAAGACTAAACTAATAGTTTTCTACTTAAATAAAAAATAAAAACTAATGCAAAAGAAAACATTTCTCCTGTTGCAAAATAAAAATTGTCTGTACAAAAATAAAAAACTGTACTCTTTCTACTTTAAATAGAAAAATATTCCTTACAGAAAACTTTACCTAGTAAAAATAAAATATTGTCTGACCAAACTGTACTGCTTCTACTTAAAATCCAAAAATACTTCATAGAAAAAACTTTCTTTAGTAATAAAATATTGTCTTTTACTTTTTCTACTTAAATCACAAAAATACTTCCTACGAAAAACTTTATCTAGTAAAAAATACACTGTCTGACGAAAATTCACTATTTCTACTTAAAAAATAAAAAATAATTAAAAATCAAATTCTTCCTATTACAAAATAAAAATGTCTGACATAACTGCACTGATTCTACTTAAAATACAAAAATACTGCATAGAAAAAACATTCTTTCGTAAAAAAAAAATTTTGTTAGACAAAACTACACTTTTTCTACTTAAAACACAAAACCCAAAAATACTTATTAGAAAAATCTTTGTCTGACAAAATAGTATGTTTTCTACTTAAAATTTAAAATCCAAGAATTCTTCATAAAAATAATATTTTATACTAAAAATAAAATACTATCTAACAGAACTGAACTTTTTCTACTTAAAGCTAAAAAACTTTTTATAAAGAAAAAGTTGACCTATACTGAAAATTAAATATTGCATGACCAAACTATTTTTTCTACTTAAAATCCAAAAATACTTTATAAAAATAATTTTTCATATTAAAAATAAAATATTGTCTGACAAAATATCACTATTTCCACTTAAAAAATATTGTCTGACAAAACTGAACTTTTTCTACTTAAAATGCAAAAATACTTTCTTAGAAAATCTTTTTCTAAAATAAAATTCATTGTCTGACAAAAATATACTATTTCTACTTAAAAAATAAAAACTATTAAAAAATAAAATTTTTCACTGTTACAAAATTAAAATTGTCTGACAAAATTGCACTCTTTCTACTTAAAATACAAAAATACTTCTTAGAAACAACTTTATATAGTTAAAAATATATTGTCTGACAGAACTGCACTTTTTCTACTTAAAATTCAAAAATACTTCATAGAAAAAACTTTCTTTAGTAAAAAAAAATATTGGCCGGCAAAACTACACATTTTCTACTTAAAATTAATAAATAGTTCATAGAAAAAATTTTAACTAGAAAAAAATACTGTCTGACAAAACTGCACTGTTTCTACTTAAAATCCAAAAATACTTCTTAAAAAGAACTTTCTTTAGTAAAAAAAAATATTGTCCGGCAAAACTACACTTTTTCCACTTACAATCCAAAAATACTTCCTGTGAAATACTTTATTTAGTCAAAATAAATTATTGTCTGACAAAACTGTACTATTTCTACTTAAAATACAAAAATTCTTCATAGAAAAAACTTTATTTAGTAAAAAAATATTGTCTGACAAAACTACACTTTTTCTACTTCAAACCCAAAATTACTTCCTAGGAAAATCTTTGTCTGACAAAATAGTATGTTTTTTACTTAAAATCCAAGAATTCTTCATAAAAATAACATTTTCTACTAAAAACGAAACACTGTCTGACAGAACTGCACTTTTTCTACTTAAAACTCAAAAAATGTCTTAGCAAAAAAACAAATTATTAAAAAAATAAAATGTTTTTTAACGAAGCTACGAAATTGATTCTTGTCTCACGATTCTGCACATTTTTGACATAAATAAATATGAAACCTAATAAAGTAAAAATAAAAAAACAAAATAAAACCAAAGAAAAATAAAATGTCAAGAAAATTATCAATCCTCCAAGTCTTTGACTTGGAGGATTGATAATTTTCTTGACATTTTATATTATCTTTTACCGAGTGATAAATTCTACAACTATTTAAAAAAAATTAAAATTAAATAAATGGAGAATTAGTTATAACAATAAATTAATAATATAAATAATAAAATAAATAAAATAAAATTATTAAATAGAAGAAAATGAAGACGTAATAAAAATAAAATAGAAATAAAAAAATTAATAAAATAAGAATAAAGATAAAATAATAAAATGTCATTTATCAATAAATGACTAAATTGCAAATAAAATAAAAAACAATTCCCCCCTATCGTTTAAATTGTCCACGAGAAGTTGTCTTAAAAATAATGAAATAAAATGAAAAATTTCTGTCATTTATTTCGGGTATAAATTGAAAATATTTGCATGATTATTTCTTCAAATGAGGTAAAGAACGTGCTTTGAGTAAATATATACTTATACTACGTATAAAATACCCTCTGGCAAATGTTCTATTCACGAGAAAACATTATGAGTACATCATTGAATAAATGATCATGACAAGATAATGTTCATAAACTTGAATGTTATCGTCATGATTACTTCTGAATAAATTTTCTCTTTCGATTCTCCTCTCCTTCCCCTTTTTTATAACCTCCCTTTATTCGTCTCTTATTCTCGGTCAAGAAGCAAAAAAAAAAAAAAAAAAAGAAAGAAAGAAACGAAATAAATTCTCTCGCCCGAAA